TAAAGGTTTACCACCAAAGGTAGTATTGCCACCGAAGAGAAAAGGGCAACTTGTCTGAGATATTATCACAAGCTAAAAAAATATAACATACTAAAACAAACCCCAAAAACCTAACCCATCTAAGGTGAAGTGCCTGACACCAGCGCGGCTGATCTCTTCACGACCGAGGAGTGAAAAAAGAGAAGGAATGGATTAATGAATAAATAAAATAGTTTGAAATAAGTTTTATGAATAAGGTTTTATAATTCTCATAGCTTTTTCAAAGCGAATAAAGAACATACGATTTATATCTTTTGCATTTGTATTTATATATAAGAATGAATAGGGGGCATCGTTTATAGCTATTCTATACATTTCATATAATTCTTCTTTATTTACCAATGCGGAATTTTCTTCTAGAAATGAATTTACCTCATTCATATTTTTCAATCGGAATATAAATAAAGCGGACGCGTTTAACCTTACGATCGGAGCGAGGACAGTATATTTTTGAGTGGATAATAAAACAGATATTGCATTATGGCGACCACGAGTAAATAGGGAATGTAATATATTTGAATACCTGACAAATTTTGGATCGTCCGCGAAATCATCAATAACAATTAATATTGAATGTAATTTTTTTGTTTATTCTTTTTTTGACAATCAATAACTTTATGTTGTGTTTTTATAATTTGATTTAGCGCTTCGGGATCATATTCTTCGAAGTATGTTTTTTCCTTTTCAGTATCTACATTCATATGATCGGATATATGCTTTTTTTACGCTATTCCATGTGTCATCAACATGAACACTGGGACTGAATAAGAAAATATTCTTTCAAAGGAGCCTTTATAAATATTCCATATGAGACTTTGTATTAATACAGTTTTACCGCCTGTAGAAAAGGCAACTCATATACCACGGAATGGAAGCGATGGCATCATATCATATTTTGAGTTTTTGTATGTATATTCTGGAATATCTATTGGTTTGACGATGGGAATGTTATTATTCATTATTTTTACATAGATTTTTTTATAAATAATGATATAATGCGTTATGAAAAAAATATTGATGTTATTAATAATCTAGAAGAAGTAGAACAAATAATAATAACTGAACCTAGATATAGACGCTGTTGTTATTCTGTTTTAGAAATTTGTAAGGGGTGTTACAATATTTAAAACTTAAGAAAAATAAATTTCTAACATTAGAAAATATGAGTGATGTAAAAAAATATAATGACAAAGATGACAACGAGGGAGGGTTTCAAGTTAGTAAAGATGGAATGTCTTGTTTTGCATGTAGATGTAGAAGAAACATTTTACATAAAGATAAGAAGAAAATTACCGATGAAACAGGAAAAACAATAATCGAAGAGAGTATTGAAACATCATCAATAGCATTTGGAAGAGGCACAACGCCCCCAGTTCAACCAAGAAGCCTAACAATTGAAGAAAGAATAGAAGAATTAGAACATAAAATAGATCAAATTAAAAATTAAAAATATTGAAGATATTGACACAGGATTTAGGAGAGGATTATCGGTAGATGAAAGACTACTTAAATTAGAGAAAGAAGTATATGAACTGAAACAAGTGTATAAGTTGCAATTAATGGATTAATATATTTAAAAAATAATTTGTAATATAATATGACAGCTCGCTAGAGACTTTTGAACTTCCCCTCTTGGAACTGAAACAGGAAAAACCCATTGCGCCCATTGCTCATAATTGGCACTACATAAGATAGTGTATAATTAGTTTGGTGTGAATGCATAATATTATATTTACAGTGTATTGTAAATATACAATTATTTTAAAGTCTTGAGCCAAAGAAACCCGGAAAAGGGAAAACAGCAAAACTCGAAGTGCATAAGACTCTCCCAAAAGGATCCCCAAGCATGTCATCACTATGCATAAAAGCACTGCACTCACTTCTTCTTTTCTCACGTGGAGACTGTGGGAGTCGGTGCACACAAAGCCTCACCTTACACCTTGGGCGGCAACCTGTGAAGCTGGGCACACGGGCCCCTTTGCAGCTGGCGGCAAAGACATAACACTGGGAAGCATGCACCAATCCCTTTGGGAGGCACAAGCTCATCCCCTCAAGCATGGGGCAAGAGTTTGCATCGTTAGCAGTCAGAGCTCGGTGTCTGGCAAACATGAGCGAACGCAAGGCACAAGCCGGTAGGCGCTCCAATGCTGGCGCAAACATGAGCGAACGCAAGGAACAAGCCGGCAGGCGCTCCAATGCTGGCAGCCTTGAGCAACATCAAGAATCAGCAGGTGCTCCAATGCTGGCAGGCATGAGCAACATCAAGAACCAGCAGGCGCTTCCATGTTGGTGAACATGAGCGAACGCAGGACATTCGCTTACGCACGACACTCGGCAGGACGAGCACAAGAGGGAAGCCAGGCGACCGACACAGGGTGGGCCGGGCGGGAGAAATTTTTAACACATTGCAGAAGCTTGAGTCTAGTGTTCAAAGCTTGATGCAAAACATTTGGCAGCTCCAAGAACTTACAGATGCTCAACGTTCACAAGGCACTTGAACCGGTGAACATGGTGTCAGAGACTGGAAAATGAGTGCAAAAGGCCAATGAAGGAAAGTTTTCCCTTTTCCAAAGCTCGGGCGAGCTAGCAAAGAAACACAAAGGGGTTTTTCTCTAGGCTCAGACTTTAAAGCACTATCAACCCGTTGACCGTTAGCTTAAAGTCTTGAGCCAAAGAAACCCGGAAAAGGGAAAACAGCAAAACTCGAAGTGCATAAGACTCTCCCAAAAGGATCCCCAAGCATGTCATCACTATGCATAAAAGCACTGCACTCACTTCTTCTTTTCTCACGTGGAGACTGTGGGAGTCGGTGCACACAAAGCCTCACCTTACACCTTGGGCGGCAACCTGTGAAGCTGGGCACACGGGCCCCTTTGCAGCTGGCGGCAAAGACATAACACTGGGAAGCATGCACCAATCCCCAACTTAACCGAAACCCAAACTAATGCCCAAAACAAGAAGGGATCTCCGCCATCAAGCAAGAATCATCTCCAAGGTTTGTTGGCAAGAATCTGCTTCCAAAACCACGCCTTCAAATTGAAAGGAGGACATGAGGGTCCTGGAAGGCTCGTCGGCCAAGTTCGACGGACTGGGCACTCGTGCGAACCAACTGAAGGTTTTGGCCAGGGTCTCCACCGTAAGGAGAAGCCGAGCCAACCTGGCACCTACCTGGTTGCGGGCGGAACCACTGATGAGGACGTCCCTTGTGGCGTTATTATCTATGTAGCAAACGATGGGTCGCGAACAAATGTCATCTCTCCAGAGGACATAGGCCAAAACTACGGCACAAAGTTCAGCTTCAAAGATAATAGTACTGGATTCATCAACGCCTAAGGCTCGCTGGAAGGACTCGTGAAGTTCTACCGAGAAGAACCTACGAGGCATCCCATCAGGTCCTATGAGGACTCCCCCCAACCCACAACGGCTAGAACCTCCAGCCCTATCAAAGGCCGCATCTGTGAAGATGTAGCAGGGTTGTGCGGAAAGGTTGGAGATCATCCTAGGCGGGCCATTTCTGAGGAGGTCAATGAACAAGGTGATGGCTGAAGCCATGGCGTCGGTGATCACACACTGAGGGTCGGCTTCTGCCTGCTGCAGCGCTTTAACACACGTTCGGCCCAACCTTCCAAACAGCTGGCCACCAGCAAAAAGCATGCGTCCCCTGATTCGTTCCAGTTCCTTCTTGGTGGACGTTCTAACCTCCAGGAGCGAGTTCAAATAGGCTGAAACTTCCTGTATCCGGCTGGGAGTGTTGAAGAACAAGACCTCGGAATGAAGGAATCTGCTGAAGGAAACCCATATCCCCAGAGCCGTAAATTCTTCCTGGAACCCATGATCCTTGTCCTCCGAAACTTTCCAGCCAAGCAGTGCAAAGAAACCATGCAGGACTCTTTCCACGTGGACCTGCTCCTCGGATCTACAGATGTTGACGAAGTCGTCGAAAAAGTGCGTCATCATGAGCTTAAGGTTCTTAACGGCTAACCACCACAAGCTATACGCTGTCTTATCGATTTACAAAACTGCAATCGTAAAACTTGAGCAAATGTATTGGCAAAGAGAAAACTCATCAATCCACATCGGGAATATATAAACTCGCGCTCACAAGCAAGCTAGAAAGCACTCGGACTCTGTTTTGCCGCGAAGGAACAAGGGGCAATCATTCGCAAAAGCGTGCATCCACAAACTGACGGCAAGTGGTCAACGCCTCTTCAACGCAGAAAGCAAGAGGCACCACAACGGACCCGCCATACCCCAACTGCTGGGTGGGTGGGTGGAGATGAAACCTGTTCGGATCTGAAGGCCAATTTAATGACCTACTTTGACTGCTCTCTGCAGGTTCGGGCCATACTGACGGCACAGAATTCTCCCTGTGCATCGAGTATGCGCCATGTAAAAACCTCATACCAAACAGTCACTTCCATGAATGAAAGAGAGATTCTAGGTGGTGCATTAAGCAAAACCACCACCCTATTTCACGTAGAAACCACTTGCAGTTTTGCGTCGCTGTTGCAGCGACTATAAATCAAAAGACAACATTATCACGTTCCGTGAAACAGTCGTCTTATCGATTTACAAAACTGCAATCGTAAAACTTGAGCAAATGTATTGGCAAAGAGAAAACTCATCAATCCACATCGGGAATATATAAACTCGCGCTCACAAGCAAGCTAGAAAGCACTCGGACTCTGTTTTGCCGCGAAGGAACAAGGGGCAATCATTCGCAAAAGCGTGCATCCACAAACTGACGGCAAGTGGTCAACGCCTCTTCAACGCAGAAAGCAAGAGGCACCACAACGGACCCGCCATACCCCTTCTCACGTCCGATGTTCAAGAAAGGTGAAAAGCCGGAGTGGGACCCTTCAGATGGCACGCCAGAAGGCTCCAGGGCAACGACCCCACGTTCAGGCAAACGTTGACGGCCGCTCTCACCGTTTCGCTGATGTCCACTACTCTTCCCCCAATCATGCTTGCAGCTGCGGATGCCTCCCCGCGACTCGGCAGGTCTGCGATGTTCGAAGTGAAGGCACGCGCTCAATCCAAGCAATCAACCTGTCCACCTCCTCTGAAGCGTAGAAGGAGTGTGCCAACACGAGCATCGAGCGCGAAGGGCTGCTCCCCCGAATCATGGAGTATCGTGCTGCCTCGTTGTCTACGAAAAAGAAGGTACGGCGACCTTTGGCGAAGGAAGCTATGTATGTTCTGGCAAGAACCATAGCGAAGGCCTCGGCCTGTGAGATCACCTGGTCCTTTGCGTCCAGATGCCATAGATCAACGAGCTGCGACGGAATGCAACCACCCGCAACTTCACGCCTTCCTGAAGCCGGGTCGATCAGAACCAAACCCCAGGTTGCTACCCCACCCTCGTAGGCAGCATCGGTGAAAACAACCAGGGGGCAACACTTAACCCTAAGACACAGAACCCTGGGCGCAAGCCTCTCCAAGCAGCCGACCAGATACACTCCCAAGGCTCGGACCTCCTCGGCGCTCCACTTTCGGCTGCCATGGACCAGGTTGGACAAAGCCCTGCTCACTAACTTAAGAGACCTCCCAGCAGCGAACCCTACCATGAAGTTAAGCTGACCTTGCAAGGAGAGGGCCTCAGCGTATGAGAGAACCCCACTTTCTGCGAAGCCTCGGGCGAGGCTCAGCATCTTCGACACACGCCCTGGCTTGTTCTGGAGCTCGATGTTGCCAAGATGAAATGCACCCAAGGACAACTGAACCCCTAACAAATTGAAAGTGCTCGCGAACGGCCGGTCCTTTTCTGCATCCCGGGAGTACTTCCACCCGAGGGTGTCCAGCAGCGACTCGACGGACAGGGAACAGAGCCTGGCGGTTAAACTAGGTTCGATCATCGGGAAATCGTCGTAGAAAACACCGCCTATGACCCCGAGCAGGCAAGTCGTCAGATGCAGCAGGCTGCGACTGACGCGGTTGAAGCTGAAAACCGCTGCGCATGCACCGAAAGGTAAGCTGTTGCTGATGAAGTATCGGTACAGCCCGGAAGAGGGCTCACGCACCAGCAGGACTGCGAACTTGAGGCTGCCCGCACTCAATGGTACTTGTTTATAGGCCTTTTCAAGATCCAGGCAGCGCCCTACCCATTTGCAGTTTCGTCCAAAGTCCTGACTGGCCTTCCCTTCAAGCAACTGTCCACTCCCCAGCCTGACGGCGACTGTTCCTTGCTCACTGATCGAAGAGCAGATAAAACGACAGAGAGTCACAAAGAAGTCGACGTCATGCAGGCGGAGATGATCTAGGGCATGATATGCCGAGTTTACACCGCTCTCTTTGAAATCATCAATCGGGCGGTATTTTGGATTTTCGGGGCCCCCTTGGATCACCAGGAACCTACGGGTGGAGCAGAAGACTTCTTCTCCAAGCTCGGATCGCACCTGGTCAGCGGACGCAAACGGTCCTCTCAAGAAGCCCCGCTGCACCTCCTGAAGGGTGCAGTCCCACAGTTTCTCCACCAGGTCGCTTTGCGGATCATCAGGGTCAACGCCCTTCTTTAGCATCGGCTCTCTCCACACGGCCGAGTCCAACAGATCTTGAGGAGAGCTTGTCGCGGGGACTTCTTTCCACGGGTAGAGCTGGGACTTAGTAGGGCGTCCTACGAGGTCCACCCCTTCCATCAACTCCCCAACTGATAAGTCGGGAAAATTGGTCTCCTTAAGCAGCTGGCGCCACACAAGAACACACTTCCCTTTGAGCACCTTCTGAGCATGCGATGGAAGGGTTGCCTGGAACCTGGCTTCCTCAACTGCAAGTTCTTGGGCCATCTGTCTCACCCTCTTGCCTGCATCGATCCTCTTCTGAGCAACCGAGCTGAGGCCCTCGGTGAGGAGATCGAAGATGTTGCGCCTGGTGTTGTCATCAATGGCAGACGCATTGTCAAACGGGTGGTCCAGCGCCAGCGCTTTTTGGGTAAACTCGTGCTTGGTGTGAAAAACCCCAAAAGTTGAGCGACTTCCTCCAGCACCCCTTTCCTGAACAAGCTCGCGAAACTCGCCCTGGGAAGGCCGGGACGACTGAAACTCCTGAACTCCGGGATGAGTGGAGCAAGACGGCGGGACTGACGCACCGTTGGGCGCGGCAAAGGCCGGGGCTGAAGGGGCAGAGTTGCTTTGACCAAGGAACAGAATTTCTGGCAGAGTGCAAGGGGATACTCTGCCTCCAAGGCTGTGTCAAACTGCCAGCGGTTGCTGACCCTGGTAAGCGCGAAGGGCAGGTGTTTGTGCTGGCCATCACACTCACAGGCCAACGGGCACAAGGCATCCAAGGAAGTGAGCAGGCGAGACATTTTGGCTCTCTGACCGCCAAGCATGCACTGCGCATAGTCGACATGATGCAGGTCGCTGTAGAACGATGCAAGCCCTGGTGATTTCTGGTCGAGCACAAACTTCGCAAGAACCGCCCACATCCAACTCCTGACCGGATTTTCGATGGAGATGTGCCACGCATTGTCGCGGGCTAAGGCAAGCAACTTGATGGTGAACGCTGCCAGGCTGTTTGCGGCTTCCACTTTGGCCGCCTCTTTGGGCGAGAGATTTGGCACGCCTAGAACATGATCGGATGAACGCAACGGTCTGGGCTGTTCAACCCCGGAGGCCAAGACGTGTTCTGGCAACGGTCGCTCGCGGGCCCGGGAGCCCGTTCCGCAGGGCAAACCGACATGAATCAAGAGGACATCTGAGGCCAGAAGCCGCTGGACCAGAAGCTCCTGGCACGTCTTGAGCGTCAAGTCGAGGGTCCACACCTGGTGCAAGGGCTTATGTTTGTTATGGGGGCCATCAACGGCCAGCACATGGAAACCCGCAGCAGCGAACTCAGCACTAAGCCTAGCGCAACCTGCAAAAACCTCCACGAAAAGCGGGCACGAGGAGCTGGGGGCAGGCGCACTAACCCCTGCTGGAGGCTCCGGCGGGAAAACGGGCGTAGGCTCGAGCACACGCCCCCCAGACGCAACTAGAGGACACCCGGCACCTGGGCTCGAGCTGTCAACCTCGGACACACACCAGTCGAAATCAGACTGGAGATGAAGGTTGCTCGCCCCAGACCAAGGAAGCCTGAAACCTAGATCTTTGAGGAAAGCACGATCCATCGCAGGCAGCGCTTGGACCCCGCGGGTGCTGAAAGCCACCAGCACTGCTCGCTCGCCCGACCAAGCCTCGACCTCATGTTCAAACGCCCTGGCATCGAAGAGAACTGGACCGCCCTCAAAGGTGAGGCGTTTGGGGCCGACGGAAGCTGTGGAGTAGCACAGGATGGAGCCCCCTGTGAAGTCAGAAAGCGGATAAACGAAATTTAGTGAATTCGGGAAATTATTGGTATCTCTGTGGCGGCCGACCTGAAGATTCTCGAAAATCGCAATGGCACTATACAAGAAATCCTGGGGCGCCTCGGCATTGACAAAGGTGCACAGGGCACGGCTGAAGTCAGGATACAAACGGCTATTCACCCGTAAACCGACTAGAGGGCCCCGAACAAAAGAACCCGTGGTGAAGCAACGCCCGCTGTCTGCAAGCTTACCCTCCGGCAAAGGGTCACCCGGGATTGCATGGAAAAACGCCAAAATGTCCTGAACCGAGAAGGAAGCCTTGGTACACAAGTCACCTGTCTGCAGCGGCGGGCCCGCGCACTCAGCTGAAAGCTTCACTCGCGCAGGCAGAAACACCTCACACCTTCAGGCACCTCCCATTGTGCACGCCGGAAAGGCGTGAGGCTTAAAGCAACGCCAGCAGATGTGCCGGCCGCGCCGGCAGCGCTTGCCATCCTTGGCGAATTTGCAACCATCTTTGTTGTAAGGGAAACAAATAGGGGTGCCCTGGGGATCCTTGCTTGAGCAGCCCTCCGGAAGCGCGAAAGTGGGAGGGTCCGGAACCTGATGCGTAGGCTTGCCACCGCCAGGCCCTTACCGCGGCCGCCTTTGGGACCTTTGCCTTCCTTACCCCCCTTGCCCTTCGGACCTTTACCCCAGAGTTCGTACGGCGAGACCCGGGGCGCATGCTCGGGGGCGCTACCAGGGATGACACAAAACTGCACCTGAGGGTGAGTCTTAAGGGCTTTAAGTTGCTGCTCCATTGGCTTGGAGCCATCAGGCCGCTGGCTGAGTGCACCGCGCGTCGCCTCCGCGATCTTGAGGAAAAGGACCTTGTCTGCTTCTCTCACCTGACCCATGGAAATGCACAACCGCCCGGGGGCAGGCGGGCGGGAGAGTAGCGAAAACATCTCCTCATGGTATGCTTCCATCTCACTGAACGAACACAGCTGGGCCAAGTCATAACAAAGAGATCGACGCTGGAGCGCCTGGCGCACCTGAAGTTCACCATTCAGGGAACAGTGAGCCTCCTGAAGCTTCTTGTTAAGGCGCAAGCTGCCGCTGTTGTCGAAGCTGATCGACAAGTCGGCCTTGTTCGAGACGATCTCTTGAGCACGGCTTGTGTATTTTTCCCAAGGGAGCCAAATCAGCTGCTGATCCGTCCCCTGCTGGAAGACGAGGTCCGTGACCTTGTAGCTGGGCTCACTGTCACTGGAGAAGTGGACGCCGTTGAGTCTCTTCCGCTGCTCTTCCAGACGAGTGGTCCGCTCTGCAATCGCGAGGCGAACTGGTTCTGTTGAATCGCTGCGCTCCACCTTCTGGCGAAGTTCGCCCATGGCAGTGGTCGACGCCTCGTACCAGAGACGCCTCGTCACGAAGAGCTCCTTGGGTGTCAAATCTCGCTTCACCACCGTTTTCAGGGCATCGATCAGTGGTGACTCGTCCGAATGTCCCACCTGATAAGGTGAGATGAAAGCAAGCGTGCCCATGGTGGTCACCCCGCCATCCTCCAAGAGCTTTAGAAACGCAGGCTCAAGGCCCACCTCGAGCGCTCTAGCATGGAAAGCGGCGGCAGAGTCCAACGTCGAGTTCATTGCTGCTAGGGAACCTAACCAAGAAGGTCAAACTCACCTCGTAAACGATCTGAGCCAGCGACCAGAACGACGCCGCACGACTGTCAAGCTTTCAGTTCAACGTCGGCTCTACGGCCCTGTAACGACGCAAGGCTCAGCCGAACACACTTTTCAGCAGACGCAAGCAGGGAAACGAACGGTTGGGAGGCACAGCCGAAGCTCGAACGGCTCCCCAACTCTCCCTGCAGCAAAAGAAAGAAGTACAATCATCTTGCCCAACCGACCACTTCGGGAGAGAAACTGAAGACAATAAGACAAGGCACTCGAACTTGAGCTGGCACAGCCAGAAGCTCAACGGCCAGATACTCCAGAAAGCTTCTGCCAACAGGATCACGAATATTCGGGCACAGCCGAAGCTCAACGGCCACATATTGATTCAGCAGGCTCAAAGAGCCCCTTGCAAAGATACTCTACAGCAGTCAACGGCAAATAGAGAAGAAAAGAGGTCACAAGCACAGCGAAAGCTCAACGGCTAGGTTCCTAGGCCCACTGCGCCGTCCTGCAAACGGCAGTTTGTTTTACGCTTCAGTCGAAGACCGTGCACATTGCGCACAGATCGGTAAGTCACTCAACGGAACATTCGGATCAAGCCTGCCATAATTGGCTGAAGCACTCCTACCACAGAGGAAACGTGGGCCATTGCCGATGTGAACCACTCTCGAGTAGAGGTGCATCTTGCAATCTCTGCCTGCCTGGAGTTCAGCTGCTGTCATAGGTCGGTCCACGACAACTCCTTCCGAAGAGGCTTGAAGGTCTGCTTCGAGCATGTCAGCCTCCTCGTCATCCGACTCCGGCACGCTGGGGGCATCTGCCAAAACTCGCTCAGTGAGATGCTCCGAGCCATCGTCCATTTTGACCAGGTGCGCCAGACGCCAGGCCCTGGATTCATCTGGTTTCAGGGCACCTCGTCTAATGAGGAGGATCACGTCGTGGACGATCTTCATAAGTCTGGTAAGTTCATCTCTTGCATACGTCAAGGGAGACACAGCATGGGGATCGACATGATGTCCTAACAGGCGCCGATCGGCAAGGCTCACCACCGTGCTTTTGGCTGTCCATGACAGAACCGTACACTTAAGGCTGTGTGTACCGACACCTTCAAAACCCTGGCCCGCAGCAGTGAGAAACTCCTTCAAGTAGCAACCCGCTTCGCCCGTGCTCATGGCTCTGTCAAGCCATCGGTTACAACCCTCGGACCACGCAGGAATGGCAGGGCGAAGACTCAAACCGAAACGATTGCGAGCATCGAGCCAGGCCTCGGCCCAATTCGCCTCTGCGAAGAACCTTCCCAGCGAACACATCGGAAGAAGTTGTGATTTGCGTGCTGCGGCAGGCGCTGTTTTCCAGTGGGAACTTTCGGCTTCAACCAAGCAAACGCCATCGACAGTCGTAACCTGAAGGTCGGCAAGCCACACTGAGTCGCCGAAACGTGAACTGGCGCCCAGACAGAAAAGCAAGTGCCCCGCGATTACCTTCCAATGCGCATATGGAGCGTGGAGCACTACGTACTCCAACGCCTTCACCTGTTTGACTCGGAGTGGGATCGCTTGCTGCAGAGGCCTCTTTCCTTGGAACAGCTTGAGGGCAAGACCTTTAACACGGCTTGAGACAGCCCGAAGAGCGGCAGGGCTCTTGAATCGCAACGTTCCGGCAGCAAAGTTCCAAGCCTGCAAGAAAGAGGAGCCCGACGTTGGCTTGCCATGAGCTTCGAGGTGCTGGAGAAACAAGTAAAGTGTGCTCTCACTGGCAGTGAAGGGGTTTCCAAAACCAGAATCAAGGCACCACTTGGCAAAAACCCACAACGAGGAAGCTCTCTTAACTAGCGTCGAAGTGGCCTTGGAAGCAAAGACATCCCCAAAGCTTCTGGCAATTTGCTGATCCTCTCTCAAAAGAGAGGCTTCGCCTAGCAGGATGCAACCCAGCTCGGTAACATCGGGCTCCAACATCACTAACACCCTGAACTTCCTCAACGCCTCCCACCTTGCTGAGTCGTCCGTCTTCAAAAGAGCGACGATTTGGAGTCGCTTCTTTGCAAAGTCTGGAGCCTGCTTAGGAACCGGCACAGAATAACGCACGCAGGTGGACTGAGGCGGCTCCCGATCGTAAGGCATAGGCACACGGAGACTCTGGCGCTGCTTCCCAAAGACTAAAGCAAAGGGACCCCTTTCCCAAGGCAAAACAATTTTAGACACTCGGTGATCCTTCAGTGCTTCGTTCCAGGCGAAATCCCTGATCAAAACTGCCCTGGCGTCCAAAGCGGGCCAATCACTCTCGCCACCAACAATCTTGCTGTAAAAGGCATCAGGGGACTGAAGGACTGAGCTGGTAGAACCTGCTGCAGCTGCTGAGCCGGCAGGGCTCCCCGACACCCCTTGTGAAGAAGCCACGGCCGGGCTCACTGGAACTGCTGTAACCATGACACGCAGACGGGTTCGCCTGACTGCAAAATCAATCGAGGGTCTCCAAGAAAGGAAAAGATGCTGCCAAGCACGTGAAGAAGAGTCGAAGCAGCAACTGTGCAAGATTGGGGAAGCCAGGCCCAAGAGGCCCAAAGCCAAGCGACTCTCTCAACACCTGAACCTCAAGCCGAAGAGCGCTCAAACTGACTGAAAGGTCCCAAGCAAAACGAAAGAGAGCTCGGTCACAGTCCTGCTCGTGGGTCGCAGGCTCACCTGCAAGACTGCCCATCCGCTGGGCACCCAGGCACCAGCTTGCACGAGGCTCTAGCAGCCGAACGTCCGAGGGCCACGGTTGAAAGATGAAACCTGTTCGGATCTGAAGGCCAATTTAATGACCTACTTTGACTGCTCTCTGCAGGTTCGGGCCATACTGACGGCACAGAATTCTCCCTGTGCATCGAGTATGCGCCATGTAAAAACCTCATACCAAACAGTCACTTCCATGAATGAAAGAGAGATTCTAGGTGGTGCATTAAGCAAAACCACCACCCTATTTCACGTAGAAACCACTTGCAGTTTTGCGTCGCTGTTGCAGCGACTATAAATCAAAAGACAACATTATCACGTTCCGTGAAACAGTCATCCTGAGGTACCCATACACAGCCCTGCTGGCACCAAACGGAAGCGCATACATCTGCCTCACCACGCATTTGGCCTCTGCAGGGCAGAAGTATGCAACAAAGGCAAACATCAGGCCAGCGGCTGAAACAGGAACCTGTCTGTAGGCAGCTTTCAAGTCCAGGCACTTTCCGACCATGGCCTTGCCTGGCAAACGCTGGAGTGCTGCCAGAACCATGGCTGCGATCAGGTCCACACTCTGAGGCTGGGGAGATTCGGTCTTCTGCACAGTATCGTTCAAAAGGGAAGCGCTGCAGTCGTCAATTACTCTGGGCCGATCCTTCTGAAGAATGGCGAAGCGCCTGTTGATCACTGCATCTGAGGGCAACGAGCTGGGGTCCAGCGGACCAGAAACCCAGCCTTTCTCATATTCCTCAGCTGTCTTCTGGCATATGACGGCATCATGCTCAGATGGCTTGGATGCAGCAACGAGAATCTTCCGGCGAACTTCGGGAGTCTGCTGTGCCAGACCAGCGGGGGACAGCTTGGCGGGTTTGAAACAAGGTTCAAAAAGCCCAGAAGCCGGCACCTGGCCTGCAAGATCGACACCTTCCTTCATCAGATCTACGACTCCCAGATCCGGATAACCGCTGGCGCGTAACATTTCCTGCCATAGCAGGAGGTTCTTCCCCTCCAGCACCTTTGCTCGCTCTGGGGGCATCGATGCCTTCAGAGCTGCCTCCTCCTCCTTCAAAGCCCCCATCCTATTCAACCAGTGCTTAAACCAACCAGTCCTGACCTCCGCAGTCTCAGCCAAGGTATGGCTCGCATTGAAGTCAATGGCCTCTTCCAGAACACTTGGCAGCAAAGCGCTGAAAGTACGAGGATGCCCCTTGGCCACTGCAGCTCTCACAAACTCTTGTGGTTCAAAGGGAATGCCCCAAGCAACCTCGGTGGTACCTTGTGGGGGAACTTCGGGCTGCAAAGCGGCACCTGTGGGAACTTGGTCAGTGTCAGGCAACCCCATATTAACCGTAAGAGGAGTAGACCGCAGAAGCTGTGAGCCTGCGGGCAGGGCCCCGGCGGGGGCAACAGAAGGCGGAGGCGCCCATTCCTTCTTCAAGCGGGCCATGGGCTCGACCGGCAGGTCGTCAAGCAGAACGGAGGGACCGCGCAAGACAACAACGTGCTTGTGTTCCGGTACCAGGGGGGCGTAAGAAGAAGCCTTGGGCTGCAACCCAGTGCGGGCGCGGATGGCCGCAATGGACGGCTCAGACGACGGCGCGACCTCAACGGCTTGGGCAAAGCAACGCGCCACGCAGACAGCAAGAAAAGGCGGATAAGCGCACTCCTCACTAGTGGACCAGGCGTGGGACGGGGTGAGCCCCCAGGGCAAATGTTGCGAAGCGCAACTGGCACCAGGACAAGTACGGGCGAGGGCGGTGAAGGAGGGGTGGTTGTGAGCGATGGCCGTCCATTTGGGTCTGCGACCCTTGAAAGCGCAGTTCTGGAAGCAAGTCCAAAAGGGACAGTAGGGCTGCGCTCGGCGCCATGATGAAGTCGACCAGAAGAGGCTGCCGCGAGGATTCTCCACGGCCACCATGATTTGCGCCTGGTGAGCGAAAGCACACAGCTCCTGAACCAAGGAATACAAGATATTCGCTTGGCGAACTCGCACAGCATGAAGGCCTTCAAGGCCTGGCAGGCCGTCGGGGTAGGCCGAGTCGCGCAAGGGAGGCGGCGACGGTACAATGTTACCGGCAGCATCATACACCGGGATGCAACGTGCGAGACTGGCCGTCCCGCACGGCGGAGCAATCCACAACCCTACTAGATATGGGCAACGCAACCAATGCCACAGCAAGTCCTGCCCGGCTGGCGAACTGAGGTCTGCCACCAAAGTATGAGAGCGAGCTTCGGACGAAGGCCTAGAATCCACGCCGAAACAGTGCGGCCAAAAAGAACGCAAAGCCGTTGTGATGCGAGCAGAACCAGAGAAGATCTCAAAAACCACCGGGAAATTGCTGCGCAGCGGACGCGGGGGGGCCGGACCGGCATTTTCGCCGGTAGAAAGGGCTGGGCAGCGAAAGCCTAAGCTTTGCAGGGCTGACCTGTCGGAAGCCGTCAGCAGCTCAAAGCGAGCTATGACAAAGGCCGCAATCACCACCCGGGATCCAACCCAAGGAGCGGTCGCATGAAGCAGATGTGGGTCGAAAAGTGTGGGCCCCGTGAGGCTGAGGAGACGACCTTTGGTGGCAACAGCGGTGTCGGGGCACGCCACTGAGCCTTCGTCATCTTCAATCCACAGCTCGCCTCCTTCGAAGCTGGAGCAAGGAATGAGGCAGGAGGGAAAACCTGAACTGTTATTCAGGTCACGGTGAGGAGGGGTACAAAGATCCTTAAAAAGGGCTATCGAAGAGAATTCGATTTCTGGGGCTCGGCGCTTGACTAGGTCACACAGACAGCGCGTGACATTTGGAAAAGTGGATGCATGGGTCCTCAGGCCAACCAAAGACCCATGGACGTACGCGCCCGTTGTAAAGCTAAACTCGGATGGCATGCCTTGTCCCCGAGCAGGACGCTCGGACTTGAGATAGGGCACCAAAGCGCAGACATCGGCTTCCGTGACCCCCTGTTGGAGAAAGGAGGCTGCAAGAGATTCGGCATTGTCCGGAGAAATGCGTGAGGAGACGACCTCACCAGTGGAAAAACGTGGTTCAGCGCCCGGCGCCGGAGGGCGCGGCAGCGGCACCCCCGACGCCCCAAGCTCTCAATTGCACTGCCTAATCGTGTGAGTGCTCTTGAAGCACTTGGCGCAAACATGCAGGCGCTTACAATGCGGATTCTTGCAGCCTTCCAAGTTGTGGTTGAAACAAAGCTCCTTGCCATCGTCAGTCCTGGCATGTCCGCCCAAGTCACTGATCACCTTGGGTACGGCCGGCCCATGGACCCGACCTTTGCCTTTGCCAGCAGGGGCCCCTCTGCCGCGGCCTTTGGCCCATTTGGAACCAGGCCGTGCACGCCCGAACTGCCCCGAGGACGCAGAAGCAGCAGGGCGCTTCAGCCCCCGCTGATCAGGACGCTGAGCCGCCAAAGGCATCAAAAGCATGCTGACCTGGTAGCTTTCAAGAGCTTCCAAAAGCTTGGTGTCCAAGGCATACACGCCGGATGGATCGCGCCGGGGCTTGACATCAGCAGCGATGAGACGCTCAAACACCATACGGTCCGCTCTGGCCAACTGACTGACCGAACACCTTTGGTAATCAGGGGGCGGGTCACGGGCCAAATGCTGGAAAAGGAGCGTGACATACTTCTGATAAGACGTGAAGGATACAATCTGCGCAAAGGCAAAAGCAACGCCTCGCCGCAAAAGGGCTTCCTGCAGCTGTAGGGCCGAGCACGGCGGACTCTCGGGCACATCAGCCTGGCTGGAGACAGACAGCGTTTTGGCATCATCAAGCTCGAGGACCTTCTTGTCGGGTCGTGCATTCGTGACCTCGAAGGCCCGACTAACACAAACATCAGGGCTGAGAAAACGAAGCTGATTCTCTCTCTCGATGGCAGCTGCTTTATCAAGTAGGCTGAAAGAGGGCTCGAGGGGACCTTCCAAAGCCAGACCCGGCAACGAAGCCTTTAAATGCGCCATCCGCCGGGAGCGTTCAGCTTCCGGAACCTTCTTTTGGGCGGAACTGTCGGGGTGGGTTAACTGCTCCTTGAGCTCAGCTGTGGCCAATGCCCCTCCCTCCCAGATGAGGCGGCGGAGCGAGGCCTGATCACCTAGGGTCGCAGCGGGCAAATGCAAGCGCATCCAAACCTCAACATCGGCGTCAGCAAGGGGCTGGCCCGGAGTCCCAATGATATGTGCAATGTTACCCATGGTCGCAACCCCATGAGCCTGCAAAGCTTGCAAGCTGGCCCCACTCATCCCGATTTCGGAGGCCCTCTTTTCAAAATGAGCTTCACTGTCCAGAAGACTCGACATGGCTGAACAAACGCGCAGCCCTCCCAAATGGCGGCCTAAGCTGGAGCTCGACAGCAAAGGACTGAAGCATGTACTGACAGAGTGAGGCCAAACATCAAGGCATCAGATCACCACGGCTCATCAGCATCTAGTTTGAGGTGAAATGTTCCACTTAACCACAAAAGCATCTCATGCAGATTGCTTAGTGTTCCACATATGAAGTCTTCAGAACGCCCAACTTTTTCAGCGGCGAAGAGATGTGGGGGCTGCCGGAAGCTTTCAAAAACATCTGCTCGAAAAAGTCTGACAGCTCAGCGCATCCGCCGGCAGGTGCAACCACCAAACACAACTCAGGGAGTGCAAGGCCAGCCATGTGGCCTCAGCACATCAGATGGCCAGGTTGTAGAGGCGCATCCGCCAGCCATGTTGCCGAGGCATAGCGCAAGCGCATCCGCTGCGCCACTCCAAAGAAAAATCTGGCCGATCGGCGCATCCGCCGGCTGGTGCAACCACCAAACACAACTGATAGGCGGCAGTGCCACTGTGTGACGAAACCGCATCCGACAGCCACGTTGTCGAGCGCATCCGCCGGCCATGTTGCCGAGGCATAGGCAGCAAGCGCATCCGCCAGCTGGCCAGACAGATTTTGCAAAAGTCTGTACCACCAAGTCATAAAGGGCTTTGCCCTAAGAAGAGAAACCATGTCAAGACGCATCAGCCCCAAGACGAACGCAAACTTCACAGCGCCTGCCTGGGCCAGAAGCGCATCCAGCCTCGTAAGCATCAGATTCCGCTCGACCGCATGCAAAGATTGCAGTGCCTCCACCTGTAAAGGATTTAGCCAGATGCATGGTACGAGTCTTCTTATGCACACGCGTGAGCTCGTCAGGCCAGTCCGGGCGTGCGAACTTCTTGCAGGATGCAGGTGCAGCGCTGTCGGAACTGGATGAACTGCTAGAGGAGGACTCCACATCGGAGCTTGAAGCAGGACTGGCATCATGCTCAGCAGATTCTGGCCCTTTGCCCACCGTGGGAATCGGCACTGCCTCGCCAACGGGCTCGTCCTTGACCGCAATCACATCAACATGAGACTGAGCAACACTCTGTGGATACCTCAAGGACCTCGGCGCATCGGGCACGAAACGGGCATGATGCACCTCCATGATGACGCTCTGAAGAGCTCGCGTGGCATCATAAACCAGGTCTCTCGAGTACAATGGTGCACTTCCCTTGACAGCATCACAGTGGCGTCCAAGGATATGCTGCTGCTGAGGAGGCAAGCCGAATTTGGAAGTCCAGTCAAGCAAAGTTGCCTTGAGGCTATGTGAAGACAGCCGGCGATTCGCATCGGGCTGCCCAAGGAAGGAATGCAGCAGCGCAGTCACCTCATGAGCGCGAAGCTCACGCACACCTGGAGCTCCTCCCGCACCGTCGCGAGGAGGACGGAACAAAGGGCCGTTGATGTCGCCATCGAGCGACAAGCCCACTGCTTCCAGAGCAGCCTTGACATCGAGATACCAGTTGGATCCATCGACCCCAACCAACGGAGCAATCACGGGCAGGAGTTTGGACTTAAGCCTAGGGTTCCTAGCCCCTTTATGAGTTTTGAGCATTATCTCAAGGAACCCAAATTTATCTGCGGTGTCGGCCGACACCCTTTGTACTCTTACAAGGTCGCTGGCCCGCGCCCTGGCATACGCACAGATGATCAAGAACGCCACGGAAGCGCGGTCCCAAGGCTCCAGCGCACTGTTTTTCAACATACCGTGCAATGCCAGAAGCTCTGAAAGCAACAAAGAAGATGCCTGGCAAGACTCGCGTGACAAGGTCTCCATTTGTTCGGCGAATCCAATGCATCGACGACTCAACACGTGCTCGGAGAAACACACTCCCAGAACATGCAAGGCAAAACGGATTCCTGATATGGAAGCCTGTCCTTTGGAGGCCGCTGCAGCATGTTCCTTCAAGTATGACAAATAATCCCAGAGCCCATCCTCGGTGATGCTCACAAGAAGCCCTTTGTACTCAACCATCCAGCGCATGAGATGAACCAACGAATTTGCACGCTTCTCGACAGTGAATGGCGACTTCACGCCGAGGCAGGCCTTGACATAGATGCACTGGTCATCATGACCGGCAGGCCACGCATGTGGTCTGGCGTTAAGCTCCAAAGAGTTCAGGAACCCCACAAGCTTAAGGCAACTTTTCTCCAAAACCGCCTCTATCCTGGCCTCATATGCAATGCCATGATGGCACCTGAAGGCACGCAAAGCTTTGCATGGCACCACCGAAGGTCCGGGCCTTGCGGGTGAACTTCCCATGGGCTCCAAAGGCACAATCTGCCGGCTAGAAGGTGCCGGAGGAACAGTGGATGGCACCCCCGACAGCGCAGGGAAGTTTTCGAAAAGACCTTTATAAATGCCAGTCTCCCAAGGAAGCCTAAGGTGGGAAGCGGGATCAACGACTCTGAGCCCAACCTGCTCAACAACCGAGCTGATGTCTGGACGACCTTTCAATGGGCTTGGCTTCGGGGTCGGCACCACAAAGTTGGGACTTCCGGAGAATTCGAACTCAGGAACCACCGCGTGCTCATCTTCTTCGGACGGTGAAAAACCAGTGCCAGCACCAAGAACAGAATGCTCTCTCGACACAGGAGAACCATCCCTAAGACTTCCGAAGTCCTCAAAATCACTAATGCCTTCCCCACAGCTTTCAACCCCGTTAAACAAGTCCGACAAGTCCAATGCTGGACCTGAGGCATCCACGAGGCCTTGCTCTGCTTGCTCTGGCTGCGAGCCGGGCTCATCCAACAGCCCCGGGGTACCTGGAGCTGTCAAACTCGGAGACTCAAGTGATCCTAAAGACCCCAAATTATCCGCAAGACCAGTTCTGGAATGATGGAGGGCATAACGTCTCACCACATGCAGGAGCGGTGTGGCGCAAGTGCAAGGACCAGTGCAGCGCAGACAATGGCTAGGGGAAGCACTGTCTTCAGACATCAGAAGCCAGCAGGGCGCAACCGCAACAAACGACGCAACAAGTTGGCCAAACGTCCTATGGAGATGTGCAAGAAATGATTGATGACAGCTAACCTTGTGGAAGCCTGTTCGAGGTCAGCTTCGAGATCTCCAAGACGAGTTTCAAGAGATGCTATGCTTGACTCCAAGGCAACAACACGATGCGTAAGCTGGCGCTGGGTACGCCCGAGCAGCACAAGGTCACGACTGTGACTGTCCAAACGAGCCTCAAGGACCTGCAGTCGATCAGATGTGAGGCCAGCGTCCATGGACTGCGCACGGGCGGAGGAGCTAGAATCTTTGAACACGAGAAATTGTTAACACATTGCAGAAGCTTGAGTCTAGTGTTCAAAGCTTGATGCAAAACATTTGGCAGCTCCAAGAACTTACAGATGCTCAACGTTCACAAGGCACTTGAACCGGTGAACATGCGCAAGCAATGGTGTCAGAGACTGGAAAATGAGTGCAAAAGGCCAATGAAGGAAAGTTTTCCCTTTTCCAAAGCTCGGGCGAGCTAGCAAAGAAACACAAAGGGGTTTTTCTCTAGGCTCAGACTTTAAAGCACTATCAACCCGTTGACCGTTAGCTTAAAAACAATATTTTTTGTGTTATTAATATATGACTGAAGTTGTTTTACAAAAGTCTAACAAAAAAGGCAAAAAAAAAAAGATGCGGTTATTGATGGTAAAAAAAAATGTATCGTTTGGTGCTATTGGATATAGCGATTTTACAAAACATAAGGACGAAGAAAGAAAAGAACGATACATAGCAAGGCATAAAGTTAATCAAGACTGGAAAGACTATAACACTGCTGGATTTTGGGCGAAAAATATTTTATGGAATAAACCGACAATAGAAGCATCAATAAAAGACACCGATAGAAAATTCAAGAATGTAAAAATTAAAAAGAACATTTAAAAAAATATAGAATTTTTTATTATAATTTTTCAAAAAATATATTCTAAAGGAAAAAATGCATAATAATATATATGGAAAATAACACTTTGGAAAAAATGTTAAATGAATTGTCTATGGACGATATTAAAGAACAACTGGCGTTATATCAAAAACTTTATTACCATAAGAAAAAATCAGAACAAAACTATTACGAAGTGAAAAAAGAAAGCGCGCGACAATATCATAAAAGAAAGGCTTTAGACAAAATAATAAATGATAAAAATATTGATATAATGGATAAATTAGAAATCACTGAAACTAAAACAGGTGTTAAGGTTATAAAAAAAAAATCAAAAACACACACTTGAAAATGTTGTTATGTTAAAACCTTCAAAAAAGAAAACAGAAGAGAAAACAGACACAGAAACTACAACCGAAAATGAAAATAAAAACGAATAAAGAAGGAGAAAGGAAGAGCTTCCAATCATTAACTGGAAGCGGTTCCCCGCTGTAACTGGAACCTGTTCCCGCTGTATTGGGGAAGCCTTAAAAACGAAGGAGGGGAGCTTCCAGTTATTAACTGGAAGGGGTTCCCCGCTGTAACTGGAACCTGTTCCCCGTTATAATTGGTAGGTGAAATTTTGGAAATAGAAATCTTAAAAAAATTTAAGAATTTTCTTTTATAAAAATTTTTCTTAAAAATTGTTCTAAAGAAAAAACTTTTATATGTTATATATATATGGCATCTCTATGCCCACGATGTGCTGACCAGAAGGTCACAGGAAAACTATTATGTAAACAAGTTTTACAAGAAGACGCGTTTAATTTAATAAATTCATTCAATCGGTGCAAAGGGTGCGACGGAAGAGAGAATACTGTGAAATTCAAAACAACAATCAAGAAGCTACCGGTCAATAGTTTTCCTCAGACGGTTAAACATTGCAAGGAAATGCTACGAGACAAACATCTAAAATAATACATAAATTCTTACACATTGTGTTTTTTGAAAGATTTCATATATGTTTCTTTCGCGCTTCTAAATAACAAAACCTTAAAGTTTTAAGAAAAACAACCCTTTATACCGACTTAAAATACAGAATAAATACAAATATGAAATAAAAAAGCCACCAATAATAGAATTAGAAGAACTGGCTTCTAGGTTTTTCACTGATTATTTTCAACAGTATTTAAATTAAAGGACCGGATAACCCCACATGCAAAGTTTTCCATTCACAAAGAGTAGAGAAGTGAGAGTGAGAGAACGATCGAGTGAGTGTGTGGCCGTGAGTGAGTGCGTGAGTGTGAGTGCGTGGGTGTGAGTGTGCGCGGGAGTGTGCGTGCAAAACCGCGCGAAAGTAAACAGTGACGCGTCAAGAATAATTGCACAAGTAACATGTGTGTCAGGCGCGACCGCAGGCCGCAGCAGAACCACTGTAGCTGCCGATCTTTGTTAAATTAAGGGGCGACGCTAGTCGCCGAGTGCGTCTCCTGAGCAAGCCCTTGATCTCCTTCCCAATCCGGGTCGGCAGATACAGCGAGTGTCGGCGGTGCAAGGCTGCTTTCCGCCCATGAGGGGAGATCATCTGTACCTGCACAGCCGACATCCAAGCACTGTACCCGCCGAAATAATTCTGCAGCGGGCGCTGAGTGTCGGCTGGATTCGGAGTCAAGAAAAGAAGCGGAGGCCCGAAGCTTTCCCTGTGGGCCACGCCTTCGTGTCGACACTGCCGACGATGACCGTCCGTGCCCACCACGGTGGCAGAGGCCGAGTTCATGGCATGCAAGGCATCCTTCACTGTCTGCGGCACTGCAGCTTCTTTGAAGAACTGCTCCACACCGCCAGCTTCCGGAGCAACATGCGCAGCGTTGGCCAGATCCTCGGCACTCAACTTCTCCAGCTTCTTCGCAAACGCCATTCCACCATTCTTCAGGAAATTGTAAGCGGCGGCACGTTGATCGGTCAGACGAGCAACGGTGGCCATCATATGCAACGCCGTCCAATCTCCAGAAAAGCGATTCCACACGCGCCCGCTCCCCATTCCGTGTCGCCCTGCCTCCTGGCTGTCACCCTGCTCGCCGTCGACGGCATAGTCCAGCTCTTCTCTCAACAGCAGGCAGGCAGCCCACTCGGAGGTAGACAAGTTTGTGTCGCGCTCAAAGAGATTTCCAGCATCGCCATAACGCCATAGCCTCGGCTTGGCCATGGTCCAGATCTTCCAGTCCCATAAACTCAAAGGCCGCTTGCCACGGGCTACCAGCAGACGCGAAGCCTGTCCGTTGTCCTCTTCTGCATCTCTCTGCACTGGATCTGCATCGGCTTCTGCATCTCTCCGCGCGGGATCTGCGTCTGCTTCTCCATCTCTCTGCAGGGGATCTGCACCTGGTTCCGCATCTCTCTGCACGCGCTCTGCCTCTGGAGCACGCAGCCATCTGGACTTGCCCATAACAGCATCTCGCAATTCCTGCTCGAGGCGACGTTGCTGCTCCGCAGCAGACAGTTGCCTGCAAGACTCATGAATCTGCCGGCACAGCTCCAGAATGTTTTTGCGCCCCAGGTGATCCACCAGCGTCCGCTGCTCGTCCACCATCGATTCCATCTCCAGCCCTACAGACCGAGCGCCAGCATGCTCCAGCTCCTCCAGCTTCTGCAACATGCCGACCAACATCATGGAAACTTCCCGGCCGTGAGAGTTGAAGTCCTCAACTTGCGGCTCCATGGCCAGAACACATGTCTCCGACAAGTCCTGACTGATGGACGTCTCCTGTCTGGCCTGCTCACCTGCTTCAGTCGCATCAGCGGGTCCAGTCTGCCGAACAGTACCTGGCCCAGCGTCGCCGACAGGAACAGCCACGACACAGTCGAGAACGGGAGGTGGAACAAGAGACTCCTGTCAACTTGCGATCCAGTTTCCGACATGCACACTTCGTGAACATGCACACAGACATACATACACACACATACATACATACATACATACATACATACATACATACATACATACATACATACATACATACATACATACATACATACACACACACACACACATACATACATACACACACACACACACACACACACACACACACACACACACACACACACACACACACACACACACACACACACACACACACACACACACACACACACACACACACACACACACACACACACACACACACACACACACACACACACACACACACACACACACACACACACACACACACACACACACACACACACACACACACACACACACACACACACACACACACACACACACACACACCACACACACACACACACACACAAACACAACACACACACACACACACACACACACACACACACACACACACACACAAACACACACAAACACACACACACACACACACACACACACACACACACACACACACACACACACACACACACACACACACACACACACACACACACACACACACACACACACACACACACACACACACACACACACACACACACACACACACACACACACACACACACACACACACACACACACACACACACACACACACACACACACACACACACACACACACACACACACACACACACACACACACACACAGACATACATACATACATACATACATACATACATACATACATACATACATACATACATACATACATACATACATACGTACTCCTCGCTGCCAAACCATTCGGCCAGAAGCTGTCGATTGATCTCGGCCACGCCGCTACGGTAGACTGGATTCGTCTCTCGAAGTGCTTCCGCCTGCTGCACAAAGTCGTTCACAGCTAGTTCAAGCCACACTACCAAAGCCACTACCGAGCCCTAAAAAGTCCCGGCCAGAAAGCACTACCCTAAGCACACGCTCTCTCCTTTTTGACTTTGCCGGAAATGCAGCTCAGAGTACGAAGCACAAAGCAAGCAATCGAATTGCGGCAAAGCTGAGTAGACAAAGCTTACCACCGAACGGACATATGCCCCGGCATCAAATCACAGCGAGTGAGACACATGGGTGAATCGTCATGTACAAGATGCCTGACCGGACGTACCGGACTACTAGGCAGAGCGAAGCACTCAAGGTGCGGCATATGAAGACAGGGACATTCCACAAGGCGCCTCACCGGACATACCGGACTACTAGGTGAACATGGCTTGGAGCTGAGAAATTTTGGCCTAACTGGACGAACCAGACTACTGGGCCGATAAGAAGCATGGTGCCTCACCGGACATACCGGACTACTAGGCAAAGAAGTTGCACAGCCAGCGGAGAAAGGCCTAACCGGACGAACCGGACTACTGGGCCAGACGATCCAACCGCTAGACGGTAGCAAAAGAGCTAGCACAGCCGTTTAGGGGACGGGGCCCCCCTGGGCAGACCCGGCAGACAGCTTGCGAGTATGGTACACGTCTCAAAGTAGAAGCAAGCACTGCTGTGAAACAAGTGCAGATGAAGGAATGACTCCTCATAATGGGAGTGGTGGGTGGGACAATAAAAGCGAAGCTACTAAGCGACGCAATGGAAACTGCAAGAATTCGGTGCGTGGCTTGAACCAAAAGCAACAAAGTACGGTGATCTTTCACAACAGTAAACAGACATGAGTAAACACATGAACCGTTCACAGCTAGTTCAAGCCACACTACCAAAGCCACTACCGAGCCCTAAAAAGTCCCGGCCAGAAAGCACTACCCTAAGCACACGCTCTCTCCTTTTTTGACTTTGCCGGAAATGCAGCTCAGAGTACGAAGCACAAAGCAAGCAATCGAATTGCGGCAAAGCTGAGTAGACAAAGCTTACCACCAATTTAACACTGGCAAAGTCAAAGCTCGCCCCGAACAGCCCAATTTTTAAAAGTGAGCGAAGACGTGCCAGGCGTACCCCCCAGTTGACTGGGTGGATCAAGCGGAGTGTTGTAACATGGCTTCCGTGACTCAAAGTTCCAAGCGCAAAGCCAAAAACCAGAGCTGCTCCCCGAAGCCAGTCGCCTCGTAGAAGTCGTGTCACGTGAGGACCCCCCAATAAGGAGGGGAAAGAAAAAGCACGGCTAGGGTCGATTGCCCAACTGTCGGAGCACAGAACAAAGTACCGATCCAATGCCTTGGATGACTGCACACAGAGAGGCCTGAACCTCCGCCAAACGAGTGTTGCAAAGCTCGAGGTCGGCCTCCATGTCAGACAACCGGACTGTGTGCCCGCTGGACGACTGCTCCAGGGCGAGGACACGAGTGAGAAGCCCATCTGTTGTCAGATGAGCGCCCGACAGGTCCCCTTGCAGGATGGCTACCTGATGCCTGAGACGAGAGACCTCCTCCCGCAGAAAAGCCACCTCGTCAGAGCGGTCCATGTGCATGGCCCGCGGGTAGAAAAGCCAGCTGCGGAAGCCTTTCAAAGTGATGTACAGTAAAAGGACATGCAAAGCGTTCTATGTCAAATGCAAAGAGTGCTCTAATGCTCCCTGAGAGCCACGTGGGACAGAGGCCGCGCGGGAAAAGAGAGGCCGTTATGGCACCGCCGCTGCTCGTCAGGCTGTCCAAGCATGAGAAAGGCTGACAGGAACCCCCAAAAGTGGGATAAAAGGGAGAAAGCATCCGTGCGTTCATTTACTCCAACAGACGGTGCGCGGATCTGAAGCATTGAGCGGCGCATATCTCCTGGCGAGGTTGCAGGCAGGGGGCCTAAAACCAGCTGAAGGAAACTATCTTACCGCCCGAAAGACCCACAGGCCGAAACCCAGGCTTAGGGACAGTGTCCAAATGAGGTCAGAGGAAGCCGCACAAAAAAAAAATTTTGTCTGCCACAAGTTGAGTTATCCCAAGGGAAAGAAATGTGCCTCCAAAGAGAAAGCTTGTAATACTGGGCACAGGGAGCTGCAGGCGTTGCGTGGCGTGCTCAGAAGAACAGCAAAACAAGACGGAGCCATCCTTCTCGCCAAAACGCACGCTGGCCCTGGACTGGTAGGTCCTAGCGCGTGGGGCTGAAACGCGGAAGCTGCGACGAGCCGAGAATTTAAGGACTGTGTGACAATCCTGAAGGCCTGTAAGAGGCTCCGAACTAGCCGAAAAGGGAAGCCGGCCTGATTCTTGACAGGAAAAGGAGAGGGTGTAGGCAAAGCCCCCTACTGACTGCCAGCAGAACAAACGCACTGAGCCAAGCACGGCCTAGGGCTCCGTATGGATTGGGCCGCAGTCCTATACCGGGGGGAAAACCGAAGACTCGGGGTGTAGCTCAAAGTCACCGGGTCAAGGGAGCTTTAGGCAAATGCCGGGCCTCCAGACGCGAGAAGGAGCACGATATCTCGGAGCTTTGGTGGCCGAAGCAGCCAAGACCTGAGCGAAAAGAAAAGGAGGGGCAGCCCACCGTAAGAGCGGCGGATTATGCGCTATGAAAAAGAGAAAAACTGGTGGAGTAACCCGAATTAATGACGCTTACGCTGCCGCCAGTATTTCTCCCTCCGTGCAGGCACCAAAGTCGGCCGACTGCCTAAGCACGTGAGACCTGCTCAATGAAATCACGGAGATCAGAAAGGAGGATCTTGAAGCAGGAAGCATGTCTAAGAATGTCAATGCCAATTTCGCGGTATAAGCCCCGCAAAGCTAGCCCAGGAGCAGAAGCACGGAGTGCCATGGTGCTGTTGAGGGCACACAAACAAAAGAAAGTGCAGGTACAAAGGCTGTTTAAAAGCCTGCGTAACCAAGCACACCTGAAAAGGAAGGCCCTGTGGAATCAAGAAAAGAAGGGGTCACCCTCACGAGTTGCTTGGTGCTTCAGCTAGAGGAAACTCCTCCGACTCAGGCTCTGGGGACATCTCGGCCAAGTTGCGGACAAAGAGAGCTCGCTCTTGAGGATGTTGTGCCAAAGCGTCCAAAAGAGTCTTGACTAAGTCGTTCTCGAGGCGGATGGTACTCCATCGCGCCTTCCAATTGTGCGAAAGTATTTGCCTAGCGGACGCAAAGGAACGATCCTTAGTCAAAGCATCCCAAAGCGGGCCGTCCGCGGCATCGCGGATCTGATAGAAACGCGCGTCTGACATGGGCTCGTCCTGGGACGACATAATGGCAAAGCTCAGAGAAAAGTTGCACTATCCCGTTGGAGTGGGAGACGTCACAAACAGTCTTGGGCCCCAAAGGCTGGCGAGAGGGCACAGACGCAGGTGAACCCCGCAGGGGCGCAGATGAAGCAGACTCTGAAAGTTAGACAGAACAAAAGTAGGCAAGCACAATACCCAATGATACGCACTGATAGCCTGGGGTGTAAAAATCGGAGAACTGGCCGAGTCGCGCACGGATGCACCGAGAAAAGCTCCAAAGACAAGCCGTCTCGGCGTCTGCGGGAGTGGCATAAGCCAAGACCTGCACAGGACGGAGATGTCCCTGAAAGGAGGGCTGACCTAACGAGCCGAAACCTTTGGGCCCGAGAAGTAGGAGATAAGAATCACAAGGACAAAGGCTCAAATGAGTGTCCCCAATGTCGACATCTGAAGGAAGACATGACAAAAGCACGGTGCTCTAGGGACCTGAAAGGGCTCAGCAACACTGATGTATGCCAGCATCTTGAGTCAGGGACGCCTGGCGGAAAGGTTCCAGGAGCCGGTGGGACCAATGGCCTCGAAATGCACAAAACGCCCACCACCAAGTGAAACTAGAGACTTATAACCCCCGTAAGGCACGAAGCCGACGCGAATCTGACGCTCAATGGCCCAGGAGTTGGAGTGCGGTTGCGGTCTCAAGGAGACAAAATCCCCGCAAGCACAGTGAAGAAAAGACGGTCAGACTGCAATGAGGCAAGCACTCGCGAGGCCAGGGCAGGAGAAAGGCAGACTCTAGGTGGTCGTATCGCACCTGGGGCAGACCAGGGGTCATGAAGTCCTAACTGGCTGGCGTGTAACTTGGATGACATGAAGCCAGCATGAGACCTGTAGACAGGTTTAACACTCTTGCACCGGTAACGAAAGGGAGATGCCCAAGGTTCAAGATGTGCGGAACGGGGGAGCATGCTGAAAAGCCTCTGAGCTGCTGACTCCAACGGACTGGGACCAGAACATCAGCGGGTCGAGGTCGAAACCTCCCGAGAAAAATGAAAAGAGGGCCGGTCGATGTGGGAGGGCGGCTTCGGGAAAAGGGACCCGCCAGAGCATGACAATATTCATGCGACGTCGCCCAGGGAAGCCCCAGTAGGGAAAGAAAGAGGCTGCCCCGAGTGCTATCTGTTGTTTTTTTTTCTCAAAAGCAAGCTCCAAGCGAAAGCAGAGTGACCTGACGTCACCGTACACTTTCCAGGGAAAATGAACCTGGAAGGCGCAGCCCCGGCTGCTGTCAGGAACTGTTATGCGGGCCAAAGCAAAGCAAGCCGAAGACAGCAAGCGGGGCGCAAAAGAGGCTGGGCTGAGGGAAAGATTGGACACACTGAGAGCTGCGCCCGGCAACATGTGAGCAGGTTCCAAAGACAGACCTGGGAGCGAAAGCTGCATGAGAAGGGGCACAAGAATCTGGAGCGAAAGCAGCCCCAAAACCGCAGGCCCACTCGGATTTGCATCGGCGCGTTCTGAAGCCAATCGTCCTTCAGCAGCCTAAGGCGCCCGGAGGAAAACGCGGTGAGACAAAGGCCAAAACGGACTATGTACTGCGCCCCGCCAGAATGAGCAAAGCCAAAGCAGAGGGCGCCAAAGGAAAGACAAGGTGCTGGAGTGAGGGCTTTCTAGGGCTGCCCTTGTGCTCTCCTAAAAGCTTTGTAGCAGATGCCACAGCGGTGACGATGAGGTAAATCTTCGCGCGTAAGAACTACCCCGCAATGGCCAGCTCCGCAGTCTTGACATGTAGAGCGGCAGTAAATTTGCTGGACAATCACCGTTTCGTTGTGCTGGCTGAGTGGGAAGGCGTCCGACCCCATGCCAGTGGAAAAAGGAGGGACAGTGTTTAAAGGAGGCGCCGGTGGTGGCTGGGGACGGTCGGACTGTGATACCCAAAGCCAAAGCCATTGGCCGATGTTCCATCCATGGCCTGCTTCCCTGGCGCGCTGAATCAAAGTATCAAAGGCCGAGTCCTGCTCCATCCAAAAGCGAAGCCAGTCGTCCTCCTTCCAACCACTGGTGCCATCGAGGGAAGCGGCCTCGTCCAACCACACATGTGCACGAAGAAGGTCAGCGGGGGCCAGACCAAGGGAACGGTGGCCATTAGGAAAATGCGGCCAATGGCCATCGAAAGCAGTATGCGCCTGCGTGGTCTGAGAAGCTGACGTGCTCGGGTTCGAAGCGGCCTTCTCCATCTCCTCAACCCAATGGAAAGCCCAATCATCAGAGCCGAAGCCAAAGACAGTATCCATTTTTTCAGCAGCCTCTGTTGAAGGAGTGAACGCTGGAGAGGACGAAAGCCAATGCCACAGCCATTGCGCCGGTGAAAAGCCACTAGTCGCCGGCATGTGGCGCGCGTCTTCCAACCAAGATACCGCCTTGTTTACCTCCGTATCCGCAAGGCCCAGGAAAATGTCGACATTTGCCATTGCCAGCAAAAAAGCAAAGATGGGCAGGGCCACCAAGGCAAGAGACAACTTTCGTGTCAAAGTTGGAAAGGAAAGCTAAAACGAGGATCAAGGCTCTGAAGCAAAGCGGCAAACGGGAATGAAGAAGCTCTGGATGCAAAAAAGAAGCACTGATTTGCTGTGTAGTTGTTACACACGAAGCTCACGAACGACGCTCAATCGCAGTTCAGATTGTCTGAGTGCGAGGCCCGGGGAAAAGCGCTGCAATCCCAATCTACCCCCCCGTCGGGTAAGGGTGAAGAGCCGGGCCGAAGCGAGTAAGCACTGAAGCTCCGATGCAAGCACCGACATGAGTGCAAAATAAAGAAAGCCAAAGCAAAGTGATGCAAGTCTGCCCGAAAGCGCGACCCCCTTTCTGAGGCTCGCAGCAGAGCAAAGATTCGCGTTCAAAAAGGGGAGCGGCCGCTGTCAAACCAGACCTGACCCGATATCAAGGGCAAAATGAAAATTTCCCAGAGGGCCTGGAGATTTTCCTCCTGCACAGGTTAACAGGCAGTCCTTATGCGGGATTAGGGCTTAAGGGTTGTAAGGGTTGAAACCTATGCCCCTCTTTTTTGGTATCCAGTCGACGACCAAATGGGAAAGAACGCGGGAATGGTTAAAACTATGGACTTGCATACGGGAGACATGCCCGAATAAAGAATGCCAATTAATGTGATAGAAGCCTTTCCAAAGAGAGCCTCCTGTGGCTGAAGCAATGCAAAGCTCCACGGGCTGAGGTGAAAGCCGTAAAATGCCATACAGGAATGTGATTGCGCTCCAGGGCAACAGCGGGGCTTCCGAAAGAATGTATGGTATTGACAAAGCTGAGCGCTGGGCTTGATGTAGGCGGTCTGGAAGGATCCCTCGGGCGAACAGGCCAAAAACCCCCTAAGCCAGACCTGAATTGTCAACCGAAACGTCCGCTGGAGGTTGGCGGAGCCAAGAAGGCTAACAACCGAGACTGTAGAGACGTCTCGCCCTGAAGTCTATAACGTTCGCGAGACCCTGGGTGTCCGTTCTGCATGAGTAGCTCCGGTGATGGTGTGCGACACCCGAAAGAAACACACAAAAGATAAAAGGCCTCCACCCCCCTTTTTAGGTCGGGAAGGCCGGTAAGGCAGGATGTGTGTAAGGAAAGCAACAAGCCGAGCTCAAAGCAAGACGGAGTCGGCCTCCCAGGGCTCCCGGAGCAGGAACAGCCGAAGGGTGTGGCCTGCTCTCGGCTACAAAAATAGAAGCTGACCAGAGTCAGAACGCTCAAGGCCTACAGCCACGAAGAAGCAAGGAAGGGACCTGACGGTCTCAAAAATTGGAGAATGCGACAAAGCAAAGAAATGAACTCGCAATAAATGCACAGGGGCAATAGGCATTAGGAGGCAAAAATGTCTCCAAACCTAAGAAGCTCTGATGCTCGGAAAGTATGCTCAGCAGGCAGACGCTCTGAGTGCAAGGCAGAAAAGAGATAATCTTCCAGCACCCCCTTGGGGCCTGAGCGAAAGCTAATGATGCCGGCTCTGAGAGGCAAGTTATTGAACTGCACAGAAAAGACACACGAAAATTGGCAGCCCCGATCATGCAAAGCACTCTAGAAGAGCATCAAAGAGCGAAGCCTGTCGTGGTGCGTGCGCACACCGCTCGAAGAAGTTGAAATGATAGCGAGAACGGCACCTGAGCTCAATGGACAATGTCAAAAAAAAGAAATGGCGAAGAGAAGGAAGGGCATGGCGCTGGCCCCTCACCACAGAACAAAGTGATTTTTGCACAAAAAGGCAGGGTCGAGCGCAGGCAAAAGGTCAGCCAAAAGCGACAAGCTGAGCTGAGGGTGAAACGACTCCCCGATTCAAGAGCATACTGCCAAGAGGCATGAAGGTTGGCTGCGGGACTTCTCAAGCCAGAGGAAAAGTGCCAATGGTGCGTCTTGGGATAAAAGCCAGAAATTAGCTGGGCTGATCACTGGCGGCTTCGTCCTCCAGTACAGCAGGTGTGGTCGGAGACCCAGGAGAAGCTGTAGTCGGTGGAGCTCCCGTACTCTTCGGTGCTGCTGGAGGTGGAGCAAGACCAATGAAAGAAGCCGTCGCCGATGGAAGGGTCGGAGTAGAAGTAGAAGGGTGAGGAACCGCATAGACCCCAAAAGGCAACTTTATAGCCACAACAACTTTTCGGAGATAAGTGTAAATCCCAATGTACGTGTATAGCATCAGACGAATATAAAAGTTGAATCCCATGTGGATAAGCAAAGGACCCTAGTGGTCTCATTCAACAGAATAGACGAATGATCAACTTATTCACTTGGGCGCGATTGTTCCTTTTTTCTTCCGATGGCAATGCCACAAGTCGGGAGAATCCAAAAGCCCTCCCAGGGCCTCCAAGGTCACGCATCACCGTACACGAGTGAGCGCGCCTTAGACATCCCCGGGTGGGTGGGTGGGGAAAGAATTTTTCAGGCTCTGTGTCTATCTCAAAAGCTCTCAGCCCACAGCTTGACGATGCAGACAAGCTCAAAATGCAGAGCCTTACCTCAAGGTTGAAAAATTCTCAATCTCTTAAAAATCATGATACTCACAAGTTCCCCAAATACTGCAAGCGGCGTCATGACGAGCAAATGTTAAAACCATGATGCACGCAAGTTGCTATACGAGGGAAGTAGCTTCCCAGATTACAAAGATCCGAAAAGCGAGTTTCAAAAGTGACAGACAACTTTTGAAACATTGTGTGTCTATAAAGCTATAGGAGACGAGTCTCCAATAAAGCTTATAGCCACAACAACTTTTCGGAGATAAGTGTAAATCCCAATGTACGTGTATAGCATCAGACGAATATAAAAGTTGAATCCCATGTGGATAAGCAAAGGACCCTAGTGGTCTCATTCAACAGAATAGACGAATGATCAACTTATTCACTTGGGCGCGATTGTTCCTTTTTTCTTCCGATGGCAATGCCACAAGTCGGGAGAATCCAAAAGCCCTCCCAGGGCCTCCAAGGTCACGCATCACCGTACACGAGTGAGCGCGCCTTAGACATCCCTCTTCAACTCAAGCGGGCTCAGGAGTTCGCCTGACATGCAGCATGAAGGGTGATCACAAGAGCAAGTGCCCCAGAAAGGAAAGTTTGACGAGCCCCTTGAGGGAGCGTCCGAAGGATTGCTAGGACTTGGTACACGTGCTATCCAACCAATCATGGGCACTGCATCGGCCCGCTCAAACTCGACAAGAAGTGATCGCCACACAGTGTCCCTGGAGGTCCCACTCACACAGGCGGCATGAACACCTGAGTGGTCCACGAAAAACAAGGCCCTTGAGGAATTCAAGTAAGACCCCCATAGCCGCCTGGCGACGACAACTGCAAATAACTCAACGGGTCCAATCAAATGGCGCTTGCCGGCATTGCTCCACTTTTGAACAAGAGCAGCGGGCATTCTGCACGCGAAGAAGCGGGTGTTCCAACTTCCCTCATGGTGGTGGTAAAGGATGCCGCCTATGGTGCAGACAGGATGGCCGTCTTCAAACTCGCAGGCCCCATCGGTGAAGACGCAAGCACACCCTCTCGGTATCGCCGTGGGGATTGCCCGAGGGGGGCCCGAAACCAAGCGCTGCTTAAGGTTTTGGAAGGCAGCGCACTCGAACTTGCCAAGACGCAACTCCCCATTTGAAGAGCACAGGGATCTAAGCTCCATGAGGGCTAAACGCCCCAACCTCCCAACAGCTGGCCTTCCATGAACTGAATGCGTCCAAACAAAGATGCGACCTCGGAGGCCTTAAGAAAACCCTTGTCAAGCACTTGGTCGATGGAGGCGGACATCTCGGTGCACTTGTCCTCGCGATTTGCAACTCTGACATGCTTAAGGGTGGGGTCAGACAGGTCTAGGGTGACACCCAAGAGGTTTGCAGAAGGAGCGAAGCCTTCCTCCTTGTCAGCGGCTCGAGTAAAGCCGAGAAGGGAAAGGATGTTGTGCACGGTCTTCTCACAACTCCCGGCAAGTGCTGACAACTCCAGCAGGGGATAATCACAGTCCAAACAATCTCGTCGATGGCTCGAAGCGTGAGCTTGTCGCAAGGGGCAAAGGCACTGTTGACCCCATTCTCGGCCAAGTCATCGATGGGCCTTAGCTTCCCTCTTTGCACTGCAAATCGACGGGCAGGGACCCATGAGCCCTTGAAGTAGTCTTCGAGTTCGTCCCAGGACCGAGCTGGGTCCAGCCACCCCTTTTCCGAAGACTCAGCATGCGTGATGTCGAAGAGCTCTTGCTCATGAGGATTTGCCGGGCCTTGGGCTATCTTATCCCACAAGAGGCTTCAAGACCTCAGCCTGTTCCATCAAGCCGTCCACAGTCAGTTCTGCCGGTTTAGGGTCCAGAGGAAAAACACCGCTAGGCTTTTCCTCCCCGACAAGCCGGAAACCATGCGTGAGGTCGTGGTGCAAGTGCTCGTCGGGCCAATCCAAGGATTTGGCAATCCTATCAAGGAGGAGAAGCTTCTTACCTCTTACCACGCTTGCCACGGAAGGGTGGAGGGACGCGTGCAGTTGTTCCTCGCGCCCCTCCAACTTCTGAGCCCACTTCCTCCAGGTGAGGTAGAGGTCCAACCTGCGTCGAACAACCGTCAAAGGACCATCGAGGAGCACCCTGGCGAGAACGGTCAAGGCCTGGTCAGGTAGGGCTGTGGCCACGTCAAAGGGGTGTGTTAGGGTATGTCATTACCCAGGCTTCCTGCAGGATTCTCTGGAGCAGTCGGGCCACCCTGTTGAATGCCGTGACGCTGGCGGAAGCGCGCCGAAAGGTGACACCTTTGAGACATACCCCACCACACGGGAATCAGACGGTCTGCGCAAGCTCACGACACACAGACGGTGGTCCGACGGGTGAAGGGGAAGCTGCTTGTAGGCGGATTTAAGATCCACCGTTTTCACAAGCGGACGTGCCCGCGAGGTGTTGGAAGCCCAGAACGAATGGAGCGGACCAGAGATCACCTCCCCCGTGGAGAGTGGGACATGCACATAGCCTTTGCAAATCAGGGCGCGCATGATGAATGCTTGGCAAACTGCAAGGGGTCCCGGTACACACCACAAGTGATTGATGCCACAGCAGAGTGCACCCCTCCTTCAAAGTTAACCCGGAGAACCTTAGAACCGACAGGCACGGGGCCCAAAGCAGCGCACAGGCAGTTCTTGTCATCAAGCGCAGGCAACTGGCCGGACGGAAGGGAGACAGTGACCTGGTAATGGTACTCATCGATCAAGACAACAGCCTTAGAAGTGCGTGGCTGCTTGTGTGTGGCCGTTCGGGCCGACTCATTCGAGAGGTCGGACGGAGAAGGCATAGCATGAGAGGCACCCAGGGCCAGCGAGGCCGCGGAAGCATACCTAGTGCAAAACACCTTGGGATACTCGGCTTCATCGGCAGTTGAGAAATCCCCGGAAGGAAGGATGCCCCACGGGCGGTGAGGGTGGGAGTTGTCGCACTGGCGGGCAAGGGCGGACAACTCGGGCAGAGAGGTCCAGAGCTCCTGATGCTTAGCGCGCGCCCCCGTGCATGCAGGCGTCATAAGGCACAACGGAACAACGAGGACGCAAGTGAAGGAACTCAGGCAACAACCACATGTAGGAGCGAGCAGGGTTCTCCACGCAGAAGTGAGTGTGGGCGCCTCCTCAAGCAGCCAAGCACAGAAACGCGCAGCGTGACGGTATATCGAGTTAGCAGAGTCGACCTTGGCCTGCCACGAGGGAGAAAGGCCGGGCAGCCCCGCAGGGAAGGCCTCGGTGCGAAGGGCAGGCGGAGATGGCTGCCCTTTGATCGGTTCCGCGTGCCCGCGAGGCCGTGCCACAGGGAGGCGCAATGTGAATGAGGAACACCTGCCGGGCCTGCACAAGCCGGCGAAGGTAGCCCCACGAAGACTCCAAGCGTAAGTCAAGATGCACACAATGCACCAAAGGAACATGGCGGTTGCCAGGATGGTCGACAGCCAAGACCTGAAACCCTAGGGCTCGAAACGCCGCGGAGAGGCCAGCGGACCCACAGCACAACTCGAGGAACATCAGTTTTTGCGGCCGGACGGCCGGCAAGGCTGCTGAGTCGGTCATGGCAGTCGAAGGCCCAGGGGGCCCCTCCGAGGCGGCGGCTTCTTGCATTGCGGTGTCAGGGCTGGCGGGGTGACCCGAGGGGCTAGGGGGACTACACCCCGAAGGCCTAAGGTCAGGGTGCTCAGTTGCAAGGATATTGTTCTGTGCCGTTTGTCGCATCCGCCTCCGTCAGCTACCAAAGACATCCTGAGAGCATCCGTGGGTTCTGGACCCGTTCGACCCTTCACACAACGTGTTGCAACTTGGCATCCAGCATAACGGCACATGCAATGGACTCCTCACTCCTCGAGCGAGCAAGTCTTCAGGTCTGGTCTCTTGCCGTACCTTTCTGTGCCCTGTCTGTAAGAGCAGCGGCTGAGCGGTGGCTTGTGACGATGTGCTGTGAATTGGACTCTTCCTCAAGTGGAAGAAGCCGAAGGTGGATGACCTTATCGAGTTGCGAGTGACTTCCTGGCAGACCAGAGGCTCAAGCAGGAGAGATCTCCACGCGATTTGAGCCGGGTGCCTGAGGCCACAGGTAGCAAACTTCTCCTAATCTGATAGACTTGCGCAATGGCGCCGAGTTCTGGAGGTCTTGGGGCTTACCAGCCTAAAGACCATGCGAGCTTGATGAGAAAGATGGAAAAAGATCTGCAGAACCAGAACCTTCTCTCTATGGCCAAGGGGGTCGGCTACAATCCCAGCACACGAGAGCCAAGTAGGGTTACTGTCCAGGGGGACAGTGGCGCTATGAAATTCCATATGATGCCAAAGGAGTGGGGAGCTCGGGGCATCCAATCCCACATTGATTTTGAGCAAATCGAGGCCATGTGGGCCAAAACACAAACCGTGAAGCAGCGACACCTACTTAGGTGCAAGAAACAGCAGTCGTCCCTCATTTCGAAGGGCTTTCCGTGCAGTTGTGCATGGATATCTGGGATGGAGCTAGGCGTGCTGCCAGATGAGGACGCATGGCTGGGCGAAGTTGCAGTGTCGCATGAGGCCGATGTCCTTAATATGACGGCTGCTAAAATGACAGCCCATGATGAGTTTGAGCTTTACTGCGTTCAGTCCGAACTATTCGACATGATCGACGTGTGTTTTGAGTGTGAGCTTCAGACGTACCACATCGCAGGGGATGAGGATACGAAGGAACCAGGCTCCCGACTCGAAGATGTATCGCTTTGGTGCGGCTATACAATCAAGGACGGTCATGGTAGTGCCGGTGTTCATCCGGGTAAGGGTTTCGAACAAGCCCTCTTCCAAGACCCGTTCCTGGTTGAGCCTGACTGTTATGCTGAGCCTCCAAAGTGCGAACCGTCAATTTCATGCACACCTACTTCAACTTCAAGTTTCTCATGTTTTGCGGGCGGAGTCACTTTCTTTGCTGCGGTGCTCGAGGATTGGGGTTTCAACCCGTGGAGCGGGTGCAGAGTGGGGGAAGCGAAAAACCCAGGACCTGCTGCTATGTCCATTCTGGGAGCTGACTTCCTGGAAGAGATCAAGATCATGATACGGGAAATGGTTCAACAGGCAATCCGTGAGGCTTTCACTGCTGGCCCGTCTCCCAGTGCCCGAGATGGGGCTCGCGAATGCAATGAGTCTAACGACGATGAAGGCAAGCGCAAAAGGCGACGACGTGATGGCAAAGGCGAAGGGGGCAAATCAGGACAACCAGAGCAACAGGCGAGTGGTGCTGATCTTCGCAGTTCTGATGCTTCCTCAGGGACTACACCTAGCAGGGGTAAAGGCAAAGGAAGTTCGGGCGCTGCGCGCAAGGTCCTTTTGTCTGACGCCGCTGACAAGCAGACCAAACAATCCGGCCATAAATCCCCAGACAAGGATGGATGGATCAAGGTGCAACGAGCCCCGCCAGTAGGTGATTTCAAGCTTCGACCTCAAGACTGGGATTCAACTATCGTCCAAGTCGACAATTTCGCTTCTGAGTTGGATAGTGCAGCGAACGATGCTGTTTTCAAAGCAGTGGTATTGTGCAATACTGAGGAGCAGGAGCTGATCAATACTATGTTGGCAGGCACGGCGAAGAAACATAGTGTGCTCACCATTGTCTTGGGCAAGTGTGACAAGGCTCAGCGCATTCCAGGTAAGATTGGAGACCGTCTTTGTTTTCGAGATGGATTGGCCACGAAAATCACCTCGCAGAACACCGCGGCCCCACAGCCTACAGGAATGAAACAGCAACAGGTCCAGATCGCAGCCAAGGCTACACAGGTCATCAGTGTGCGAGTCCCGTCTCTTTTCATGGAGCGGGAAAAATGGGACATGTTTGCAAAAAATCCATCAAAGTCAATAGTGCAATGGTGCGGGGACCATCACGTGCAAACCATTGACACTTTTGCGTGGAAGGAGGAACAAGATCAGCGCATGGGCCGTCAGCTATACGGGTTGGTACGCTTACTACAAGTGGACGTGACTACAATTCTTCGTGCTTCAGGTCATGGGGGAATTTTTATTGAAGACATTTCTCGGAAAACTCGGGCCGCGGTAGAGTGGATCTCCCGTATCTCATCGGACGAGCAACACCACGCGCCCTCAGAGCCACAGGGGACCTGGGTTTAGTGGTCCGGGGCAAACAGTTGGGTTGGCGACGGTCGGTCAAGGCGGATGAGGCAGTGGCCACAGTATGGATGCTGGAATCCATCCCCAAGGAGTGGGACACGGACCAAATTAAGGAAGTTTTGAGGACATCCTTTCAAAACGTTACCCTGATCAAGCAAAGACATGTGAAAGGATGGCGCACCTGTTGGTTTAGGGGTGCTTTGCAGGCCAAGGATAATCGAGATCTCGTGCCGGTAGCTGTTGAGTACATGGGTGCTGCTATGACGCTATGGGCAGTTCTTGCACCTCCCCGCAACACACCTCGCAAACAAAGGCCGCTTCGAGGAGCAACCATGAGCTTGGAGGCCAAACGGTCAATACTAGACCCAATTGCGGAAGCTGCAGGTGTGACTGGTGGGACAGAGGTATCGCAGAATGCACAGAAAGAGGAGTCTGTCGCCAAGAGACCTAAGGTTGAGAAACGCAAGATACCGACTGGAACAAAATTGCAAAGCATGCCTGGTGATGGATCTTGCGGTTTTCATTGCTTTGCTGAGGGCCTGAAGATTTTGTCGAAAGACAAACAAGTTGTTCATCCTCGGGAGATGCGAGCAAAAGTTGCGGCCCATCTCCAGCGATATGAGAAGGAGTACGTGCATATGTGGGATGGAACAGGACCGAGTGGACAGAAGCTGCCTTCATGGAATGAGTATGTTGAGGCTGTGTCCAAAGAATCCGCATATATCTCGGAGATGGAGATTGCAGCCTTATGCCGGATTTATGATATCCGGGCCATTTTAGTGCCGGAATGTGCATCTTTCCCTCCAGTCACATTTCACATTAAGCAGCAAAAGCGAGTCATCGGTTTGTGGCACACGCATCAACACCTTGACCTCTTGCTACCTGATGGTCAGACAGGCTACCCAAAGGAACTGCTGGAGGTCAAGAACGGGCCAACTTTTGGCGTTCGAGTTGGAGGCGCAGAGTCTGAAGCTGGTACCGTTTGGACTTCGAGGGCCTCTCAGGTAAAAGGAGCCAACATAGTCCCTAGCAGTAAGCGTTCTTTGGAAGGTACCGTGTGGACTAACAAGACGGCTCGCAGTAGCGCAGCTGGCAAACGCAACGCAACTTCGCAGCCGGATGGACTAGACAGCAGGCCTCATGGAACTGCCTGCCAGCGCACTATTTGGACGACAAGTGCCAATTCCCTCCCGAACCTGCCGGCCAACCCCGACCTCGAACATGACATCGATGCTTTGGATAGCATGATCTCGGAGAGCTTGCTTGACTCAAATAATAGCATCCAATCCAACAAGAAGCGCAAATGTCCTTGGCGTGTTCGAGACCCGATGCCAGTTGATAAGATTTTTCGATGTAAGCTCTGTCCCTTCCAGAAACCGGTCAAGGACGCCAAGAGTTACATCAACTGCCGAGCTAAGCACTGCAACACACATCATGAAGGCAAAGGTCTACCAGGAAAGCATTTCCGACCCATGATGGAGAACGTGAACGGGGACCTTGAACGTTTCTTTTGGAAGTGCCCAATCTGTCGAAAAGGCGTCACTAAGGAACTAAGGGCGAAGATCAACGCGAAGGCCTTTGCCGCTATGAAACGCGCCCATGGAGCTGAGCAGCATCCTCGAATCGATCGGGCACGATGGTTGAAAATAGCCAAGAAGCCCATGGACAAGGCCAAAGTCTCAAAGAAGCACCGGTTCCAGAAGCTGAATGCCAAAGTGGTCAATCACCTGCAGGCGCCGCCAGTGCCAACGACAAAATTTCGCATGTATATTTGGCCACATGCCAAGTGCACCAAGAAGAAGATTACAGGCATCACTTTTACACATGCTTGGTCGTGTAGACAATGCGGTTCTTGCTTCAGACGCCAGGGCACTGCCAAGAAACACCTTTCCAGGCCTTGTGTACCGCAGTCAAAAAAGACCTGCACCTACAGACTGAACGTGCTACAGAGATTGAGAACTTGGGCGGCGTCAGCACGTCAGAAGCATGGCCTCTCTTCGGACATTATCAGTGCTACTTTTGACTCAGCAGCTGAGGCCTTGAGTGCGAGTTCCACCTTGTCAGCATCTTCCTCAAAATCGCGAGTTTGAATGTCAATCGTAAAGGTGTGTCCCTCTCCAACCTCATTGATGATTTTGCCAGTGGAATTGGTGCAGAGTTACTTTCAATACAGGAAGCTGATGTGAATCCGCTGTCCAAACTTGGCTACTTGAAGGAATGGAGAAGCCTTGGAGCCACCGCTATCCTGAGTCAGCTGGATGATGGCGCCAACTCGCACAGGGTAGCACTGGTCTCCAAATTGCCCATTCAGCCGGTGACCCTGAAAACCGAATTGGCCTCCACTAGATACTCTGCGGGTCTCATTGATTGCCGCATTTCTGGCCGAATTTCAAAGGTCCTGATGGTTGCTTTTTATGGATTTCCCAATGACGCACATGCCACTTCTCAAGCTCTGTTGGAGGTTTTTGAAGCTGTTAAGAGGTTTGGTGGTGCTTTCATTTTATTGGGGGATTACAACATGACCCAGGAGGAGGGCGCCGTCAGAGATTTACTGATGGAGGGAAGTGCTCGATCCTTGGATGAGATGTTTTTGGGCCCCCTTCCCCCTACAAATCCGCTGAACACCAGACGTATAGATTTTGGCTTGGCAGACTCCACGGTGTTGGCCACGGACGTCCAACATTTCAGGCGTTGTGAGCTTTCTGACCATGCCATCATCTGCTATAGTCTCGACAGCAGTGCTCTTTCCACTGGCCATGCGCAGCCAACCTTCGCAAATTTGTCCCAAAATGATCCTGAAAAAATTGCCCAATCGTTTGAGCTGAGCTGGGACATCCACCGGTTTGATAGTTACCTTGACTCTGGCGACCTGGATGAAGCGTGGCGCCTTTTGTCAGATGCTGGGGAGGCCTCGCTGGCCAACAAGGAAAATGCCGGACAGTGCCAGGCCCGAAGCGAAGCATGGAGTCCAAAGCAGCGGCCCCTGGTTAAACAGTCTGTGCATGTGCGTGGCCATGAGTCCCAAGGTGTTCGAGGCCTTCGAAGACTCACCACACGCCTCCGCCAACTTCACCAACAACGGCATTGTGATGATCTACGTGAGGCCATTGTTCAGTCCCTTCCAAAACTCCGCAAATTAGTACCAGAGCTGCCTTTTTTGCCCGCCGGATGCCTGGAAGAACAAGTGGATGCTGTGCAGCAATTATATGAGCGTTACCTGGCGCAGGAACAAGAGGCTAGGGTCCAACAGTGGCGATCACGCACCAAACAAAATGTGGTGCGCCAAATATCGTGGGTGAAACGCAAGGCAGATGAGGCCCTTCGAGCTGAGCAGCAACCGCCCCCTATTGAGTCAGCGCCGGTGTCTATTCATCCCACGCTGGTCCTCAAAACCCAGGGCAAGAACTGGAAGGAGAAATGGACTGCCAAACCTGGTGACATCAACTTTCAGGCCATCAGGGAAATCTTGGAGGAAGTGCCCCAAGTCCAGCCTTCCGAAATTCAGTTGCAGATGACTGCCTTGGAACTCAAGGAGGCAGCGAAGCAAATGATAAATAAAGCCACCGGAGCGGACCAATGGTCCGCGAAATCGATGTTGCGACTACCAGAGCAATGGTGGGATGGACTATGTCGACTGTGGAACAAAATCATTGTTCTGGGATATATACCTCGACTTTGGAGGCGGGCGGTTATTATCCTGTTGCCAAAGAAAGTCGATGAAACACGTCCCATAGCATTAAGCTCGGTGCTGTGGCGTATCGGCGCCCGGTGCGTCGCTCGCAAGCTCAGACAATGGAGCGAACTCTGGTTGGACCATTGCACGTTGGGATCTGCGGCTGGACGAGCCGTCACAGACGCCCACTGCAGGGTGCACATGGCTTGGAATGATGGATGCCGCGCTTTCATACAACAAGACCTCACTGCCTTTTTCGATTCCCTGAGTGTGCCGGCAGTGGTCATGGTCCTGAATCGGCTGGGGGCACCCACAGCTTTGAAAACACTGCTGACATCCTTCTATCATGATGCTCGACGCATTTTCCGGGTAGGCGGTGTTTGGGACACCGGGTGGTTTGAGCCCACCCGGGGTCTGCTGCAAGGCTGCCCATTAAGCCCCGTGGTGGCGCTGGCTGTGGGTTGCATTTGGTCTCGCTTTTGTCAGGTTCCAGGAGCTCAGAATCTGATTTATGTTGACGACAGAATGATATGGCCGGATCATTCAATGCCCGACCCAGTGGCTGCGGTTTCTCTGGCGCTTCATAAAAGCGACATATATGATGCTGCGTTTAATTTTACCTGCAAGCCCAGCAAATGTGGAGTAGCTGCTGCCCTCGATGACCATTCGTTGGATGTAATAGCTGAAAGGCGTGGATACAAACGCACAAGCCATCTTGATATCCTCGGTGTTCGATTGGACCTACAAGTGCAAAATGCTTCCCCGCTGAAACTTCATCTCCGAGTACTGCTGTTGCGATTGCACTATCTTAAAGTCCTCGGCCCGAATGCCGCTCACAAGAAGCTGGTTATTCACAGCTTAGTCTTCTCGGCTGTTCTTTGGGCGGCAGGAGTTGCTGAGCCATGCAGCCGGGAAATCAGGGAGATCCAAAAAGCCACCCGGGCCGTCTACAAACAGCACTGCACGGACGAAACTCCTGCGATTCTGCTCTATGAGGTCTTTGGCTGGGATCTGAATTTGCGGTGGGCGCTGGACAAAGCCGCCCTGAAAGCGTTATGGCGTTACGTCTGCAAACCTCCTGAGTGGTTGGACACCTTGCCTTTGACAAATGCTTTTCCTGCTTGGGGCGTCATCTTTCCAATGGCGCAAGAGGTCCTAGAGCGACTTAACTGGCAAGCGCTTGTCCGTGACAAGGCCCTTTCTCGAACTGACGACAACGGCGTGCAAAGGAAGTACTTCTTTGGAGTCGACTCTTTCAAAGTGCTCATTCAATGGCTCACTGAGGCGCACAGATACAAGGCTGTGATGGAATGTGGTAGGGTTTCCAGAAGTTATCACAGGTCTGACGATAATTTGGCCCGCGGCATGGCGCTTCCGAAGCCCCCAGAAGGGGCAAGGTATGCTTTTGCTGGACATCGTTCACTTGGACAGCCCAGCGCCTCCTTGGAAATTCGTCGAGCTTGCCTGGCAACAGGAGGCACTGCTTGGTACCATAATGCTCGGCACGGCCTTCGTGCTATCTCTGGACAAGCTGTTCTTTGCAGATGTGGAGGTGCTTGGCCCTCCCGCCCGCACATAACCTGGACGTGTGAGCACACTCAGAGACTTCGTTGCAACCTGCAATTGCCCACCGAAAGGGTCCAGGAGCGATTATTTGGAGCACGGATTCAAGAGTTTCCTGCTGCGCCAGCAGCTGGAAACGTGCAAAGGTTTGTGCAGCGCCTCGTTGAAGTCATTTTGCGGGCACAGCTCAGTGATCTTCTGCTGGTGGCAACGGATGGCAGTTCGCAAGATGACATTGGGGCTTTTGCAATTGTTGTTGAGAGTGAGAACGAACCTTTGGCCTGTGGGGACAGCCATGAAGATCAAAGCCCTTTTCGGCAGGAACTTCAGGCCATCGTTTTCTTTCTTCATGCGTCGCGGGTTGCCTGCATCCACGGTGCCCGGATTGCAGTTTTAGTCGATTGCAAGTCGGCGATCAAAGCCGTGCAATCGCCGACCAACTGCTCAGCTCCACTGTTAGCCGGTCGTGCCCGTCGCGATCTACTACATCTCCGGGAGCAAGGCAACATCATCGATTTTGTGTGGGTGCCTTCACATGGAAAGAAAGATGGATGGCACCCGCCGACCCCTCTCGAGGCAACGAAGTGTAGGCGACTTAACCAAATTGCGGACGAGGCCGCAAATAAGGAGAGAGCTGCGCGCTGTGTGGACTCCTCGCGAGCCAAATGGCATCGAGCTTTTGAGTCCGCCGAAAAGCAAGAAATCGCAATCATCCGAGCTGCGGCAGCAGCGTCAAAGGAACTTGAAGAGTACATCCTGGCGACTCACGCTGCCAATGCTAGATGATGGCCTAAGCAAGTGTGACCGCCCGAGTCGTCAGCTCGACTGACGTGCCACACTGAATGAAATGATGATTCCGTTCTTAGGGCCTCAAATGAGAGGACCATCTAAGCCTTTGCAGCTCTGCCTGCTTGGTCTTGTAGCCTCCAGGCATCTGATGACAGCATTTTTATTTTCATTTTGTACAGCTGAGACAGATCAGCTCCATCTCCTGTGCCAGGCATGTGCAGTTTGCCTCGCGCAAGTTATGTGGCTGTTCCTGAAGTGGAACGTTTCACGGACAGGTGGACCAGTCGTGCGTGGGACCTCGCGAGCGCTTCGGCATGCCGGGGAGCTCGGGGCCTGCGCACTCATAACCCATAGTTTTCCTGGCAGACCAGAAGTCCCAGAGCAGGGAGCTTTGTGCAGTTTTGCTTTTGTCCAGCTCATGTGTAGTCCATCGCGTAGAAGCAGGAAGTACGTTCTTGTGCCACCTGAGGTCTTGATCCAGCAGCCCAGCACCTGTCCGAAATGGGCAGGTTGGACAGGCGCGGTCTGTGGTCATCTCCTGTGCGACACAACAACAGCCGTGCACATGAGTTTACAACGCGCAGGTCCCAGTCAATTCTCGATTTTTCTGCACAGTTGGATTTCGTCGGAACAGATCCTGTGACCTTCGAGGGCGAATTGGAAAAGGATTGCAGGCAACGGAAGCTCTTCGAGTGTCTCTTGGCCGTTTACAAGCATAATGCACGGAAAGCAAGTCAATTTACGAGAGGCGTTTTTCATCATTCTTCTTCCCAGGCCGCTGGTGGTGTATGAGGCTGGCAAACGTGGACAAAACCCATTTCCCACAAAGTGATGTCTACAATATCATCACCGCCAACCTTCGAGATCTGTTTGCACACTGCTGCGACGTGGATGCATCTGTGAGCGATGCTGCGCACCATCTTATTTGGAACCATGGGTTGGGTGGCCTCCCATTTGTGCAGCAATTGATTGCCGAAGCCATGCTTGAAAGGATGGAAGACCTGCTTCCAGAGTCCGTCGAAATCAGCAAAGAGGCCTTGAAGCAGGCAATGCGGTGTGCGACGAATCTTACTACCGTTCTGCGCGCACTGACGAAGCCTCAGCGTCAGAAGTGGGTGTCCCTGCTGGTCAGAGCCCTCCAAATTGAGGAGCAGGACCAAGTCCAGGAGACACTGCTATCTTATCTGAAGATCCTGTGGCGAGTTGATGACGAGCCCAGAGCAAGCTATGCAGAAGCAGAGGAGCAACTGAAGGGTTTCTCAATGCATGCCAACAAGCATTTGCAGATGGAGATTTGGCAGTTCCACTACTGCTGAATTCTGTCTCACGCAGCCAAACGCTCAACGAAAGCTTCAGCCAAAAAGCAATATAGCAAAAAAGGGTTCAGTCGCGACAGCAGCAAGCCGACGCGCAGCCCCAGCCTCCAGCATGCTACATAGAGGCCCGAAATCTCCTGCCCCCACACACACGCTCTTGCAGAGGGAAAGGTCAGACGAGTCAAGCCTAAGTGCCCTCATGTGTCTCCTCATGGGCTCGAGACAGCAAGGGCGCGCGGGGACTGGCAATGCATCGATCCGCGCGACACTCAGAGCTTGCGCTTGTTCTCTGTTGACGGTTCCCGAGGCTTCAAGCGTTGCTCTGCATCAAGCTACAGCAGTGCGCAGCCGTCGCAGCCGTCGCAGCTACAGCTACTCTGTGACGTGTAGAACAAGCCAATGGTTCAAGACCTGACGCATTTCAACGATTCTCAGTGTCTTGCGTGAAGTTAAGACGATGACATGCATTGTGCAATGGCACCATGCTACGCCGGGACCGATTCCACATGACCCCGGGTCCCTTGGCGAATACGCTATGCCACCGCTATGTGAGATACACAGCCGCAGAGACAGGTCCCACCCTGCTGCGTGTGGCATTTAGCGGGAAGTTTGGCAAAAGACTCAGGTTGGACCAGTATGTGTGGTCTCTCATTGCGTGGATCCAGCAGCTGAGCGCCGAGAACGATCAGCTGCAGAAAGAGTCTTCAAGCTGGATTTCAGCACACTTAGCACGCTAAGAGGATGGCTTTGTTCCAGTTGTTACACGATGCAGCAGATCAGAACGTTCAATCGGCTCACAGGCGCGGCGTGCTTCGCCGTGACAACCATGAAGCTTGGGCTCGAAACGAGGCGCTGCAAAATCAGCTTCTAAGCTGCAGTTGGTCAGATTCGTGGCCTCCGCTGGGTTCGTGATGCAAGTGCCGTCCTGCTGGAATGCTTGCACAACGTGCGTAGGGGATGGAGGTGCGGCATGGCAAGACGTCGAAACATGCTCAAGCCGAAGCTTCCAATTCTGTCAAGCCGGCCCCAATTCGGCAAGCGAGTGTGCAAGTTCATGCTATTTCCGTGAACGAGCTCGATTCACAAAATGAACCCCTTAAAGTCTGCTGCCACTGCCGTTGACACATTTTCGTTATAGTCATTCTTGTTGTTGTCGCTGTAGTCTTAGGTATTACTTGAATTGCTATCGCCGCGATTAATGCAGTTACAGTATCACTGTTGCCAGTATTGCTATGACTATGACGCTCATTATCATTGTCACCATCGCTGTGACTGCTAGTGCTCTCACCGTCTCTATCGTTATCGCTATCAGCCGCTATCACGAAGATCAGTCTTCACTATTGTGACTCTGCTACTAGTCGTTTGAGGAGTAGTTGTATCACTATCACCAGCACTTCGCTGTAACTGTTACTTTTGCTGTTTCTAAATTGCGACTGCTTTTTCTATCGAAAATCTTCTCACTGGTTTTATTCCTGTGCGCAGTATTCCGGTCATTGCCAGCATGCTGTATTCTTGATGTGGCGGCATGCACTTCCGCGATGCTCAGGGCACCAGAACTTTAGTTAGCAGCTGATCACCTGTACTTGCTTGCTACTGACGGAAGCGGCAGAGAGAGTTGTCATGAACGAGCAGCTGGTCGAAGATCGTGTTTGAGGTCGATCAGAGCAGCGTGTCTGACTGTGACTAGCAGCTGGTCAAAATACAATGTCCTGGAAGCCTTGCGCGCTTTGTCGGATTGTGTTGGAGGTCGGTCAGAGTACTCTAATGCGCAATTTCGCAGAAAGCTGGCGTGCAAACAGTATCGTGCTTGATGAGATCGCGTTTTTTGTCGGTCGGAGAGAAAAGTCCTTGCACCAGCCGGTCAAAGTATGATGGGTTCCGGAATGGTTGCGTGTCTGAGGTCGGTCGAAGAAGCTATTCGCGGCATGTCGTGGTGGTAGGTCCAAGAACAGTTGCATGCCTGATCGGGTCGTGTTCGTGTTTTGTCAAAGATAGCTGTCACGGGCCTGTCGTGCTGGTAGTAGCTGGTCTAAGAAATGTCTGCATGGCATTCAAATGGAGCCCAGGTGCATCACTCTTGACCAGGGCTACCACAAACTTTGGACGGACAACGCAAATTTGCGCAAGTCGCTTCTCAGCTGCAGCTCGTTGGATTCGCCGTTTCGCACTGCAAGTGCCATCCTGGTAAGAAGCTTTGAAGCAAGCGCGAACTCTGGCACGCTTATGCAATGTGCATAAAAGGCTGGAGGCTGTTCCGATTGTGACAGGCAGGCGCGGGCTGGCAGGATGTGGAACCGGCGCTGAGGTTCCATGATTATCGCCGTGAGAACAGTGCCGGCTGGGCTGACACCGGGAAGCTTCGCAAAGCGTTTCGCAGCTGCAGTTGGTTCGGCTGAAGGCTGAGGGAGTAGATTCGCAGGTCGCGCTGTGTCGACATTGAAGGTCCTGCAATTAAGCATTTTACGGGCGTATTCGGCATGACCGTGTGGCAACCGAAGCTTGCGCACTTTAGGGCTGGCCTTGAGTCTCAGCTCCTCGCGGGTTCTTTCTCCTTCTCTTGCATCCGCATGCGCCCATCGTCACTGAAGGCTACGCGTGCAGACAATGGTTCAGGAGTGCCGGAAGCAACTTGTCGACAAGCTTCTGCTCCGAGATGCAGCATCTTTAGATGAATCTGACACTCTGACGGCCAGCTAGTCATTCAGACAGCTGGTACAGCTGTTGACAGAATTCGACAGAGGTGTGTCAGGTCGTTGTGTGCGACAGTGTGCGACTGTTTGCACTATGTTGACACAAGCCACATCAAAACTTAGCTATGCAGATTCCTCTGAAAAACTTCCTGCACCTGAGCATGTGCCCCTTTGCAGCTACGGATCACCAGTAGTCGGGGAGATGAGGCGACACACAGGGAGTACATGCAGGGCGCACGGATTGCCGTTTAAACTTAACCCTTACAGCTACCCTAATTCCTCTGAAACACAACCTTGCACCGGTGTGCCGATAAGATGATAGAATCAGGGCGCTTTCGCCACCTCCAAGCAGCAACGGCGACGGCTCTCCGAAGGACGCAAGCCCAGTGTCACACCGACAACAGTCCTTGTGTCGCCTACATCAGCGGTAGATAGGAGTGAGCACGTCGCCAGGACCTGACTGAGGAGTGCGGCTCCGACGATGAGCGGCTCAATACCAAGGTTGGTGAGCATATGAGCGTGAAAGACGCAGAGCCCTGCTGAATTTGTTCCATTGAAAGGAAGATAGGCCTGGAGCGCTCCGGGCCAAGATGGGCGTTCACGAGGGGATGTCGAGTCCGGTTGAGATGCCCCTGGGCCGCGCAGTGTTTTGTTTGCGTGCCAAGCTTTTGCAACTTCTGCTGTCTTCGGTCCGAAGAGGCAAGCCAAGCAGCGAGAAAGCAGAGCCTCAATGGACGCGATTGGTGCACACGAGCTGGATTCCGTCCCTGAGCAGACGCAGGCCCAGCCTCCAGTCGCCACACACTCATGCTGCTTTCTGTTGCTCACGCGTGTTCTTTCTCAAGTCGGTCCATCGTTGCAGACTGCCGCACATGGTAGATGGCTTGAGAAATGCTATCGGGAGGCGGCCATCGATCCGTTTCATCCGTCCTTCGAGGCTTTGCGACTTGGCCGCGAGCTGTTCTTCTGGATCCCGCTAAGTTTTTGCTAAACAGGGGAAGGGGTGCCTGCAGCCCAGGTCTGCCAAAGACGAGCCCCTCCTCATGGCAGCCCCTGCCAGGGATGTCAAGGTTGCCGTGAGTCGCGTCGGCAGCGCACTCGCTCTAAACCCGGAATGCCGCCTGCAGAAGGCTGAGCTAAAGCGCAAGAGCTGGGGCTCCGCTTCCACCCGGTCGGGCTCATCGGAGGATTCCTTGGAAGAGCTGCTGCTCAGTTGCAAGGATATTGTTCTGTGCCGTTTGTCGCATCCGCCTCCGTCAGCTACCTAAGACATCCTGAGACTTGCTGTAAGGTGCAGTGAGCATCCGTGGGTTCTGGACCCGTTCGACCCCTCACACAACGTGTTGCAACTTGGCATCCAGCATAACGGCACATGCAATGGACTCCTCACTCCTCGAGCGAGCAAGTCTTCAGGTCTGGTCTCTTGCCGTACCTTTCTGTGCCCTGTCTGTAAGAGCAGCGGCTGAGCGGTGGCTTGTGACGATGTGCTGTGAATTGGACTCTTCCTCAAGCGGAAGAAGCCGAAGGTGGATGACCTTATCGAGTTGCGAGTGACTTCCTGGCAGACCAGAGGCTCGCGATTTGAGCCGGGTGCCTGAGGCCACAGGTAGCAAACTTCTCCTAATCTGATAGACTTGCGCAATGGCGCCGAGTTCTGGAGGTCTTGGGGCTTACCAGCCTAAAGACCATGCGAGCTTGATGAGAAAGATGGAAAAAGATCTGCAGAACCAGAACCTTCTCTCTATGGCCAAGGGGGTCGGCTACAATCCCAGCACACGAGAGCCAAGTAGGGTTACTGTCCAGGGGGACAGTGGCGCTATGAAATTCCATATGATGCCAAAGGAGTGGGGAGCTCGGGGCATCCAATCCTACATTGATTTTGAGCAAATCGAGGCCATGTGGGCCAAAACACAAACCGTGAAGCAGCGACACCTACTTAGGTGCAAGAAACAGCAGTCGTCCCTCATTTCGAAGGGCTTTCCGTGCAGTTGTGCATGGATATCTGGGATGGAGCTAGGCGTGCTGCCAGATGAGGACGCATGGCTGGGCGAAGTTGCAGTGTCGCATGAGGCCGATGTCCTTAATACGACGGCTGCTAAAATGACAGCCCATGATGAGTTTGAGCTTTACTGCGTTCAGTCCGAACTATTCGACATGATCGACGTGTGTTTTGAGTGTGAGCTTCAGACGTACCACATCGCAGGGGATGAGGATACGAAGGAACCAGGCTCCCGACTCGAAGATGTATCGCTTTGGTGCGGCTATACAATCAAGGACGGTCATGGTAGTGCCAGTGTTCATCCGGGTAAGGGTTTCGAACAAGCCCTCTTCCAAGACCCGTTCCTGGTTGAGCCTGACTGTTATGCTGAGCCTCCAAAGTGCGAACCGTCAATTTCATGCACACCTACTTCAACTTCAAGTTTCTCATGTTTTGCGGGCGGAGTCACTTTCTTTGCTGCGGTGCTCGAGGATTGGGGTTTCAACCCGTGGAGCGGGTGCAGAGTGGGGGAAGCGAAAAACCCAGGACCTGCTGCTATGTCCATTCTGGGAGCTGACTTCCTGGAAGAGATCAAGATCATGATACGGGAAATGGTTCAACAGGCAATCCGTGAGGCTTTCACTGCTGGCCCGTCTCCCAGTGCCCGAGATGGGGCTCGCGAATGCAATGAGTCTAACGACGATGAAGGCAAGCGCAAAAGGCGACGACGTGATGGCAAAGGCGAAGGGGGCAAATCAGGACAACCAGAGCAACAGGCGAGTGGTGCTGATCTTCGCAGTTCTGATGCTTCCTCAGGGACTACACCTAGCAGGGGTAAAGGCAAAGGAAGTTCGGGCGCTGCGCGCAAGGTCCTTTTGTCTGACGCCGCTGACAAGCAGACCAAACAATCCGGCCATAAATCCCCAGACAAGGATGGATGGATCAAGGTGCAACGAGCCCCGCCAGTAGGTGATTTCAAGCTTCGACCTCAAGACTGGGATTCAACTATCGTCCAAGTCGACAATTTCGCTTCTGAGTTGGATAGTGCAGCGAACGATGCTGTTTTCAAAGCAGTGGTATTGTGCAATACTGAGGAGCAGGAGCTGATCAATACTATGTTGGCAGGCACGGCGAAGAAACATAGTGTGCTCACCATTGTCTTGGGCAAGTGTGACAAGGCTCAGCGCATTCCAGGTAAGATTGGAGACCGTCTTTGTTTTCGAGATGGATTGGCCACGAAAATCACCTCGCAGAACACCGCGGCCCCACAGCCTACAGGAACGAAACAGCAACAGGTCCAGATCGCAACCAAGGCTACACAGGTCATCAGTGTGCGAGTCCCGTCTCTTTTCATGGAGCGGGAAAAATGGGACATGTTTGCAAAAAATCCATCAAAGTCAATAGTGCAATGGTGCGGGGACCATCACGTGCAAACCATTGACACTTTTGCGTGGAAGGAGGAACAAGATCAGCGCATGGGCCGTCAGCTATACGGGTTGGTACGCTTACTACAAGTGGACGTGACTACAATTCTTCGTGCTTCAGGTCATGGGGGAATTTTTATTGAAGACATTTCTCGGAAAACTCGGGCCGCGGTAGAGTGGATCTCCCGTATCTCATCGGACGAGCAACACCACTCATATTTGGGACGCGCCCTCAGAGCCACAGGGGACCTGGGTTTAGTGGTCCGGGGCAAACAGTTGGGTTGGCGACGGTCGGTCAAGGCGGATGAGGCAGTGGCCACAGTATGGATGCTGGAATCCATCCCCAAGGAGTGGGACACGGACCAAATTAAGGAAGTTTTGAGGACATCCTTTCAAAACGTTACCCTGATCAAGCAAAGACATGTGAAAGGATGGCGCACCTGTTGGTTTAGGGGTGCTTTGCAGGCCAAGGATAATCGAGATCTCGTGCCGGTAGCTGTTGAGTACATGGGTGCTGCTATGACGCTATGGGCAGTTCTTGCACCTCCCCGCAACACACCTCGCAAACAAAGGCCGCTTCGAGGAGCAACCATGAGCTTGGAGGCCAAACGGTCAATACTAGACCCAATTGCGGAAGCTGCAGGTGTGACTGGTGGGACAGAGGTATCGCAGAATGCACAGAAAGAGGAGTCTGTCGCCAAGAGACCTAAGGTTGAGAAACGCAAGATACCGACTGGAACAAAATTGCAAAGCATGCCTGGTGATGGATCTTGCGGTTTTCATTGCTTTGCTGAGGGCCTGAAGATTTTGTCGAAAGACAAACAAGTTGTTCATCCTCGGGAGATGCGAGCAAAAGTTGCGGCCCATCTCCAGCGATATGAGAAGGAGTACGTGCATATGTGGGATGGAACAGGACCGAGTGGACAGAAGCTGCCTTCATGGAATGAGTATGTTGAGGCTGTGTCCAAAGAATCCGCATATATCTCGGAGATGGAGATTGCAGCCTTATGCCGGATTTATGATATCCGGGCCATTTTAGTGCCGGAATGTGCATCTTTCCCTCCAGTCACATTTCACATTAAGCAGCAAAAGCGAGTCATCGGTTTGTGGCACACGCATCAACACCTTGACCTCTTGCTACCTGATGGTCAGACAGGCTACCCAAAGGAACTGCTGGAGGTCAAGAACGGGCCAACTTTTGGCGTTCGAGTTGGAGGCGCAGAGTCTGAAGCTGGTACCGTTTGGACTTCGAGGGCCTCTCAGGTAAAAGGAGCCAACATAGTCCCTAGCAGTAAGCGTTCTTTGGAAGGTACCGTGTGGACTAACAAGACGGCTCGCAGTAGCGCAGCTGGCAAACGCAACGCAACTTCGCAGCCGGATGGACTAGACAGCAGGCCTCATGGAACTGCCTGCCAGCGCACTATTTGGACGACAAGTGCCAATTCCCTCCCGAACCTGCCGGCCAACCCCGACCTCGAACATGACATCGATGCTTTGGATAGCATGATCTCGGAGAGCTTGCTTGACTCAAATAATAGCATCCAATCCAACAAGAAGCGCAAATGTCCTTGGCGTGTTCGAGACCCGATGCCAGTTGATAAGATTTTTCGATGTAAGCTCTGTCCCTTCCAGAAACCGGTCAAGGACGCCAAGAGTTACATCAACTGCCGAGCTAAGCACTGCAACACACATCATGAAGGCAAAGGTCTACCAGGAAAGCATTTCCGACCCATGATGGAGAACGTGAACGGGGACCTTGAACGTTTCTTTTGGAAGTGCCCAATCTGTCGAAAAGGCGTCACTAAGGAACTAAGGGCGAAGATCAACGCGAAGGCCTTTGCCGCTATGAAACGCGCCCATGGAGCTGAGCAGCATCCTCGAATCGATCGGGCACGATGGTTGAAAATAGCCAAGAAGCCCATGGACAAGGCCAAAGTCTCAAAGAAGCACCGGTTCCAGAAGCTGAATGCCAAAGTGGTCAATCACCTGCAGGCGCCGCCAGTGCCAACGACAAAATTTCGCATGTATATTTGGCCACATGCCAAGTGCACCAAGAAGAAGATTACAGGCATCACTTTTACACATGCTTGGTCGTGTAGACAATGCGGTTCTTGCTTCAGACGCCAGGGCACTGCCAAGAAACACCTTTCCAGGCCTTGTGTACCGCAGTCAAAAAAGACCTGCACCTACAGACTGAACGTGCTACAGAGATTGAGAACTTGGGCGGCGTCAGCACGTCAGAAGCATGGCCTCTCTTCGGACATTATCAGTGCTACTTTTGACTCAGCAGCTGAGGCCTTGAGTGCGAGTTCCACCTTGTCAGCATCTTCCTCAAAATCGCGAGTTTGAATGTCATTCGTAAAGGTGTGTCCCTCTCCAACCTCATTGATGATTTTGCCAGTGGAATTGGTGCAGAGTTACTTTCAATACAGGAAGCTGATGTGAATCCGCTGTCCAAACTTGGCTACTTGAAGGAATGGAGAAGCCTTGGAGCCACCGCTATCCTGAGTCAGCTGGATGATGGCGCCAACTCGCACAGGGTAGCACTGGTCTCCAAATTGCCCATTCAGCCGGTGACCCTGAAAACCGAATTGGCCTCCACTAGATACTCTGCGGGTCTCATTGATTGCCGCATTTCTGGCCGAATTTCAAAGGTCCTGATGGTTGCTTTTTATGGATTTCCCAATGACGCACATGCCACTTCTCAAGCTCTGTTGGAGGTTTTTGAAGCTGTTAAGAGGTTTGGTGGTGCTTTCATTTTATTGGGGGATTACAACATGACCCAGGAGGAGGGCGCCGTCAGAGATTTACTGATGGAGGGAAGTGCTCGATCCTTGGATGAGATGTTTTTGGGCCCCCTTCCCCCTACAAATCCGCTGAACACCAGACGTATAGATTTTGGCTTGGCAGACTCCACGGTGTTGGCCACGGACGTCCAACATTTCAGGCGTTGTGAGCTTTCTGACCATGCCATCATCTGCTATAGTCTCGACAGCAGTGCTCTTTCCACTGGCCATGCGCAGCCAACCTTCGCAAATTTGTCCCAAAATGATCCTGAAAAAATTGCCCAATCGTTTGAGCTGAGCTGGGACATCCACCGGTTTGATAGTTACCTTGACTCTGGCGACCTGGATGAAGCGTGGCGCCTTTTGTCAGATGCTGGGGAGGCCTCGCTGGCCAACAAGGAAAATGCCGGACAGTGCCAGGCCCGAAGCGAAGCATGGAGTCCAAAGCAGCGGCCCCTGGTTAAACAGTCTGTGCATGTGCGTGGCCATGAGTCCCAAGGTGTTCGAGGCCTTCGAAGACTCACCACACGCCTCCGCCAACTTCACCAACAACGGCATTGTGATGATCTACGTGAGGCCATTGTTCAGTCCCTTCCAAAACTCCGCAAATTAGTACCAGAGCTGCCTTTTTTGCCCGCCGGATGCCTGGAAGAACAAGTGGATGCTGTGCAGCAATTATATGAGCGTTACCTGGCGCAGGAACAAGAGGCTAGGGTCCAACAGTGGCGATCACGCACCAAACAAAATGTGGTGCGCCAAATATCGTGGGTGAAACGCAAGGCAGATGAGGCCCTTCGAGCTGAGCAGCAACCGCCCCCTATTGAGTCAGCGCCGGTGTCTATTCATCCCACGCTGGTCCTCAAAACCCAGGGCAAGAACTGGAAGGAGAAATGGACTGCCAAACCTGGTGACATCAACTTTCAGGCCATCAGGGAAATCTTGGAGGAAGTGCCCCAAGTCCAGCCTTCCGAAATTCAGTTGCAGATGACTGCCTTGGAACTCAAGGAGGCAGCGAAGCAAATGATAAATAAAGCCACCGGAGCGGACCAATGGTCCGCGAAATCGATGTTGCGACTAGCAGAGCAATGGTGGGATGGACTATGTCGACTGTGGAACAAAATCATTGTTCTGGGATATATACCTCGACTTTGGAGGCGGGCGGTTATTATCCTGTTGCCAAAGAAAGTCGATGAAACACGTCCCATAGCATTAAGCTCGGTGCTGTGGCGTATCGGCGCCCGGTGCGTCGCTCGCAAGCTCAGACAATGGAGCGAACTCTGGTTGGACCATTGCACGTTGGGATCTGCGGCTGGACGAGCCGTCACAGACGCCCACTGCAGGGTGCACATGGCTTGGAATGATGGATGCCGCGCTTTCATACAACAAGACCTCACTGCCTTTTTCGATTCCCTGAGTGTGCCGGCAGTGGTCATGGTCCTGAATCGGCTGGGGGCACCCACAGCTTTGAAAACACTGCTGACATCCTTCTATCATGATGCTCGACGCATTTTCCGGGTAGGCGGTGTTTGGGACACCGGGTGGTTTGAGCCCACCCGGGGTCTGCTGCAAGGCTGCCCATTAAGCCCCGTGGTGGCGCTGGCTGTGGGTTGCATTTGGTCTCGCTTTTGTCAGGTTCCAGGAGCTCAGAATCTGATTTATGTTGACGACAGAATGATATGGCCGGATCATTCAATGCCCGACCCAGTGGCTGCGGTTTCTCTGGCGCTTCATAAAAGCGACATATATGATGCTGCGTTTAATTTTACCTGCAAGCCCAGCAAATGTGGAGTAGCTGCTGCCCTCGATGACCATTCGTTGGATGTAATAGCTGAAAGGCGTGGATACAAACGCACAAGCCATCTTGATATCCTCGGTGTTCGATTGGACCTACAAGTGCAAAATGCTTCCCCGCTGAAACTTCATCTCCGAGTACTGCTGTTGCGATTGCACTATCTTAAAGTCCTCGGCCCGAATGCCGCTCACAAGAAGCTGGTTATTCACAGCTTAGTCTTCTCGGCTGTTCTTTGGGCGGCAGGAGTTGCTGAGCCATGCAGCCGGGAAATCAGGGAGATCCAAAAAGCCACCCGGGCCGTCTACAAACAGCACTGCACGGACGAAACTCCTGCGATTCTGCTCTATGAGGTCTTTGGCTGGGATCTGAATTTGCGGTGGGCGCTGGACAAAGCCGCCCTGAAAGCGTTATGGCGTTACGTCTGCAAACCTCCTGAGTGGTTGGACACCTTGCCTTTGACAAATGCTTTTCCTGCTTGGGGCGTCATCTTTCCAATGGCGCAAGAGGTCCTAGAGCGACTTAACTGGCAAGCGCTTGTCCGTGACAAGGCCCTTTCTCGAACTGACGACAACGGCGTGCAAAGGAAGTACTTCTTTGGAGTCGACTCTTTCAAAGTGCTCATTCAATGGCTCACTGAGGCGCACAGATACAAGGCTGTGATGGAATGTGGTAGGGTTTCCAGAAGTTATCACAGGTCTGACGATAATTTGGCCCGCGGCATGGCGCTTCCGAAGCCCCCAGAAGGGGCAAGGTATGCTTTTGCTGGACATCGTTCACTTGGACAGCCCAGCGCCTCCTTGGAAATTCGTCGAGCTTGCCTGGCAACAGGAGGCACTGCTTGGTACCATAATGCTCGGCGCGGCCTTCGTGCTATCTCTGGACAAGCTGTTCTTTGCAGATGTGGAGGTGCTTGGCCCTCCCGCCCGCACATAACCTGGACGTGTGAGCACACTCAGAGACTTCGTTGCAACCTGCAATTGCCCACCGAAAGGGTCCAGGAGCGATTATTTGGAGCACGGATTCAAGAGTTTCCTGCTGCGCCAGCAGCTGGAAACGTGCAAAGGTTTGTGCAGCGCCTCGTTGAAGTCATTTTGCGGGCACAGCTCAGTGATCTTCTGCTGGTGGCAACGGATGGCAGTTCGCAAGATGACATTGGGGCTTTTGCAATTGTTGTTGAGAGTGAGAACGAACCTTTGGCCTGTGGGGACAGCCATGAAGATCAAAGCCCTTTTCGGCAGGAACTTCAGGCCATCGTTTTCTTTCTTCATGCGTCGCGGGTTGCCTGCATCCACGGTGCCCGGATTGCAGTTTTAGTCGATTGCAAGTCGGCGATCAAAGCCGTGCAATCGCCGACCAACTGCTCAGCTCCACTGTTAGCCGGTCGTGCCCGTCGCGATCTACTACATCTCCGGGAGCAAGGCAACATCATCGATTTTGTGTGGGTGCCTTCACATGGAAAGAAAGATGGATGGCACCCGCCGACCCCTCTCGAGGCAACGAAGTGTAGGCGACTTAACCAAATTGCGGACGAGGCCGCAAATAAGGAGAGAGCTGCGCGCTGTGTGGACTCCTCGCGAGCCAAATGGCATCGAGCTTTTGAGTCCGCCGAAAAGCAAGAAATCGCAATCATCCGAGCTGCGGCAGCAGCGTCAAAGGAACTTGAAGAGTACATCCTGGCGACTCACGCTGCCAATGCTAGATGATGGCCTAAGCAAGTGTGACCGCCCGAGTCGTCAACTCGACTGACGTGCCACACTGAATGAAATGATGATTCCGTTCTTAGGGCCTCAAATGAGAGGACCATCTAAGCCTTTGCAGCTCTGCCTGCTTGGTCTTGTAGCCTCCAGGCATCTGATGACAGCATTTTTATTTTCATTTTGTACAGCTGAGACAGATCAGCTCCATCTCCTGTGCCAGGCATGTGCAGTTTGCCTCGCGCAAGTTATGTGGCTGTTCCTGAAGTGGAACGTTTCACGGACAGGTGGACCAGTCGTGCGTGGGACCTCGCGAGCGCTTCGGCATGCCGGGGAGCTCGGGGCCTGCGCACTCATAACCCATAGTTTTCCTGGCAGACCAGAAGTCCCAGAGCAGGGAGCTTTGTGCAGTTTTGCTTTTGTCCAACTCATGTGTAGTCCATCGCGTAGAAGCAGGAAGTACGTTCTTGTGCCACCTGAGGTCTTGATCCAGCACCTGTCCGAAATGGGCAGGTTGGACAGGCGCGGTCTGTGGTCATCTCCTGTGCGACACAACAACAGCCGTGCACATGAGTTTACAACGCGCAGGTCCCAGTCAATTCTCGATTTTTCTGCACAGTTGGATTTCGTCGGAACAGATCCTGTGACCTTCGAGGGCGAATTGGAAAAGGATTGCAGGCAACGGAAGCTCTTCGAGTGTCTCTTGGCCGTTTACAAGCATAATGCACGGAAAGCAAGTCAATTTACGAGAGGCGTTTTTCATCATTCTTCTTCCCAGGCCGCTGGTGGTGTATGAGGCTGGCAAACGTGGACAAAACCCATTTCTCACAAAGTGATGTCTACAATATCATCACCGCCAACCTTCGAGATCTGTTTGCACACTGCTGCGACGTGGATGCATCTGTGAGCGATGCTGCGCACCATCTTATTTGGAACCATGGGTTGGGTGGCCTCCCATTTGTGCAGCAATTGATTGCCGAAGCCATGCTTGACCGGATGGAAGACCTGCTTCCAGAGTCCGTCGAAATCAGCAAAGAGGCCTTGAAGCAGGCAATGCGGTGTGCGACGAATCTTACTACCGTTCTGCGCGCACTGACGAAGCCTCAGCGTCAGAAGTGGGTGTCCCTGCTGGTCAGAGCCCTCCAAATTGAGGAGCAGGACCAAGTCCAGGAGACACTGCTATCTTATCTGAAGATCCTGTGGCGAGTTGATGACGAGCCCAGAGCAAGCTATGCAGAAGCAGAGGAGCAACTGAAGGGTTTCTCAATGCATGCCAACAAGCATTTGCAGATGGAGATTTGGCAGCTCCACTACTGCTGAATTCTGTCTCACGCAGCCAAACGCTCAACGAAAGCTTCAGAAAAAAAGGAAGTGGGCAAATGCCTCTACTGCCTGTCAGCATTTTCTTGACCCTAGTCTTTATGCAGTATGCAAAGTAGCTATGAAGATGGCTCCAAGGATGCCGCGCTTGCACCGTTCAATGCGAAGCCAAAGGCCCCAACCACAGAGAGGGGAAGGGGTGGAGAGGGAGGGAGGGGATAGGGTGGCCCAAGTGAGACGTGAAGTGTGAGTAGCACAGGTCAAGCTCTTCGGCGATCTCCAGGATGACAACGACAACAGCCAGATCACGGCCCCAAAGGTGGGAACAGATCTGCTGCTGGAAGACGGCATCATGAAGGTGAATGTCGCGGAGAAGCTCAGCGACACGGATCTGAAAGCGAAGGTCACACTTGGCAACCAGGGTGTCAACGTTCAAGACGTTGAGAGGAACTGCGCAGCTCGGACCACCAAAGACGTGGATGCCGAGTTTCCGTTGCTGCTGGACTCCATCGGGTACATGTGCGTGTCTTTCGTACAGAAGGGACAGGACTTCCAGGAGCTCATCGATATCATGGACCAGCTCAACATCGTACAGGCCCGCGTAGTCCTTTGCATATCCCCACGCATCTTCCATGCTTTCAGACCTGAGCTGCCCGAAGATCGAGAAGCCTCAGGCTGTCATGTTATCCGTGATGTTTTAGAAGTGCAGCAGCATGCTGGCCTGACGCTGTGGTCTTTTCAAGGCTCTCACCAACATCGGTGGCATTATCGCCAAGTCCCAGGCCCTGATGGTGGTCCGAGACGATCTAGGCGTGGAGCTGGAGCTCGAAAGAGTGCCCTTCTGGAAATTGCTCATCCGCAAAGCCAAGGCTTCGCCGTGCAAGTTCTCATGTACGTAGAGCGGTGCAAGAGTCTTGATTTGCATGCCAACTATGGAGAGGATTCCGGGCTTGTAGTCATCAACGCTATGCAGATGGTCGTGAGCATGTGACTTGTCGGACGGTGCAAGTACGGGGCGACCAGATCCACCGAGCAAGGACGGAGGGAATAGGAGGAACCCGTCACCGGGTTACCAAGCTTCGCAACTAGTGCGACCAGTATCGGAGGCAGTCATGGTGTTGTAAGAAGCCACATGATCACATGACCTTGTCTGAATATGGCAACCTCCGAGGATCGACAGACCCGTCCCGGCCAGGGCGGAAAGTAGGGATCTGCATCATGGCATCTTGGACGGCGCCAATGCGGTGATGCTGAGCGGAGAGGCGGGCGCGGACGAGGCGTACGAGGACGTGGGCGCTTGGGGCTCGGGAATGGATAACAACAGGAGATGATCCTCAAGATGATCGAACCCGGCGCTAATGTCTTCCGATTCGACTTCGAACGGGTCTACCCGCTGATGCGCAAGGCAGCGAAGGAGCTCGGCAAGAAGGTGCCGCGGACGGTTTTTTACGTAGTAGCAGAAGACCAATGGAAGGTTGGCATATGTCCTTAAGAAATGAATGCCGTTGAAAAATGTTCTTCTTTTGGAGGTGACAGCCTTTCCACCTTGACCTCAGGTTCAAGCAGCTTGGTGTTGACCCGGGTGCTATGTCTGGGTTGCTTGATGCAGAGTGTGGCCTCGGATCTGGCCAACAGGTTCCCTTCCCCTAAAATTGAACCGCCAAATCCGTTTACCACGAAAAACTGCCCCGGTGCCGAAAGCTGCCAAGATACCGTTGCGAACAATGTCTTGCAAAAACGAGCGGGCACGGTTCAGGGTCCGTTGACAAGAGAACAGGTGGCTGCCCCTGCCTCTGCCCATGTGAAGCAGGGATCCAGGAGGGACAAGGTCAGGACGATCTTCGCCGTTTATATCGGTGAATGATATTCGCAAGAACACGAACAGGAAGACAACGGCCCCCACCCTCCATGACCTCCTCCTCAGGGGGAGATCGTTGCTCCCGGAAGACGAATATACCCTCTTCAAGTCAAACGTGAGCAATGCGCGCAAAACGTCAAAGTCTTGAGCAAGGACTGGAAATACATGGTACATGGTGGCATGGTGGGCACGTACGGAGTAGCATCCGCCCAGCTCTGTTGGGGTCGGGAACACCGAATGCTCTGCTTGCGGGTTACGTGGGATTTGGAATTTGCCTGCCACTTGCACGGAACACTTCGTGCAGAAACTCGGAAAAAGGTGTTCGGAACTGCAGATCTCGCTGTGGCTACGCATCCCAAGCTAGGGAATCCCCGGCGCCTGTCCCAAGGCCATGTCAAATAAATTTCGCCCCCTTTATCATCTCTCACCACGTCGGAGGTAGTGCAGACCCATTCCCTTTGTTCGATAACACGGACCTTTGACGCATCCTGCAGCCCATCAGTGCCGAAGGGAATGGTTTCACGTAGAGGTTTGCGATGACCTGAAGGCCTACGGACGAGTAGTCAAAAGAGAGAGAAAGAGAGAGAGAGAGAGAGAGAGACCGATAGGCTAACATCAACACCCAGTGGTTGAGTGAGACGATGTTTTATGGATCGATCTCAGGTGGCCAGGTAATTTTACCACACCGGTTAACAGCGCGTACAGTGTGAATCTTGACTTCCCCTACGTAGGGGTCTGCGCGCGTGCCTTCTGGTGCTTTGTTCGGCCAGTGAATCGTAGTGAGATGCCGGGACATGCTGCTGGCGCATGCCAATAGATGAGCGTGCATTCGTGAGTTTACCCTTGATTGCATGGAGAAGAAAGCAAAGCATGCAGATTGTGGAACATTAAGAAATGATATTAAATGTCATCATTTACATAGCGGAATGTGTGTTTTCGGTGATTTTGTGCTTTGATTGGATATGTGATGCGTATTCGGGCGAAGCTGTGCTCAGCTTGTTTTGCATAGAGCACAACTTCAACACGACGTAAACACATGCAAATACAGAATCTACGTAGTAAATCGTAGTAACATATATCCAGGAATAGACACAAATATGTCATGTAGATATGAGAAGGGCTACTAATCGGTAATGCGAACCTTGAAAATACACATCAGAAAGGTAGACAAAAGTGTAAACATACATTTGCATACAAATAGAAGCATGACTTGAATATAGTTTGAAATTCGAGCACCTATATATATATATATGTATATACATATATACACATCTATGATGTGTCGATGCATATAAGTAATGTGCCCAACTATGTAGCGATAACATGTGCATATACATATAAAAAAAGTGCACATTGCGGTCAGCAGGCTACATAAGTAACTAGCTAGTTGGGCATTTAGTTTTGGTTAGCTACTCTGCTCGGAGACACACACACACACACAGAGCAATGGTCACTGCGGCCATTGCGGCGGGGCTGCAGGTGAAAGAATGCGGTCGCTTGGAGCTCGCATCAAGCAGCTCTGCCAAACGAGTTTTAATTGTTGTTGTTCCAGGCCATACGCATGTTCCTTCATCAGGCTTGAAGCAACTGCATGATGAGCTGCAGTTATTGTTGCCAGAAGCCGTGCTTTTGGTAGCCGGCATGAGCCACTTGCATCATGGCGAACAGACAGCTTTAAGGGAGGATGATATTGATTTTGCAGCCTTGCAGTTGTCCCAAGAAATATCATCCAAGCTGGACAAAATCGAGCATGATACTGGAATGTTGTTTGCGCTGAGCTTTTGGTGCTTGGGGACGGGTGGCTTGATCGCCAGAGCAGCTTTGTCCTGGCTTACATCCCGTCAAGACAAGTTGTTGACGTACGTTTCTTTGGGCACACCTCACCTTGGTCTATTCCTGCCAGGTTTGTCGTGGTGGTATTGGTGGCGCGTATCCCTTTGGAGATCATGTTGTTCGAGTCCGCTCTGGCTAGAACAGGTCACGCACAGCGAAGGGAGACGAGTGCGTGGATCACGACTTTTCCGACTGTGCAGTGCAGATATGCTGAGTTCTTTCAGACGCATAATTTTTATTGGCAGCGGAACAGATTTCTTAGTGCCATTATCATCGTCAGCGCTTCAAGGCGTAAGCTGTGATGCTAACAAAGTTACACCCGTAGTTGCTCCTCCTGACCTCCTCAATGGGGCGCCCTCATCCAAAGTGTTGTTGATCTTGCTTCCCATTCTCTGGCTTGCACGCTTGCGGGCGTGGAGCGTTCTTCTTGCATTATTGGCTGCGGTGCTTGCTGCTCTTTTGCTTCCATCTCCACCAGGGCATTTTGGACGCAGACTCGACTCTGTGAAGATGCAGTTTCACGATTTCTTCAAAACAGTTCGCGGGGAGCTTGAACCAGGATTGGACAGAGATTTGGCGCAGCTGTTTCTGTCCACGCTGCCTGCAGAGAAGTTGCTGAAAGTCGAAGTGTGGCCAAACAAGCGGAGCTGGAGGTTCAGACAGGGTTTTGGTTCTGACGTGCTTTATGAACACGAATGGATCAAGGCCATGGTTGCGCGTTATGGACCTTCCTTGATTGCAACTCGAGAAGAAAAGTCTGTTTGCAGTTGAGTTGCTTAGTCATGCACATCAGGGATTCTGCTGCCTGATGCTGCTTTGAAAAGATCCACGTACAGGTATCTACACGTTGTGTGCAACATTGTCCAACTGTCGCTTCGCGTTGCATCGCATTGTGGCTCGAGAGTAGTTTGCGTATTGTACCTCGGCTGGCTTCGAGGCCGTCCCATGTAGTGAACGTTTGGATGTGTTACAGCCGTGACCTGCTGTGACTTATCCCAGTCCGCATCCATGACGAGCACCCCGAAGCAGAAGTTTCGGCCGTCCCTGGGTGAGTGGGGGCCCTGGCAGCGTCACCTTTAACATGAGTGCCTAAAAAACGCTGCATCATCAAAGGCCGTCCCGAGTCAGCAGATTGCGAGCACAATCTCCTGGAGCTTCATCAGTTCAGGGCCAAATGTGTAGGGCCAATCGCGTAAATGAACTCAGTGCGACAGTTAGGTTTTTGACTTTCTATCGACAGGTCGGATCGGGTGAGGATGTCGGCACATCGCCCCGCAGGCTGAGCGCTGACTGCGTTGTTTCGTCAGGTTGTGTGTTTGTTGCTGTTTGTTGCTACACTTGCCAGCCTCGGTCCTGAAGGCGCGCCTTGTTCCCCACCGGTTCAGGCCGGTTGAACGTAATTGTTGCACGAGATCTTCAGTCGTGCAGAGTGGGGCACGTGGGTCATGTGCCAAGGGCGATCTCGAGGAATTGTGAGCTCAAGGCAAGCGTGGGCAGGAGAAGCTCGAAAGTTCTACTGCCCTCAATTTTGTCTTTTCTTCAGCTTAGTTTTTGCCGCTTTCATACCTTTTAGTGAGGCACTCGCGCGACCCGAGACCAGTCGGGGATCGAGCCTTCACTGCGCAATGTGCGAAGAACGTGGTGGAACTGCTCTCGGTGACCCACTTAGACAACTCAAACTGCAACTCTTTGCAGCCCTCGTAGCTATAGGAATTGCAGAACTCTTACCGCACTCTTGATCAGTTTCAGTTTCGTTCGTTCACTGCTTGCCTTGCCCAAGGCTCGAGGATACTCGAAGACGTTTTCGCATGACAAGCTACTGAAGGCATTTGGGTTTCGACTTCTGTCCTTTCAGTTGATTGCAGCTTTCTGACACACACACACAGAGGACCCTTCCACGAAAGAGTTTTATGATGTTTTCCGCTTCCTGATCGCGCAGTTGGACCCTGTGTGTCAGTAGCGATGTTTTTGTGGCATGGCTTGATGTTGGCTTGAATCGTTGAACTTGCTGTCCCTGCTTCTACCAGGACCCCCAGCTAGAAGTTGAAGGCAAAATGGAAGATGAAGTGTGCCACTGAAAGCTTGCAGACGATCTTTTCTGTTCGGTATAAGAGCAATGATTGACGTGAGCATTGGCTCTGAATGAGGTGCCCAACATCATGCGTCGCTTGAAGTACCCAGTGGAAGTCAACCGATCCAAGCTTCAGGACCGCCAAAGCACACGAGAGGGTTTGGAAGCCTGAGAAGCCTTGGTAAGCTGCCTGTAATTGAAGTCTTTAAGGCCATCAGTGGGCCGAACACTTGGCCGTGCGAGCCTTAGAGTTTATGGAAGAGTGACCCGTCCTTTTGGAAACAATGGCAGGCAGCTACTGGCGGTGTTGGACTGGCTGACAGTCCTTGCGAGGAGCCTACACAAGAGCTTCCCAGAATGGACCTGTCCAGAGTGTTTTGGCCTATGCTTTCTCAGACAGGTTCGCATCAACGATGATCTCATTGAACCTTTGGCTGCTTGTCAACTTGGTCTATCAGCCGCATGCCTGCACATGCTTGCGCTTGCCTGCACGCGGACTTGAACAGCAATGAGATGTAGTTGCGGGGTTCTTATGGAGCATTCTCGCGAATCGTTGAGGATGTGGGTGACCTTGACCGAGATGCAGGTACGTGTACTTCCTGTGTGCTTCAGGGATGCTCTGGATTTGCGCAGCTCGTTCCTTCCGAAAGGTGATCATCACGTTCTGAGATCCTTGCATGAGAACTACTTGAACTTCTTGAGCGGGAAAGATGACAGTGGAGATGAAGAGAGGCAGAAGCGAAAGAGTCGAATTGGATTGCGTGTCTTGTTTTCGAGTTCGTAGTTACGTTAGTAATTACGTGGTTCTTGCGCATACTGGTGTTTTGATGGAGAGGCTGCGGATGATCTACATGCAGCGCCTCGAAGCCTTGCAGGCAGAAATCCAACGCTTGGAGAACCAGCAAGTCGAGATGCAGCAGCGGCCACTGGTCCAACAAAAGAATCAGAGCGAGAGAGAGAGAGAAAGAGAGAAGAAGAAGTGTGCTGTGAGAGGTGTTCCCCCCCAGAGGTGTCCCTCCGATTATCCATTTGGGTCGCTTCTGGGGCGCTTTTGGGGCGGCTTTGGCCCCAAACTCAGGTTGCAAGATTTCCACGGCGAGCACGACCGGCTCCTAGAGCTTCAGAAGGTGCCTGCCCAGTAGCAGCCTCAGAGATATTCAGAGATCCTCAGGGATCCTCGGAGTCTCTAACACATCACGGGCTCTTGCGCCGACAGTTCTGAGAAGTTCTGAGGCTTGAGATGGAGGCGGACCGGCTGCGCAGCATCATCCAGGTCAGCGTCTGTACAAAAGCAGCGTGCGAAACAGCCTCCCTTTCTGGGCTGAAGGCGCAGGAGCACAAGGTGCAGACCATTGAGGACGAGACGAAGTGCAAGCAGGTGCAAATGGTGCAACATTGGACCAGCCCGCCATGCCAAACTGATGGCTTTGAATGCGGCTTGCCCGCAGCTTCTCTCATTCGCTTGCGAAGGCCGAGGAGCGCGAGCAGCAGAAGGAGATTGAGACGTTGCAGGTGGGTGCTCAGTGGGTGCTGGGTAGACTTTCTCTGGCGGCTTATCTTGGATGACTTGGATGGTTCATGAGGCCAAGCGTGCATGCTTGGCGGAGCAGGTCGAGAGTCAGGTCCGCCGGTTCCCCTCAAGACATTTCACGAGTTTTCCACACTTTGCCACAGTTTCAGTTGCGACTTAACGAAGCCCTGGCTGGCTACTGTGAGCTCGCACTCGAGGCGTATTCGAGGAGAGACATCGAGCGCTTGCATGCCGAGCGGTCGCATCTGCGGCAGTTGTTCAAGGATCTTAAGGCGACGTGCGGTGACGTGCGGTGAAGTGCGGTGAAGTGACGTGAAGGTGCTCTTGGGTGTCGATGCGGTTTGAGCTGATAGGCCGAGGGTGAGCGGGCCGATGAAGAAGTATGGGAGCTTGGCATGCAAGAGCTGCGTCCCCAGATCAGATCAGTGCAGTATCATGCCTGAACAAGGAGGAAAGTGTGATACAAACATGTCGATGCACGTGCCTGCATGTATCGACGGTTACAACATGTTATGACGCAGATCAACCCTGTGTTGTTGTAGGGTTTGCTGAGGAAGAGCCGTGCTGAAGAGATCGGCCGCTTGGTGCGCCAGGTCACGCCGATGGTCAGTGGGTTCACCGTGTCTTCTTGTTGACAGCTGTTTCTTCCAGCAATGAGTGTGCCCACGCTCGCGTTACTCCTCCTGTACCTGTGTCCGAACTGTTTCGCCGATGGTGTTTTCAAATAGGGGAGGGCTGCGCCCGCCCCCAACCTCCCGTTCGATTTTCGATTTCTTTTGACGCCTTGCAAGAAGACCGTACCTTTCGAGGACCTTTCCAGACCTGTCATGGAGGATCGTGTTTTCAAATAGGAGCGGGCCGGGGCTGCGCCCAAACCCCCCCCTTTGTTATTTGAAACCCTCTAGCTTGCTATACAGAGAGACTTGCGTTAAGAAACCAAAGGAGTCTTTTTCAACTTTAACCACTTCAAATTGTGATTCGGTGCTGTGCAATGTCCTTGCTTCGTATTGCTTGTAAGTCGCTCTTCTCTTCTCGATTGCTCTCTCGATTGCTCTCTCGATTTCTCTGTCGATTTATCTGTCGACTTCTCTATCGCTCTCCTTCTCTTTCCCTTTCTCTTTCTCGTTCTCTTTCTCTTTCTCTGTCTCTTGCTCTTTCTCTTTCTCTTTCTCTTTCTTTTTATCTTTCTCTTTCTCTGTTTCTCTTTCTCTGTTTCTCTTTCTCTGTTTCTCTGTTTTTTTAATATATCTTGCTTTTTCTTTTTATCTTTCTCTCTTTCTCTCTTTCTCATTTTTCTTTCTCTTTTTCTCTTTCTCTTTATCTGTCTCTTTCTCTGTTTATCTTTCTCTGTTTATCTTTTTTATACTTGTTTTTCTTTTTCTTTTTCGCTTTCTCTCTTTTTCTTTATCTTTCTCTCTTTATCTTTTTTGCTTTGTCTTTTCCTTTTTATTTTTATGTTTTTCTCTTTCTCTTTCTCTTTCTCTGTTTTCTCTTTCTCTGTTTTCTCTTTCTCTGTTTTCTCTTTCTCTGTTCTCTCTTTCTCTGTTTTCTCTTTCTCTGTTTTCTCTTTCTCTGTTGTCTCTTTCTCTGCTTTCTCTTTCTCTGTTTTCTCTTTGTCTTTTTATCTTTTTCTTTTTCTGTTTCTCTCTTTTTTTCTGTTTATCTCTTTCTCTCGTCCTCTCTCGTCCTCTCTCGTCCTCTCTCGCCCTCTCTCGTCCTCTCTCGTCCTCTCTCGTCCTCTCTCGTCCTCTCTCGTCCTCTCTCGTCCTCTCTCGTCCTCTCTCGTCCTCTCTCGTCCTCTCTCGTCCTCTCTCGTCCTCTCTCGTCCTCTCTCGTCCTCTCTCGTCCTCTCTCGTCCTCTCTCGTCCTCTCTCGTCCTCTCTCGTCCTCTCTCGTCCTCTCTCGTCCTCTCTCGTCCTCTCTCGTCCTCTCTCGTCCTCTCTTCCTCCCTCTCCTCCTCCCTCTCTTCCTGCCTCTCTTCCTCCCTCTCCTCCTCCCTCTCTTCCTCCCTCTCTTCCTCCCTCTCTTCCTCCCTCTCTTCCTCCCTCTCTTCCTCCCTCTCTTCCTCCCTCTCTTCCTCCCTCTCTTCCTCTCTCTCTTCCTCTCTCTCTCTCTTCCTCTGTGTCTTCCTCTGTCTCTTCCTCTCTCTCTTCCTCTCTCTCTTCCTCTCTCTTTCTCTCTCTTTTTCTTTCTTTCTTTCTTTCTTTCTTTCTTTCTTTCTTTCTTTCTATCTTTCTCTCTTTCTCTTTCTCTCTTTCTCTCTCTCTCTCTCTTTCTCTCCCTCTCTCTCTGTCTCTCTGTCTCTCTCTGTCTCTCTCTGTCTCTCTTTGTCTCTCTTTGTCTCTCTCTTTCTCTCTTTCTCTCTTTCTCTCCTCTTTCTCTCCTCTTTCTCTCCTCTTTCTCTCCTCTTTCTCTCCTCTTTCTCTCCTCTTTCTCTCCTCTTTCTCTCCTCTTTCTCTCCTCTTTCTCTCCTCTTTCTCTCCTCTTTCTCTCCTCTTTCTCTCCTCTTTCTCTTCTCTTTCTCTCCTCTTTCTCTCCTCTTTCTCTCCTCTTTCTCTCCTCTTTCTCTCCTCTTTCTCTCCTCTTTCTCTCCTCTTTCTCTCCTCTTTCTCTCCTCTTTCTCTCCTCTTTCTCTCATCTTTCTCTCCTCTTTCTCTCTTTCTCCTCTTTCTCTCTTTCTCCTCTCTCTCTATTTCTCTCCTCTTTTCTCTCTCTCTTTCTTTCCTCTTTCTCTCCTCTTTCTCTTTCTCTTTCTCTCCTCTTTCTCTCTCTCTTTCTCTCTCTCTCTTCTCTCCTCTTTCTCTCCTCTTTCTCTCTCTTTCTCTCCTCTCTCTCCTCTTTCTCTCCTCTTTCTCTCCTCTTTCTCTCCTCTTTCTCTCCTCTTTCTCTCCTCTTTCTCTCCTCTTTCTCTCCTCTTTCTCTCCTCTTTCTCTCCTCTTTCTCTCCTCTTTCTCTCTCTCTCTCCTCTTTCTCCTCTTTCTCTCCTCTTTTCTCTCCTCTCCTCTTTCTCTCCTCTTTCTCTCCTCTTTCTCCTCCTCTTTCTCTCCTCTTTCTCTCCTCTTTCTCTCCTCTTTCTCTCCTCTCTCTCTCTCCTCTTTCTCTCCTCTTTCTCTCTCTTTCTCTCCTCTTTCTCTCTTTCTCTCCTCTTTCTCTCCTCTTTCTCTCCTCTTTCTCTCCTCTTTCTCTCCTCTTTCTCTCCTCTTTCTCTCCTCTTTCTCTCCTCTTTCTCTCCTCTTTCTCTCCTCTTTCTCTCCTCTTTCTCTCCTCTTTCTCTCCTCTTTCTCTCCTCTTTCTCTCTTTCTTCTCTCTTTCTTCTCTCTTTCTTCTCTCTTTCTTCTCTCTTTCTTCTCTCTTTCTTCTCTCTTTCTTCTCTCTTTCTTCTCTCTTTCTTCTCTCTTTCTTCTCTCTTTCTTCTCTCTTTCTTCTCTCTTTCTTCTCTTTCTTCTCTTTCTCTCTCTTCTTCTCTCTTTCTTCTCTCTTTCTTCTCTCTTTCTTCTCTCTTTCTTCTCTCTTTCTTCTCTCTTTCTTCTCTCTTTCTTCTCTCTTTCTTCTCTCTTTCTTCTCTCTCTCTTTCTCTCTTTCTCTCTTTCTCCTCTCTTTCTCTCTTTCTCTCTTTTTCTCTTTCTCTTTTTATTTTTCTCTATCTTTTTTCTCTGGTTGGAATTGACAGGTCAACGACACGGTCGAGTACTTGACAAATGCCTTGACAGAGGACGAGGCTGCCGTGGTGCAGGTGCCGGCTACAGGCAAAGCCTTCGCGAAATGCACCATGTGCCAGGCAGACGTCTTTGACTTTCGAGTCCGTACCCTTCTGAGTACTAGCCTTCGTTTGGCACTGTAGTGCCTGCTTTTTGCTGGGGTTTTTAATATGTTGGCGTGGCCCCAAAACGCAAAGCCCTGAGCCCTAGAGGCCCTGAACTTCAACTCTGCGATGAATTCCTTGGTTTCGCTCGAAGCCCTTTCGTGCTTCCCGAAGCGCACTAAAACTCTTAACTTTTTAATGACCATAAGCCTGAAGAGCGCTAAACCCTCAAAGTTTTGCAACATGATGCTCTCATGTCATCTCAAATGGCTGTAAGCATCTCGGAACGCGCTCTTTATCCAACAGCCTGGAAGCTCCGTGTGCCAACGTGACATGTTCTGGTGTTCCTCAGTGCTCTAAGTCCAACCCTGTATGTTAAAACACTAAACTCACTTAACCTTAACCCCTACGCCCGAACCCTCTTTGTGTGTAATACAATGATGCTTTCCCTTATGCCCCCTCCTCAGCACCAACTCTAAACCCAAAGCAACCCTTCACACGTTTCAACCCTCAAAAGCCTTCAAAACCCCAAACCCAATAGCTCCTAAACCTAAGCCTGAAAGCTGAGCCATTAGTGTGTTGAAAAGCAATGCTTGCTGTGCTGGAAGATGACCCTAAGCACTCCGAACCCTAGAAATACGTTCCAGACCCTTCCAAACCACAAGCGCCATCCGCTTAAACCCTTCTCTTTGTTTGAACATGCTTTCCTTTCTCCGAAATCCCAAACAGTTTGCAAGGGGGGACAGAGCAAGGTCTGGATTTGTCCGAGCCGAGTGACGCTCTGGCATCGCTGGCGTTCGATGACCAGAAGAGCTGGGCGCAGGCCGTGGCATATCTGGCATGATATTTCAGACTCACAAAGCCTCTACCTGTGGCCTGCTGAGCTCACTCGTTCTCCATAGCCGTCTGGGGTGGCACTTCTCTCTTTCAGAGGCGGCTTCGTCCTCCCATGGAGAGCGTCTCCAGCAGGCGGAGTTGGCCTTGCACGAGCTCCTGGAGGCGCGCGCGAAATTGTGTGAAGTTGGCCCGTTGGCCCTTTTCAGCTTCTCTCGGCACAAGACGTCAGAAGGAGCAGCGTGGCCTTCAGACTGAACTCGCCGAGAAGGAACAAAGCGAATGCGGCAACTCATAGTTTCCAGCCGAGCTGACGTTTTCATGATGACATGAGGGTTTCAGCGCAGGGTGCGGCTGCGTTGTTTTGAACAGGAGGGCTTCTGCCGTGTCTGTGCGACATAGCGCTGGTTGCAAGGAGGGCGAAGCTCGCCACATGAGAGCGCGCTACGAGCAACTCACACGCATCTACCAGGACCTCTGCGAGCCTGCAGTTTGAGACATGCTGATCTGGTCTCTGTGCAAGGAGTACCGTGAGTGGAGTGCTTCGCAAATTGATGATGCGCAGAAGACGACAGAAGCAACTGAGGCCAATCCTTTCACAGCAGGTTGCAACTCATTGTTGATTCATCATCATGTCGTCTCTCGTCTGCTGCAGTGTGCAGGATGCAGTGCACGAGGCTCTGCGGTGTCTGCTGCTTTGATAGCTTTGATGACTGTCATGACTTCGCACTTTTCATGAGTTTCCGAATCGTGAGATTTCCATCGGAAGTGCAGCTCCCTCGCTAAGAGATGCTGCCGAGGCGGGCCTGCTTGCACAACAAATCATGGTGACTCAAGTAGTGACTCAAATAGTGACTCAATGTGACTCACGTGTGACTCAATGCGTGATTCTGTCATGTACAGGTGGACAAGCTGAAATTGACACTGGCGTCGTTGCAGACGCAAGGATCGCATGAACGAGCGCAGCTTGAGGACCGACTTGCAGCCCATCAAGTAAAAGCCCTCTGACTTCTGTGACTTTTCTGTGACTTCTGTGACTTCTGTGACTTCTGTGACTTCTGTGACTTCTGTGCTAAGAGGGAACCGCAGGAGCAAATCCGCCGCGATGAAGAGCGCCTCGAGGAGCACCGCCAGCTGGTCATGCCACGGCCTTGGAGAGCTTTCTGAAAGTGTATTCAGGGCCCCCAACGTGTGTAGCATCTGGGGGGTAGCACTGTAGCACTGGGCAGCATGTTTTATCAGGATCGGCATTTCGAGCACTGCTTGTGAGATGATCGTGTGGGGGTGAAATAGATTGAGCACCTTGCGGTTTCGGAGCAATGGAGCAGGCGGGAGCTTGACAGCTATGCCAAGGCCGGCGTTGTGGTTCCAGCAGTTTCCTGTAGCTCCTCTTAATGATTTGGCACAACTTCTGACAGACAGCATGGGGTGGCTTCAGTGGCACACGTCAGGCATCCACTGCGCTCTGCGAGGATGTGGAAGCGGCCTTGCTGGAGCGCAGAATTGAGCGTATGTTGCGAGATGCGAGGGATGCGAGGGATGCGAGGGTTGTGTAATAATTCGTTCAGAATCGTACAAAAGGGGTGTCGTTGCTTTGTGAAAAATGTTGTAGAGCTGAGGGATGCTGAGGGCGTTGTGTAAATCGTGGTCGTCACGGCTTCGGTCGATCAGGGGCCATCTTTGAGGCTCAAATACACGTTGCTTGGCTGTCGTTTCGCATCTCCAAAGCCACTCCCTCGCACATGGTGCGCATAGCGTGATGCTCAGACCCTGGCTGCGCCATGAAGTGTCCCTTCCATCGCGCCTTTTCTCGACGCTCCGGCGCCCACAGAAGGGCGGCGCACACGTTGTAGCATCCAATGTTGACGGCAAATCTTCAATCCTGCGGCTCAATCACGCCTCACCAGTGCGTTTGCTTCCCATGGTAAACTCGGCTGTTGAGTGCCTTGGCCTGAGCAGGAGCGTGGTAGTTGTGCTCCCAGAGTTGGAGGGAGTTGCACTCGCAATGAAGGCAATCTTGGAATTCAATTTCGCGAGGAAGTTGATTTACATACGCCAGAATGGGGTGGTTGCAACATGTTGCGTTTCTTGTTGCACGAAACATTTTCATACTTAGGCGCAGTGGCTCGGCGTGGTGTGCCATTGGAAGCTTCGGTGGCGGGCTTTTGGGTGGCGATGAGGTGGACATGGCGGTGGAAGTTGAAGCGCACGCTTCCTTGGCCCTCGTCACTCAGGAGCCGAGTGGAGTTCGCTCTCACCTAACTCTCTCTCTCTCTCTCTCTCTCTCTCTTTTCATTTTTTACAGACACATAGAAAGATGATGTCCTTCTGCATGCACATCATGTGGGGCGAGGCAGAGAGAGTGGGAAATGTGGGGAGTTCACACATGTTTTCCGAACCCCGGCAGGCTTCCACCAAGGTCTACCGAACAAACCAGGGCCTCCCAGCGATCCAACGGCTCAGAGCCAGCATCCGCAAGGGTGGGCTCCTGGTTCTTGCTCCCGATCCTCTGGTTCCGTTTGCCACTTCGATTCTTGGCTTAGAGGCCTTAAAGGGAACTTAGTGAGCATTCTTAGTTGCCGAAACTTTTTCGAAGATGCTTCATAATTTTGCAGTATAGCCTATAGTGCTGGTAGCTGACTAACCTCTCAGTTGTGGATTTGTTGGCTTTGGCAGTGGAGGCAGTATGCCCAACAGATGTGCTTCACACTTACGCCACGCACCGACGAAAATTATGAAAATCCTGATGCGGCGTCGGCCGTCGTTGTGGACTGGCTTGGTGCAGGGAGAGTTGCATCAGGAGAGCGGTGGGCTTTCGATGAGTACCGTTCTCGCTTTGAGTTCCTTTGGGAAGAAGCTTCGGACAGAAGTAGCATTGAGGGATTCCGCGGATCTGGATCACCACGACTGGTCGAAGCACTACGCCTGCGAAGAGACGACTGCAAGTTGTTAGACAATCCGCTGCAGGCATTTGATGCTTTCGTCACTATTTTTGCATGTGGTCCCCAGGCTGAAAGCGTGGTTCGCAGAATCAAAACAGTCGCTTTGCTACTTGCTGCCCGAGCGGGTGCACGAGTAAGATCGGAGGCCAGCTGTGAAGATCCAGGCATAACTTTGCCACAGCTCAAAGGCCGAGCGGTCATGGGAGTGACACGTGATGAGAGATCGGGCTGCACAGTGACACGTCTCATGGCTGAGTACACTGAAGATGTATACCGCCTCCTTCACACGTGTTTGGCACCCCTTGCAAGCCGTTTGGGTGCTGAACCCTATGGGGATCGTGTGCATGGTGCTGGAGTGTTTCAGATCGTTCAATCGGACACGCGCCCATCTTCTGACATGGCGGACGCGAGAAAGCCAAAGAAAGCGAAAGCTCTGGTTGTTTCAGAAGAAAGTGTTTCTCCTGCTCCTGCTTCTTCTTCTTCTCTGGACTTTCAGCAGCAGTTTACCCTGTGCCACCTGACCGACTCCATGCTGCCGGTCGGTGGCTTTGCGCATTCTGGAGGGATTGAAGCTGCGCTACAGCTGGGTCTTCTCAGCAATCAGGAAGGCGACATCGATGGCCTGAGAAATTTCATCAAGATGCTTGCGCTTTCAACATTCCGGTTGCAGGGTCAGTTTGCCAGGAGTGCTTACAAGCTTGGTGCCAAAGATGACGCAAGTGACTTAAGCACGTCTATGGCGTGGAGAACATTAGACGCGGATTTGCACGCCCACCTTGTGGGTGGCTTGGCTTGCCGGGCCTCACAGCTTCAAGGTGCGGGTTTGGGTCGTATTGGTCGCCGTTGGTGCGAGCCGTCGCTGCCAAAGAACGGCCACTTTGCAAGCCTTTTCGGTCTTCTTTGTGCCAGGCCGTGGACCAAGAGCTTGTACTGAAACGCTCAAGCTACCGACGCCAAAATAGTGCACAACCCCGCAGGATTGCCCATCGTCCTAACCCTGAAAGGAAGGGGAAACCCTAGACCCTGCAATAGTTGAGACAGGGAAGCTCCAAGCTTTATTGACTGAATACTTCAGGCTGTTGGGAGGTGGAAAGCCCACCAAAATACAGAGATGCGCATGAAGGGTAGCACTGAACTTGCGCGGAAACGCAAGGAGTTGGTGCCTCACCTGTTTCACTCTTGCAGGCTGGACCTTCCACAAGAAGTGAGCGTGCAGGCATTCCTCTACTGCAGCGTTCGCGATGCGATTTCAGCAGCAGTTCGCTTGAACCTTCTCGGCCCTCTACAGGCTGCCGAGCTGTCCCATGTCAGCAGAAACATACTTTTTTGCCATGTTTGGAGCCGGATATTGGTTCAAGGCTTCGGACCGTCTCTCTCAGGTCCTTGCATAATGTCTTCTTCTTTTTACTTGCGTGCCTCCGGCAGAGCTATGTTTCGAGACTCCGAGGCAGCGCTGCATCTTGACCGATTTGGAGCATCTGCGGAGTGGGTGCGATGGCTTGCATGGCTTGGATGGCTTGGATGGCTTGGATGAGCCTTTCGGGTGTGCACCCATGGTAGATTGCGCCCACGCTGCTCATGAGCTTCTGGAAGCCCGGCTTTTCCTTACCTAGCTTGGAAAGAAGCTTGGTTAAAGTGCCCGAGTGGTCGGCCAGCAGATCAACAGAGTTTGTCCTCACTGCGCCGTGAGCCTTCGTTTGCGTAGCGCACACCCTGCCAGCGAGTCATGACGGCAGGAGAGTCCTGGCCGGCAATGTGAGCAATTCTGCATGCCTCGTTCTCATCTGCCAGATGGCTGTGCAGACTTTTCAGGCACTTGTTAGTCAAAGCTTTGAGGCTTCCGTCTCAAAGCAAGCTGTTGGAGAAGGCATCGTGAGGGCTCTTGCAAGGGCGCGTCCTGCAACAGATGTTGTGACAGGCCTCCCCGGTGGTGCATGCAGCAGGCAGCGACGAGACTTGCATGTTGTTCGCATGCTTAGCTGTAATGTTGTGGCCAGGAGGTGCTTGAGACGAGCATCTTTGACCTTGAGCGGACATTCTACTGTAGAGATACGTGCTTCCAGTGCACTCCACCTGTAGAGTATATTTTTGCATGCGGGCGATTGGGCGTCATGTAGTCTTGCACTCCGCCGTCTGCACCCGCTAATTCAACACGCTCGACTGTCCTCCTCCCTACAACAATCTAGCAATTTAGCTCCCTGAAGATGTGGGCTGTGCAATGGCTTGGCACAGGGCAGTTGACTAATTTGTGCACCCGCTGTCAGTTGTTTAGGCAAATGTCTGCAGAAGCAGAATCCTGCTCAGCAGAGCGTTCAAAGAAAGATGCTTCTCTGTCTACCCGCTTTCCACGAGGCACAGCACTGACCCAAATGCTGTCAAAGACGAAGTGAGTGATCGAACATGCATTCATCAGTACAGAGGCCGCAAATTGTCAGCGTGCTGTGGCTTAAGCCTTGGGCTTTCTTGTGCTGAAGTTAATGCGTCCAAAGATTTCGGGCCTGATGCATAGCTACAGCATTACTCTGCAACCCACTTCGAGATTCCTGCTTGACTGCAGAAGTTGCTGTTCCAGCTGTGGTGCTTGAGATTATAGCATTTCGCTTCCAGTCTTCTTCGAGACTCTCTTGTGGGCTGTGCTTCATGCAGCCGCATCGCAGCAGATTGCGGAGATGGGGGTTAGTCGCGGCCCTGAAACACTTCCAGAGACATGTCAAACCAAATTTTTGCCTGAGGTCACTCCATGGACAGAGAGCAGGCAGCGTTGCAGCCACCTTCAACAGCAATTCTGCTGTCTCACATTCCTTTTGGGTGATTCTTAGGGAACACGCGTGAAGGGTCGAGGTTTCATTGGGACAGGCATGCGACATAACACACAAGATTCCATTACCCATGTCTAGGTGGATGAGGCCAGGACCCTGGCACACGCAGTGGTTGCACAGGCACGTGGCACATAACATGGCCCGATTGAGTGTCAGGTGCTCACCCAGTTTGAGGCCACCACAGCCTCAATCAAGGGGATTGAGTCGAAGATGTCAAAGGCATGCCCTGCATGTCTTGGCTGGCTTGGCTGCCCCCGATGCGTAGCTCATGACAGGTAAGTCAGTACATGGAGGCTGTGCAGGTCCGACGTAACCTGTGGTGGTGTTATTTGTGACTGTGACATATGTCTGCGTGATTTCTGAACTTCCTGAACCGCCAAGAGCAGCTTACAGACGCTTCAGGCTCAGCGTCGAAGCCTGAGCGCCCACGCAGAGGTGGGACGCCCCTGCAGGAGCCTTTCAGAACAGCAACTGTCGGCTTTGAAACCGAAGGTGACCAGCAGCCTTATAGACGGCCTGGGTGAGTCCATCGCTGATCAAAGTGAAGCGATCTTCGGCTACTTCACATCCAGCTTCGACCACTTCGCCGGACACGGGCTGGTTGGACGCGAGTGTGACATAGTGTGACAGAGTCCGACTGCCGGATGGTCGTTCCTTTGTGTTCTGCTCTCTCGAAGGATTGGTGGAGACATTGGAAACCTCCTTGTTCAACCTGAAGCTGCAGGAATGATGGCTCGGCAGCATGATAGCTTTGAAGCGTGCTGCAGCTGGGGTTGCTGTGCTTCCTTCACCTTGCTAAACAAAGATAAAACAACCTTCGTGGTCAGACACACTTTCTCGCAGGATGCCCCCCGCCAGATGCAACAAGAGTGTGGGCCTAAGCTGTTGAACTGTTGAACTGTTGAACTGTTGAACTGTTGAACAGCATTGCACGAATCTGCACAAGTTGAAGAGCGCTTGCAATGCAAATGCTAGCTGCTTCACACTCTGCAGGTTTGGCCCGCTGCTCATGCCCGCGGTCTCTGCCTCGGCAGTCACAAGCCCTAAGGAGTCCTAAGGAATCCCAAGGGTGATCAAACGACCAAACTCGTTGCGCGTGGTGCTGGGAGGTTTAGAGAGCAGATTGCCATCGATTTTTCGTGAACATTGGCATGTCCGAGGTTGTCCTGATGGTCATCATTACAGACGGAGCCTTTTTGTGTCGTCAAGCCTCTGAGAACGTGGGTGACGGAAGACGTAACTCTGGCCGACATTGAGGCAAGCAACTGCTACTTTGGGTTCCTGCTGGCAAGCGACGACCAGCTGTCTGCGGAGTTGATCGTTTGGCACACGGGTGTGTTTGTGTGTGTGTGTGTGTGTGTGCGCACGCGCGCGTGCGTGCGACACAGTCTTTGCACTTGTGGTGACTGTCTCAAGAAGAGTCTATCTGTGGAGCGTTCTGGAGACAAGCTTCAGCTAGATGTACCATCTCGAAGCAAGCAAGCAAGGCGGGAGTTGGTCAGAGCACCGGCAACTCCACTGCAGCTGCCCCATTGTGCTGTTAAAAAGTGCGCTGCGCTTCTGAGCAGAGCCGTCTAGAAATTGTGCTGCTGATGGACTTTGGTGGACCCCGATGGACTCTGATGAACCCCCGAGGATTCGGCCTCCCTCAGCGAGATGAACATCCTGAACCTCTTTGCCACTTTGTCTTAAGAACATGTGCGGGATAGTGACGCTTCTCAACACCTGCCTGCGCTCAGCTGCGTTCGTGATACCCGTGTTCGCAGACTCTGAGGCCATTGGCCACGTTGTTCTGATCGGCCTGGAGCCCTGCAAACCCGAACAGCCCAATGTCGCTCAGGAAGTTGAGGGCAAAATGTACTCCTTGTTATGTTATGAGCACAGCGAGGGGTCCTTAGGGGTCGTTTGGATGCAGCCGGAAACCAGCCTCAGGCCCGAAAAGCAAACCCGAGCGCTTCAAAAGGAATGGTGGCGACCAAGCTAGAAACCCTGACAGCTGCGACGGGTGGAAAGCTCTTAACTTTGACAGAAGAAAGCAGTAAGCTCCGCAGCTTCCAACCTCAGTCTTGTGCTGGTCATCCTGCAGAGAGACATCTTCGAGACATTTTGACGAATCTTGAAGTTTCACGATGGGTCTTCTGACTCTAAGGTTTGGGGTGCTGTTGCAGGTATCCAACGCACTCAGCCCTTTTTCATGTAAGGCCTGGCCGTCGTGTACATTGTCATAGATCTCCTTCGCAGGCATAGGAGTAAACTGTGTCAACAGTGGGTCGGCAGTGGGCCAACACCCGCATTTCGTGCAGTCCGTTTGGCTGTCCGTTTTGCTTTTGCTGAGAGGCGTTTCCAGCGCCGACAGAGATTGCGGCGACGCAGAAGCTCAGTCACCATCTTCGCCGCAGCCCAAGCTTCGTTTGCGTCAGAGAGATCAAAGAGTACCCCGCAACACCCCCTGGCCAAAATTGCTGGACGCCCAGGACTCACAGGACTCGGAGGAGTATGAGTCGGGATCTTTGATTCTGGTGCGATTGGCTGTTCTCCTGCCGTGCCTCTGCAATCCAGTTCCCGAGGTTTGCGGAGGAGGAAGAGGAGGATGATGAAGGCCAATCGCGATGATGCAGACTCAAATGTAAACGCGCTCCGCTCCGCTGTGCTGGAAGTCGTGCAAATCCCTTGTCTAGGTTCGCCACAATCTCTGAGAGCCCAGCCGGCACCCTGAAAGGAAGATGAGAGATCGTTGCACTTGTACGGATGTCTCTCAAAGGCGGAACAATACGAAGTCTTCCGCAAAGACGGACTCTACAGCTCGAACGCCTGTTTCGCAAATGCTGAGGTGGGGTGTTCCCTCCAAATGTCCTCGAAAGATCTGCAAAGCGTTGACGCATGCCTATCCTCTGCGCAGGCGGTTGCAGCAGGTGGCAACAAAACCAATCGGGTCGGAGGCCATGTGCCCTCATGTGCCTCAATCTCGTTTGATGCGACGTGGAACATGGATGCGACTGTTACCGACCAGCAATCGGAAGGTGAAACTCAAAAGATTCTTCGGCTTGACCGTGGGACGGCTCAGACTGTGATTCCTGTGATTCCTGTGATTCTCCCTGCGCTTGCGGTGTGATTTTGCTGCAGAGGCGAAAGAGCGGAGCCAGGTGGCCAGTGGGAGGTCCACGCAGGTGGGCACACTTTGCCCCAAGCATGCTTTAAGAGGACCAAGTAAGTGAGCAGGCCTTCCCAGACAGACGACCATTGACGTACTGTACCCCGCGGCTGCTCACAAAAACAGACGTCACTAGCAGAAGAGCCGCATTCGGCTGGGAGCCTTGCAGGAGCAATGCTGCCATCAAGTGGGCTGGGCACCACTATACATGCCGTAGCAGCCAATGCACTCAGAAAGCAAATCGATCATTGCATAGAAGGGGGCCACCTGAGGGTAAGCGGATCGTCTGTGGGGATGTCCTGCTCGTTACGAAACTTGGTATCCGCTTCGGCTTTGTCGCATGGCGTCACGAAGCTGCTGGGCCTCTCGGTGACGAACTCAATCCGGGCTACTGTTGAATGGGGAGTAATCACGTGGAGGGCAGCAACAGCGTTCCTTTACAAGCCAGCTTTGTTCAGCAGCAGCACTGGGTCGCTCGTTGTTTGGCTGTTGTCTGTTCGATGGCTCTGTCCGAACATGGGAATAAATCTGGTCACAGGAGTGATGAAGCTTGTTCAAAATCGGCAGCATGTCTGTTTGTTTGTCTCTCTCTGTCTGTCTGTCTCTCTGTCTCTGTCCCTCTGTCTGTTCATGCCACAAAGCCTGCGTGCCAGGACTGGGTGGGACATTGCCGTGTCCAGGACAGCGAAGTGGCCTTGCTGGCAGATTGTTTGAGTTCCTCGGAGGGGGGGAACGGAATGAACGAACAGCTTAGCCTTCGATGAAGCCAGGCTGTGCACGTTGCGGCGACAGCGTCCTCGCAACTCTTGCAAACGGTGCGCGCGGGTCAGCGCATCGAGGTTCTCCAGGCCCTTGAATGGAAGACGAAGTCCGTCGCTGCTTCACTCGCATCTCCTTTTTCCCGCTTCTGTGCCAAAATTTTCTCCACTCCCTAGGCGTGGGGTTGTTCGGTTTGGAGTCAGTCATTCATTCTCCTCGCCCTCGCCCGGTCTCCTGACCTGGTGCCTGGAGCACCGAGTTTCGCTGGAGTGCCAGTCCCAGAGAAGCCCGCAGAGTCTCGCGGAGCCTCTCGGGAGTGACACACGCAGAAAAATCTAAACCTCAGACTCAGGTAATCACTCACTCACGCGCACTCACTCACACTCAAGCACTCACTCGCTGACTCGCTCACCCTCTCTAAACCCTAAACCCTAAACCCTAAACCCTAAACCCTAAACCCTGAACCCTGAACCCTGAACCCTAGACCCTAAACCCTAAACCCTAAACCCTAAGCCCTAAGCCCTAAGCCCTAAACCCTAAACCCTAAACTCAAGGCCTAGGCCGCCCCCCTACAGTTGGCCTGGCCACCCTGATCCCCTTCTGCCTGGATCCTGGCATTCCTGGCCCCCTGGGCCTCCTGACCCCTGACCCCTGACCCCCTAGGCCCCATTAAAATTTCTGGCCCCTGGCCTGCCTGAATGAGTCTTTAGAAGTGGACTGTTGTCTGAGTTTAGGCCTAAACCCTAAAAGGAATAGGTTTGGGTAGCTTTGCCGCCTTGGACGGCGTGGGGTGGGAGAAAAGTGTTAGATGGCCCTCCACAATCGGGCCAAAGCTGCTCTTCGCACCTCACGAAGCTTTCGAGCTTGTTCCGAAACCTAACCTTCACAGCATCTACGCCCTATCACAGCAAACCCTAAACCCTAAACCCTAAACCCTAAACCCTAAACCCTAAACCCTAAACCCTAAACCCTAAACCCTCAACCCTAAACCCTAAACCCTAAACCCTAAACCCTAAACCTTAAACCCTAAACCCTAAACCCTAGACCCTAAACCCTAAACCCTAAACCCTAAACTCAAGGCCCAGGCCGCCCCCCTACAGTTGGGGGGCGCCTGCGAATCAGGTCGTTCGCCCGCCTCCCACAGCTCGGAAGTCGGTAGCACCCACGATTGGCCCGGTACGGGAGCACGTTCTCCTTGGGACCAGTACTGGTCCCTTATTAAAGTCAATACCCTAAACCTGGAGCTCCAAGCTCCATGAGGCCCGCCCTTGGCTTCCTGGGACCTGCCCTGAAACCCTTTCTGGGCCCGTGCCCTGCCCCCCCTGGCCCTGCCCCTGCCCTGATCCCCTTCTCCATTCCTGGCCCCCTGGCCCCCCTGACCGCTGACCCCCTGGCCCCATTAAAATTTCTGGCCCCTGGCCTGCCCCTGAATGAGTCTTTAGAAGTGGACTGTTGTCTGAGTTTAGGCCTAAACCCTAAAAGGAATAGGTTTGGGTGGCTTTGCCGCCTTGGACGGCGTGGGGTGGGAGAAAAGTGTTAGATGGCCACGAAGCTTTCGAGCTTGTTCCGAAACCTAACCTTCACAGCATCTACGCCCTATCACAGCAAACCCTAAACCCTAAACCCTAAACCCTAAACCCTAAACCCTAAACCCTAAACCCTAAACCCCAAACCCCAAACCCCAAACCCAAACCCTAAACCCTAAACCCTAAACCCTAAACCCTAAACCCTAAACCCTAAACCCTAAACCCTAAACCCTTAACCCTAAACCCTAAACCCTAAACCCTAAACCCTAAACCCTAAACCCTAAACCCTAAACCCTAAACCCTAAACCCTAAACCCTAAACCCTAAACCCTAAACCCTACCTCTGTCGAGTAAGCTTCCCTGGAGTGCCCACCCCCAAAAACGCCCACAACGACATGCTGATTGCCTACCCCAAAGATGCCTGCAGAGAGTCCTGCCGAGTATTCCTGGAGTGCCCACCCCCAGAGAACTGCGGTGAGTCACCCGCTTCGGTTAGCTGTAGGTGGGGATGTTCGAGATAAGCCATTTTCCAACTCATTTTGTCCTGTCGGTCTCTCTCTCTCTCTCTTTTTCTCTTTCTCTGCTTCTCTCCTTCTCTCTTTCTCTCCTTCTCTCTTTATCTTTCTCTTTCTCTCTCTTTCTCTCTCTTTCTCTCTTTCTCTCTTTCTCTCTTTCTCTCTTTCTCTCTTTCTCTCTTTCTCTCTTTCTTTTGTTCTTTCTTTCTCTCTTTCTCAAAGGCCATCCGTGGTGGACGTGGCAAAGTGTGGGGCCGCCTTGCAAAGCCACAAGGCGCATCTCCGCGTACATTGCAGAGGCAAGCTTCTTGCTGCTTTTGTTCGGTTCTTTTCTGTGTTGGAGGCTGGGTTCTGCTTGCCGACTCCACCACTGGTTACACAGCTGTCTCCAAGGCAAGTGCTGTGTCTTGAGGTGAGAATCTTGTCGTCTGGGCGGTTTCTTCGTTGCTCCGGTCCGAATTCAAATGTTCAAGGGCTAGTGTTGTTACGCCGCGGTTGGGGCCACGATTTGGATTGATGCAGCCAGGCCAAGGGAGATTTGAAATTTGCACCAACGCCAACTAGTGCGTCGTCGATCGTGTTCTGCACGCGCGCACAAGATGCAGGTTCGCTTGGCAGGCTTGTTTAGCTGCATGCACACTTGTTCAAGGGTGTTGAATGCACGCACTCTTGCAGAAGTGCATAGTATTTTGCTTCCATGCACGTTTGCGCTTTGCTCTATTGCGCGCTTGCATGAGCCATACATGTACGCTGGATTGGGCTCATGGTTGCTGTCTTACGTGCATGCTTGCTCTCTCTCTCTTTCTCTCTAGATCTTTGTTGGACTCTCTCTCTCTCTTTCAACTTCCACTTCCCTCTTTGCAACCCGAATTGCGAGAAATCCAGTTTTGAGAGCACAGGTGTCAGCGTCATCAGCTTCGAGGCCTGAATTTGTGAGTTTCGTTCGATTGGGACGCAAAAGAAAAGAACTTAAACCGGATATGGAGTCTGATGGAATCTGACCAGAGAGCGAGAGCGAGCGAGAACGAGAGTGTTTCGCTGGCCCAGCTTCGATTCAGTTTTGAGGTCCTGAGGCAGCCAAACGTGCAACCTGAATGATTCTCACACCCGCGAGAGCTGAACAGCAGCTGTCTCGGACAAAAAGACTACACTTTAGTTGGTTGAGTGTATGAGCACAGATTTGTGGACTGCAGAGTCAGGAGCATGTCACCAGAGGGCATTGTTTACCCTGTCGGCTCATGTGATTGTGTGTCCAGCTGCCAGCACCTTGTCGGCGTTATGTCGAGGCCACATGGTGTCTCATGCCTTCACCTGGCCAGAGCTCATTTTTTCACAGCAGGTGCTGGATCTGGTCCAACGAAGCTTGAAAAGGCTTGCTGACGTGAGCAGGGTGAGCGCCTGTTCGCACACGCGAGAAGGGAATGCTTGGCAGGCCGATGCTGGCCTTACTCCTCGTTGGCTTTGTGGTGTCCTCATCAGCCGAAGGTCCCATGCTGCTTCATGCTTGATGAATCTTGATTGGCCTGAAGTCATATTGAGTGGGAGTGAGTACGGCTCCAGTTGCACGACTTCGAGCGCGAAGCTCTCTGTTGAGCATTGACGTGAAGCAGGCGCACCGGTTCACGTCGTCGCACTACAGTAACAGACTAGGAGAGACGAAGCGGTTACATATCACGCTTCGCACACGGCGTGAGGGAATCCTTCCTGAAACCCTGAAGAAGAAAGTCTTGCAGCCGTCCGAAGCTGGCCGCTCCACCTTGAACAGTTGAGATTATCTTTGTTTGGTTTTGGTGCTTCTTGGGCCGGACTTGCGCTCGCCAAGCACCAGTGCCTTCACGCATGTGCCTAGAGCTGAAAAGTCAAGGCCTTTAGCCGGATACCATCCCAGCTTTGCAGGCCCCCTGGGAGGACATTCCGATTGAGAAAGCTGAGGAAAAGCGGAAGTTGCAGCCTCGTATGTTTCTCGTAGTCTCTCATACTCTCAGGGTTCATTGCATGTTCATCGCATGTTTCCCATTTCTTCTACAATTCGTTGACAAAAAATGCAACACTCAGGTGCGGTCCGAAATGCAAGTACGACTGTGACCAGGCGAACTGCCGCTCGGTCATGCCTATGGTATATGGTATCCTGTGGGGTTGGAAGAAGACTTTTCGGATCAAGGTCCAGCAGCTCAAGAATGCGAGCCCCTCTGTGACCCACCTGAATGTGTGACAACTTGCAGCGTGGCGCTTAGCTATGTTCTTGTGAAAGTAGTTGTAAGCGCAAGTGCGCGCGCCGCCTCGGCAGCCGGGTCGGCCCAGTGTGGGGTGCAGCGTACGCAGCGCAGACGAAGGCAAGGGAAAGTCATATGTCGCTTGGAGCAGGCTAGGGCGAGGGGTCAGGGGCAAGGCCTCGGCGTCGGATGATTCCCAGAAGCTGCAAGGGGTTTTGGGGGGGGGGAGGATCCAAGAAAGGTTCTGGGGGAGTGTCAGGGGGAGGTCCGCACCATCACACGCCAGAATGGCATTCAGTACCGAACGAAGCCATGCCAGAGCACATAAAGTCAAGTGGACAGTTCAACACGTGAGAAATCGCGACGATCAGGAGAGAATAGGGTAGAATCCGGAGAACGCCTGCCAGTTTGAGGCTGCAGCTGCAACGTGTCAAGATTGGTACAGATCCGTACAGCGCTTTCATGTCCCAACCATTCTCTCCACCCCAGAGCCACCCTCCCTGTGGCACCTGCCCGAAGCCCTTGGAGGAGCCGGGATTTATAGTAAACGCCCAAGCGAACGGCATCTGTAAGTTCTGCCCTGGCACGCTGCAGCCGCTAGCAAGCCTTCGGCAAGTCACAAGAAAACGCTGGCACTCCAGGTGTATTCCCAGTTCAACCATGGCAGTCCAAGTGCAGGTTCCTCGAAAGAACAATGCGAAACTCGCTGTGGGGAGCCTTTGTGTGCCTTGGCAGCTGGTGCATCTCCCATACTACAAGCAGTACAAGCCTACAGCCTACTGACTTGTTGAATGAGGATGGCCTCATTTGTCAGATTCAGGTGCCGTGGTGTGTCCACAGACCGAGTGCAAAGGCTCTGATTGTAATTCGGTGGCGTGTCAAACTGTGTGGGCGCCTGAGGAGATCTGGAAAGCACCGAGTACGCACGGCACTGAACATGCCTGCTCCAGGTGCAATCCCCCCGTTTGCACAACATCCTGCTCAGACACCTGCCAGACCTCTTGTGCGACGCCCAAGTCCCAGACTCAGAACTCACGGAGGTTAAGTCATTATTCGATGTGAGAGTTGAGTTCTGAGTTAAACAGATGAGAACAGATGGATGAAACTAGTGTGCAGTGTGCACGACTGCCAGAGGTGTAAGTGGCGATGCAAGCCAACTCCTTCTTGCCCTCAACCGTCGTGTAAGATCAGCTGCACGGACTTGGGACGGCACCTCAGAGCCTGGACATCCACTTCTTGTGCAAGCACTTCTTGTGCAAGCACTTCGTGCCAACACCTTGTGCAACACACTTCGTGCCAACACCTTGTGCAAACTTGTGCATGCAAGAGTCGTGTCTACAATTTTGCGCGCACGATTCCCGCTTGGACAACTGTGTCAGATTGCCCCGACACCCTGCCGGTGAACGCAACCGCGGGATCCTCAGATTTGGGGCTCACAAGAGGCCGAAAGCACGATCAGATTCAGATTCTTAACTCAACTGCACTCAGGCAAGAAAGCGGTTCGAAGCTTTGACCAATGAGGGCAAGGCCGGTCATCACAAAAGTCAGGGGAAGATCAAAGAAAATGCACCTTGTTTGTTTTTGCTCTTTCCGCTTCAGTTTTTTGAGCTTCTGTTGATGGAGCAAGAGTTGTGTGCGTAAAGACGCTTAAAATTGTAACTTTCCAGAGCAATTTGCCAAAACACGCTCTTGGGGTTTTCCAAACCTATCATGCGAGCATTGTGTTTGCAATTGGGGTGGAGCAGCCCTCGGGTTGTTAACGGCAAGTAAGCATGTCCCTGCCACCTTTGTCCTTTTAATGTTTTGTTTGCACAACATTCCAAGATTATGAAGTTCATGCATTCTACACCCTATTTATAAGTGGTATTTTGCCTTCATGTCCATCTTCTGCAAATTGATGAAGATTTCCAAGATGAAAAGTGTAAACAATAAATGTAAAGAACAGATTGGGAATCTTAGGAATTTTGGTGGGTCTTCATTAGGCGCTTCACCTGGACGAACAAAAGGCCGCTATTACTGCACTAAAGTAGACAGCTTCCTGTAATTCTTGTGCATTAACTTCATAAGCTCACGAACGAAGTGATGGCATATTCGTCTTTGTTTTTGGCACTGAAACGCTCACAGCCCCTAAACGAGAACCTCACGGGCACGTCGCAGCACGCACGGGGCCAACCCAGAAGAAACACTGAGAGCCTCATTGATTTCCGTATATGATAATGTGTACAGGACAAGACATGACGAGAACAAACACCCCCCGCCTCCCCAAAAAAAAACCAAAGAAACACTGCCGAACTAAGTTCGTGTTTGACCCATTTGCAACTGAAACCTGAAGAGCGGCTCAGCTTTGGTGCTTTCAAATGATTGCGACTCGACTCCCGAAAATCCTTGTGTTCAGTCGGAGCTGAGACTCAGCCTTCTGTCTCACTTTAAGCTTTGCGGCCAAGCCACCCGAAGCTCTAAGTAGACCTGCAGCAGACTTGCTGAGGAGGTGGTCTCCGAGGGCAAGGCCTCTCTCGATCCCCGAGTCCTTTCGGCGCCATCGCCGGCTCCTGCGGCAATGCCAGCAGCGGCTCCGATGTCCGAGGCCTTGCTCTGGGTTTCATCTGGGTTTCATCTGGGTTTCATATGCTTCCCTCATCTTCCCTCTCCAGTTTCTCTTTTTCTCTTGCAGGCCGCGAGGGATGCAAGGACGATGCTTTTTGGTTCTGTGCTGTTGAGCTGTTGTGACTATTGTGTGCTGTCATGCATTGCTTTTGCATCACTGGGGCCTTAGCGAGCACTTTAGGACAGACCTCTCCTGGCTATGGGATATACTCAAAGCGCCCGTGTCTGCTCACTGAGCGCCTTGCGAGCCTGATTGCAGTAACTGAAAATAATTGACAAGCGCAGTGCCCACACTCCTGGGCTTTGATGTGAGCCGGCCTGCACTGTGCAACGATGCAGCATATCTTGGACTTTGCTCGCATGTTTGCTCTTTCGAAGTTATGTACGCAAGGCTTGGCCTCCTGAATGTTTTTGTATTTGTCCATTGTTGATCCCTTAGCCCTACTTGTTCAGTTTTCTTCGTGCGGATGTGTACATAAACTTCCTAAACCTGTGCCCAGTGCCCAGATACTCCTAAAGACAATTTAGCCGCACCTGACCGTTTGAAGCTTTGAATGCCGAGCAGCCCAAACGAGTTTCGTGCATGCTGTTACAAGCAGGGGCGACTAAAAAGGCCGTTCCAATCTTGTCTTGGAGCTTGTGGGCTCAAAGGGCGGTGCATTCAGCAAAAAAAGAAAAAGCTGAAGGGTTGTACTCACAAAAGTCTGGTTAGCAGGGCCTTCTTTGGGGCGTCGTTCCGATAGTCGGGTGGAGCTGGGCGGAGCCCGGCGGAGCCCGGACATGGAGGCCTCTTCGGTGAGCTGCCGAAGGCGCGACTTTTGCGATCTTTTGCGGACTCTTTTCTTATCTCCGCAAAAGTCCGCTGTCTGCCAGGTGAGCGGAAGCTGCCAGCAGCACTATGCTGCCCAGGGCCCCTTGGATGTGCTTTTCAGCCCTTTCAGCCCCTTTTCAGCCCTTTTTCCAGCCTTTTCAAACGACCTTTTTCAGATTTTTCAGCCTTTTCCATGTTGAGTGCTGAGTCTTGGGCTGCACCTTGAAGAGGCTCTTCCAGCCCCTTCGGCAAGACCATTCTTTGCTCGAGACTGCCCTCGGCAAGATCCTCCCCGTCGGGAGCGATTCGGCGGCCGAAACTATGGCTCTGCGGCTGCGGCTCAGCTACACCGCTGCTGTCACACTGCACATCACTCACTAACTCACTGTTATCGCATCCAAAGCTGCGCCAAGGCGATGCTTGCCATTGGATTTCCACTAGCGTCCAAGAGGCTCGCGGGGGCGCACAGCGTTAGTTGTGTCTAGTGTCTCACAATCGCGCACTTGGGCGCTTGACTTTGACTGCTCGAGATTTTCAGGCAAGGGGGAAGGCGGAGCGAGGAGGCCGGGGTCGTGCTGGCGACTAACGTCAGACTGTCACGTTGCCCTACGCAGCGGCCAACCCCTCGTCGTAGCTCCTAGATCTAACCGCAGCTCCGAGCACGCACCAAAAGTCGATGTGTAGGACAGGGTGCGACGGTGGACTCGAAGTGACCGTACTTGAGAGAGGCCGAAGGTCGGCCGAAATCCGTGTTGGTATCCCGCAGTCGCCTTAGGTGTAGCATGGTGTCGCCGGCGACCGAAAGCTTGGACTTTTTTGTGCTGTGGACACACTTTCGCCCTGAGGTCAAGCTCCTTGGGTCCCTGAGCTTTCAACATCCCGAGGACAGCTTGCGACTTTCAGGCGACTCGGTGCATTTGAGCACATCTATGAGCACGTCTGGGCATATTGCGACCATGCCAAGGACAGCCTCCGTGTCGGACTGCCGGACTTCCAGCGAGACTGAGAGCAGTCAGGATGCTCTTTGTTCGCGCTTAATGCAGCATTCTGCCATGCGTCAGTTGTGGATTCTGCAATGTTCTCAGTTGGAACGCCCTATTTTCAATTGGGCAATTCACAACGCTTTAAGACAGGCTTCGCAAACACAGGCCAAAGCGAAGCCAAGCCGAATGCGAAACCGGAACCAAACCAAATTCGCTCCAGTTGTCAGACGGGCATGCCTGCACATACCTGCATTTCTTGTGGAAGCAAACGGTGTCACCCTGCACTGAATCAAGGCCCCTTAGACTTTGGTAACGTTAGACAATGGTAACAAGTTTTGGCACACTGGATCAGACTGGATCCATGCGAATTCGGGGCTGCATCCTGATTCTGAGGCTGAGACGTTGACACCAGCAGCGGCTTCCGAAAGCATCTCCAAGCGCCTCAAAGACATGGTGTTTGTTAAGGCCGAACCGGCCCAGATGCGTTTGAAACTTCACGTCAGACCTTACGTTAAGCTGGAACCCAGCTCGGCCCGAGCAGGACATGCGCGCAGCCATGACTTCCGGAGAATTTGTCACGCCCTTGGGAATGGAATGCATGCGTTGATGCAGTGTTGACGGCTAGAGCAAGAACGGTGGAGCAGAGCGGAGTTCAAGGCTCTTCGGTTGCGAGGCGCTGAGAGACCTGGTCTGGTTGACTACGAGGCTTTGCAGCCATTTTGAGTTTGGCGGGGGTTCAAACATCACCGTGTCATTTCGTGTCATCGCACGCCGACTTCACAGGGCTTGTACAACGTTCTGGAGGGCTTTGCAGGGAGGCCAGGCTCGCAGCATGTGCAAAGATAAGGTTTTGTTTGGGACAAGCAGAGCATCCTCTCCTCCCCTACCCCCCTTACCCCCTACCCTCCTCTACCCTCCCCACATCCCCATCCCCCCCCCCCCTCCCTCCCCACACCCTTCGCCTGGCGTGGTCTCACTGCGCTGGACTCAGCTATGAGACCAGGCTCTCCGAGCTGGAGGCTTCGGAGGTCTTGCGTGATGAGGACGCTTGGAAGGCGAGCGGCTGCCATTGGTTGTCAACGCATGCAAGTGTAAGTGTAAGCAGTCGCAGTCCTAAGCCCTGGCAGGCAGAGGAGGATTTAAAGCTGATACAGGGCAAGCTGAAAGACAGAGTTGTGGAAATGACGCAGGCTTTCCTTTTTTTCCGCATGACAAGATATAGCTTCCAAGAACGGCAAAGTGCAGGACACCAGACGATATGCAGTGCTGGGTGAGGCTAAGAAACTTGCAGTGCTTGAGCACGAGGCCTGAGGCATGTGCCACGCTGTCCCATCGCATTCGCCAGGATGGGGCCAACAGTGGCAGCGGTGAACAGGAGCCTGCGTTTGTGCTAGAGTTCCAAATCCGGAGATGTCTGGAGACTTTCTGTATGCAGTTTTGATGTTCAGGACCAAGGCTCGAGCTTGAATGCCAAAGCCGGCTGCCCCGGATCCCTTGCTTTTTGCATGCTTTTGAAGCTGCCTTTGCCAGCTTCTTCGCAGTTGCTGCTTGCAAGTTTTCGGCGTTGATGCGCGCAGCTTTTGGAGAAGGTTCGTGCAATGGCAAAGACTTGTAGCCACGACCTTGGACATGACATGGCTGGTCGCTCGTGGTTAATGTGTCTATGGCGACCATGACTTGGTTATGCGTGGGCCCTGTGGGCCCCGTGGGCCCCAGCCCCGGGCCTTCTTTGCTCGGTCGGTTTGCTTTCAGCGAACGTTTGCCGGGCATGCCGGTCTTTGGCAACAAGGGCGCAGTCCCGGGATCTACAGCACCGTGTCAGAATTGTCTGAGTTCGCTCAGAAGCTGTACCACATGACTCGGAGAGTTGGCGAGAGGGGCTTGAGTGATAACTGCACCAGACTTAAGCCGTGCCATCTGAGGCTATGAGAGACAAGTGACGTCGGCACTGAGCAGAGGCCAGTGGCAGCTTGCGTGCGTCCTCGTCCAGGAAGCGCATGAACTGGGCTTCAGAGTATCGGCAGACTCACATCATCTACTTTGCCTCCAATGTGCAGCCAGAGCTCCATGGCAGATGGCACTTGCAACCTTTGCCGCCATGAAGCTGAGGACCCCAATGCTAGAGGCGAGTCCCTGTGCGAGTGCCGTGTTAGGTGCATGCTTGCTTGGATCTGGAGTGAGCTTTGATTTCAAGCTCTGGGTTCGTTGCAACTACCTCTTTATGGCTGCACATGGAAGTTGGACAAAGATGGTATACATACTGCAAGCGATCAGGTCAGGTCCTTGCGGGCTGGATGGCCACGATGCCACTGTGGCTTTGAACATCACACTCCAGGCATGCGCCAAGGCTCAAGCCTGGGAGCAAGCATTGTCCATGGTACCATCCTTCCGAAGACTCCAAGTGCTACCATCCGTGGCAACGCTCGGGACTGTTCTTGCGGCATGCGAACGAGCTGGTCAGTGGCGGGTTGCAGTGCAACTTGTGGATGGAAGCTTGGCCGCGGGCTGGGAATGCTGGGAAGGTGTCCTTCCGAACGTGGTTTGCTACAACACAGTTATTGCAGCGTGCCGTCGCGCTCGGCAGTGGAAGCACGCCTTGCAGTTATTACATGATGCGCATCAACGAAGTCTACGACCAGATACTCTGAGTGTGGCCACAGCGCTTCGCGCCGTTACCAGCCTGAAGGGCCACAAGTGGTCCAATCGCGCCGAGGAGCTGATGGTGGAGATGAGACGATCGAGGGTCGTCGATGCCAGCCATACCGGTGATGCCAGCCTCCCAGACATCCTCACCCTTCTCAGCCACCCAGAGGGATCAACCTTGTTGTCTCATGTGTCTTGGCCGCTGGCACTCCTGGCGCTCGACGCCTTATGTGCCTCCCTGCTTCCCGGTACATGTGCCCCGCATGCCGCGCGTGCCCTGGCGAAGTCGGTGAACTCAGCCCTTGCGGCACTTCGCCGCCACCGGCGCTGGGCTGAAGCCTTGCATGTAGTCATGGTGAGACAAAGGCATGCCCTTGACGTCGATGCCGTCGGCTTGCTTGAAGTCGTCGCCGTGCTGCAGAATTGCTTGCAAGCCTCCGGCCTTCATTCAGTTCTTCCTGGCCTCGTAAAGTGTGCAAAACAATCAAAGCAAACGGATGGTGCTTCAAGGGCAGGCGATGTGTTTGATGATGCGGGTGCTACTTGTAGTGCTTGTGATGTGCTGCTGGGATTTGGTCTTTCGAAGACTGTACAGCTTGCGCTAGAACGTCGGGCAGGACGCCCGCTGCTGCACAGCTTGAGGGGTTTGCAGCTCTCTTCACATCCCGCGCAGGATCTGATTGCCTCGAGATCTCATTCAAGTCTGGCTAAGGCTGAGGATGTGGCCACCGCGGGCTTATGCATCACCCGAGAACTGGTAGAGTGTCTGCGGAGCCACAAAAAGTGGCCTTCCACTCGCTTTAGGAATTGCTTGCGAGCCATCTTTATGCAGCATGTTCTCAGAAAGTGCAACTGAGGCAGCATCTCAAGCGCGCAACAAGTTCATGTTGTGCCCTGCCTCTCTCTTTATTTCCATGCTGACGCGCGTTGGATGGCCCAGTTGAGGTACCTTCGAGGGGACCAGATGGTCGATATCGACACAGCCCTCCAGGTCAAGCTTTCTTTTTGTCTTGGAACTTGGAATGAGCCTGGAATGAGCTTGGATGTAGCGAGTGCCAGGATTCCCAGGCTGAGCAGCCCTTCAGCCGCGACCTGTGGGAGCGCCACATGCTGCAACAAGCTGCAAGCCTCAAGTTTTTCTTGAGACAGCCCCCATTCAATTGGCTTTGGCCGCTTTGCCCTATGCAGGAGCGCCTTGAAGGAAAGGCTCAGCACTCTGAGGATGAGTGGTCGCCCTACGAGAACGCGCAGGTGGGTGATCTTTTCCTCTTTTCAGCTGTTTTTTGCTGCGCTACTACTTCTTTGTATCGTGCCGTGCCGCGCAGATGCTCGCTGGTCTGAGGCTGAGGGGCGGATCAGCCAAAAACAGCTCGTTCTGCAACAGGCTGGGAGTAATTGTTCACTGCGCCGCCTCGGCCTGACCCGGTGCAGATGGTCATAGGGTCTCAAGATTTACGCCCACCTTTCCCACCTTGCGCCCCCCCCATCCTCCCGTTGGGATCTGCAGCTTATGCTGACATACGATACTGGCTCGCATTTCTGCGCTTGCAGTTTCTACTCTACTGTCATCGATGAGTGTCAAAATTTCATGAACGCCTCGTACCTTTGCTGTCAGCCATATGTTGCGTAGAAACCTTTGGTTCAGGTACCCTCAGACTGTGTAGCAACTGCTCCCTTAAAAAGCTGCGACTTGAAGGATGTCGTTGGACTGCTCATAGGGGTCCACTCAGGGTCCATAGCAGGTCCAGCCCCAGGAGTTCCACAAGAGTTCCACAAGAGTTCCACAAGGACAGCAAGGAGCATGCATAGGAAACCGAGTTCAAAGCAACGGCGGTGGGACTCTGAGCCGACGCTTACCAGGGTTTTGTGAGTGTTGCCGTTGGCACCGCCCAAACGCCTTGGCCTGCGGCCCGACGGATGTGGTAGGAATAGGAATGTTTCTTGGGTGCTGGCAATGGAAGAACAATGCTCTTTGATCTGAAGGCCAAGCAGGATCTCAAGTCAGCCAAAGCCAATCGGGCCAAAGTGCTCAGGAGAATGAAGAAGGTTTGGGCACCCAGCTGCAGCCAGAATAGTGGCAGAGCAGAACACTGGCACATGTCGCGTCGTGCTTGGCCTTGCTCAAGAATCCTGCAGGTTGGAAGCAAGGGCAGCTTGGACAAGAAGTCTGTCGAGCTGACATGTGACTTGTTTCGTCCGAGTCCTATCAGAAACGGTGGATTGTGCGCTGTGCGCAGCAAAATCCAGCCTCTGCGCATGCCTCTTGCTAATTGCCGCGATTGCCGTGTGCAAAATGCCTGCATTTTGGGCAGGTTGGGATCGGTTGATCTCCGGTCATCAAGTCCTCGTGCTGCTTGCGAACGTGGACTTGATTTTTCATCAGGCAAGGGATGCAGATGGATGCAACAAAAGCACCGAAAAATGCAGAACAAATATGCTGTATGATATGACATGGACATTTTTTGCGAGCAGCCGCTGATGCTGCCACCGTCAGGTTTCGGCAAAGCTGGAGAAGCTCCTGCTGCAAGCTGACATTGCCGAGTGGGATCATTCAGGCTGTCAGAATGCGCTGTGCCGGTTGGAGAAGACTTTTCTGTCGTGGATCCGGTTTGCAGACCTTGGGGTTCAGGATCAAAAATGCTAATCAGGCCGAAAGTTCGGGAATACTTTTCCCTAAATTTCAATGGGGGGTGTTCGATGTGAAAAGCAAGCTACTCTCCTTGCCTCCCGGATCCGTGATCCTGGAGTGCCCGCAGATAGATTTGATATGTTGCTCACTGCGCATATTCCTGAGCATCGGACAAAGCTTGTGTAGGTGCTTGCCTTGATGTTGCAGCATGCCTTCTGGGTGCTAGTACTTCTCCTTGCAAAGCGATCGTGGCTCACCCTAATTTGCTACAGCCAGTACTGTATCTGTAGGTGAATTCTAAGCGCTTTGCTTTCAGGGGCCCCCGCCATGCTTGAGCATGCTCGACCGATCATGCTCGAGCCATTTCCAACACAGCTTGTGCCGCAAAGCAAGCGCACAACTGTGAATGTGCCTGCCAGAGCGAGCTCCGCTCTGAACTTCCCAGCGTGTCATACTTGGATGTCTTCTGTAGTTTTAAGTTCAAGTCTGTTCGAGTCGGCACGAGGAGGAACAGGTAAACAGACGCCGCAGAGACATAGCGGAGCCGCACTGCAAGGATAACTAGGCTGTAGCCGCAGGTCGTCGACTGAAACGTCTGGTGCTGAAGCTATCTGCCCTGGAGGTGCAGGACGGGTCCACAAGTGCAGGCGATGTACTGTGTTAAGCCTGTATGTGAATCTTGTTCTTGAGGTCGCTCCGTACCGGAAGTACGTGCATGAGAAGCCAGAACAGGCAGTTTTTGGCCGAATCTACTTTGCAACAGTACGCTTGGTGCCCAATTCGTCGATCTGCAGGTAGTCCAAATGACTGGTCTGGACTGGGATGAGCTGCAAATGCTGGAGGAGCAGATCGTGTTGGCCTCGGCAACCTTGGTACTAAATGCTTAAAGCAAATACTAGAGTGCTGCTAGTTGCATAGCAGAGACTCAACTTTGTTTGTATGGCTCCTTTCCATTTGCAGGCTGCAATCGCCCAAAACATTGGACTGCACGTGGATCGAATCGGTCAGCGCTCGGTTCCGAGCAGCGAGTGCTGTGGACACAAGGCGGACTGTCGATATTGTGATCCCTGCTCCAAGGCGGTGGATTTTTCGCGCCAATTCGCAGACAAATGCCAGAGACTGATTTTGAATTTTGAGCTCGGCTGCGCCTGCGACACGATAGTCAGCTCAGGTTGTCCTTCACGACGTCCTGGCAAAAGATTCGGCGCGGAATCGTTTTCCAGGACCCCCTGCCACGCTTGTCGCTTCAGTTGTCTTGTGAGAAGCTCACATTCGGGAACGGAGGCACAAGCTTCAAGATATTCCAGATTGGTTTGCTCGAGAGTGCGTCGAGACAATTGCTCGCGTAGTTGCGGAGTTTCAGGGCTTCAAATTGTCATAGTTGTAGCGTGTCAGAAAGGACAACCGTCAGAGTGACGAGTCAATGATTCTTGAGACAGCCGTCGGGTCCGTGGAGGGGCTCGTTTGCGCAAAGTCCGGGGCGGTGCGAATGTCCGAGTGCTCGAAAACTGGCAACCATGCTCCACTGGGCAGCCTGTTCATCATTTTCCCGGTGCAGGACTTGATTGATTGAACAAAGCGTTAAAGCCCGCCCCGCTCACCAGCGGTAGATGTTAACAAGCTGCTCGGCTTACAGAACAATCCTCTTGGTGGACCATACTTGCTGTCAAGAGCAGGTGGTTCATTCATGGCTCGCGCCGACAGATCTCCTTTGTCTCTTGTGGGCCGCGTGCAGGAAACCGGGGCTCCCGCTGTGGCTTCCTTGAACCGGGTTGGATGGCTCCGTTTGTGGCTGTTGAGTCGCGTTTTGCTGGGAACATGGGCCCACGAAAACAAAAAGAGTCTTGCAATCATGGAGGCAACGCAACATGCCCTCAGGAGGGCCTTTTTTCAAGGAACGGGCTTCTTGGGAAGCTGGAGATTCCCATGTCCAAATCTGTATCCTGAGTCTCAGCGTTCGTAGTGTTTCCCGAAGCTGCTGCTCGGGATCTTCACGCGTCCTCCGAAGGGGTCTTTCGTAAAAGGCGCTCACTGAGTCTGTTGTGCGGAGTTTTGTGGCGGTCATTCGAGTTGAGATGACGTCGTTGGTGCTTTGGCATGTGCCAGGCGAATGGTATTCGACTACTCTCTCAGGTGGGTTTGCAAGTTTGTGCCTTCTTGCGTTCCTGCCAGGTGTCACAGCTCATGTCACTGCAGCACACTTGTGAAGGACCTGCGGCTCGCCCTGAAACTTCTGCTGAAGGTGAGCTGCGCGGCACATGGCAGGGTTTAACTTTGCAGAAGACAAGACCAAGCATCCAGGAATGTTCTATTTGCAGGTCGTGTTCCTCAATCATGCCCTGGAAGATCGAGAAGTCCGCATTTGCAGACGAGCTGTAAAGGCTTGCGGTGCATCAGCAAACACACGTGCGCGCGGGCGGCTGCGTAGGAAGCCCAGCCGTCGTGTGAACACTGCACGGATGGAACTGAATACACACGTGGCATGAGTATTCAAGTCGATCTCACGGGACTGATTGCACCTCGCTGGTGTGTCCTTTCCGTATGCAGATGTTATCTGTAGTTCTTTTTGTCAAGCTTTGGTCCCGACAGGACTTGTTGGTCTTGGTGCCCTTTCTGATCCTGCTGCTCATTCCGCTGTCCCCGCCGGGTCATATGCTGGTCTTTTCTCTCATCCTGAAGGCATCCCACTGCTTACAGTAGGACAAGGAAGGAACCAAGAGGGAATTGGTAGTCAGGGTTGTCAGCAGGTCTACCCGGACTTTCTCCCATCGCCCTTTACGGAGCATCGGCAGAATGCTCTATGGCTCAGAGTTGCTGCAGCCACAGGTCATGTGAGAATCATGCCTTTTCACCTTTTTGATTAAGGTGATGAGGATCTACAATGCCATCAAGCCTGTGAGCGAAAAGAGCGACTATGGCAGCTGGAGTTAGTGGCGTAATCTTGCCCTGTGGCCCTAAGGGGCCTAGTCTCGGGAAAGTCTCCCTGAAACTGTTTTACAGCTTTTGAAGGTGAAGATCTTTGCCTTTGCATGTGAACTTCACGGGTACAGTTCGCATTATTTGCGTTTTTGTTGCTGTCGTCTCACGACGCAGCATCACAGTGCGAGTTCACGGCAGCAATGCTGTTGCTTCCTCTCGGCACCCTGTGCAGTTGCTTGGGAAACATCCGTGCCTTCCTCCTCTCAAGCTGTATATGTATGTACAGGCTGTACATATATACATATATATATATAGCATTATAGTAAGTGAGTTTAGGCTTAGGTTTCATTTGATGGCGACCTTTGCTGCGTGTCCTAAGCCATTCTGTCAGCATAAACCCCAAACAGTGAAGACCACAACGACCATAAGGAGCATGGTCACTCGACCGAGGTGAGAGCGCTATGTCGAACGCGGTGAAACGCGGCTTCCCTCAAAATCAGAATGCACCGCGCCCTTCCAAGAACCCGAGAGGCAAACTAGTAGTGCATGTAACGTCCCTGTGAGACTTCATTAAACCAAAACTGAGCCGGGCGCGCGTGTCGTGGTGCTAGCATGCGCAATGCGCCTCAGCCCAAGCCTTCTTGGTCTTGAAGACTCATAGTCTTGCTACACTTGTTTGGTGGGGGAAAGCTTCAGCAGTTTATAATCTCGTTCTCTCAAGCTGTCGATGCTCTCGCTCTCTCTCTCTCTCTCTCTCTCTCTCTCTCTCTCTTTCTCCTTCCTTCATTCTGTCTATGTATGCAGGCTGGCAGAAGTTCTCGGCACTTGCTTTGACTAGGTTTTCTTAGCATCTTTCCAGATCCTTTCTTATTTAACCGCAAGAAGGCAGTTAGTTTGGTCTTTTCTACAAGGAAGGGGCGGCCCGATAGCAGCGGCCTCTGACATTGACAACAAGCAATGCTCGGTTTTAAGCACTGAGCAAATTCGAGTCCAATATGCTACCCCTTCAACGCCTGCAAAACATGAAGTTTAAATGGGCCCGAAGCTGTTCGGCTCTTGAGGGAATGCTCGAACTTTTCAGTCTGAATGTTTGTGGAGACATCTGCCTCACCGGGATTTCCAAAACAATATTTGGCTTTGGCAATTCCAGACCAGAACGTTGTAAACTGTTTTGCGCGTTCCCTTTGAGAACCATCTGGAAAGCTCTGTAGCTTGTCATCAAGGAAAAACTAGCTGCCTGCACCTCTGACGGTTTGACAGGTCGGATGTGCAGAGTGGTGCGTCGAACAGAGCAAGCTAGGCACAAGTGCTTGAGTGGGTCGTGTAAACTTGTAAGGAAGCACATGAAGCATCTGCAGGCTTCCAAGCAAGTTGAGGGAAGCAGTGAAATTGTCCCTTTACTTTGACAAGCTGTTGCGGTTGGACACAAAAATGGCGTTGCTTCAGGCTTTTTTGTGCAGGCCTAAGTCCGGGACAAAATGTTCTTCGCCATTCGGTCCCTCTGGGACCAAACGTTCTTGCCATTCGGATCAAGAAAAAAACCAGCTGCTTGCACCTCTGACAATTTGACAGTCGGATGTGCAGCCTTGCAGTGCATGCGCTTCTTCAAACTCTGGCAGAACTCTACGCACTTTGATTGTACATGAACAGCAGAGTTCTTAAGAAGTCTATCAACTGCCGGGGCTAAGACTCTCTGGCAGGACTCTGGGACGGTCCATTAGAGCTACCTTGAATATCAAATTAAAAAACATTTAGACGGCTCCCATCTCAAAAGCACTCTAATAATCTGCACAGTGTTTTTCATTGAAATTCCGTGTTCAGGAGCCACTTAGAATGGCTTAAGAATGCCGTTGCAGAGCAGCATTGTTCAGCTAGCTTGAAGCGCTTATGATCTTGTCGTCACCCAGAGCCGTCGAGTTGCCGAGGGCTTCCAGAACGGTTTCAAGTTTTCCAAATTTTGCAAGTTTGCTGCTTCTTGACATCGTAAAGTACTAAAGCTATCGGCTAATCGGCTAATGCGTGTCGCCTCGGCACCCCTCAGACCCCGCTGCCACCACCTTGACGCAGCGACTCGCAGCCCATGTCCCAGACTTCACCGCTTCGACTGCGTTCACTCGAATCCAAGCTGCTCGTCTGGATTCATCGCCTCATACACAGGTTCCAACTCCACCCTTTTTGCCGATACCGAGTTTGCCCCACGCGACTGTGGCCTGTCCAGCTAAATGGAGGCGACTGCATCATGCCAGCCGTTGCGGCGTTCGGTGTGTACATGGGTTTGGGCACTGAAAGGCTACAAAGGCTACTGCAACCGCTTTTTCCACTTTGGCTGCATGTCAACATTCTCGAGCATGCACCTGCACAGTTCAATTCGAGCATGCACCTGCACAGTTCAATTCCCGCCCAGCCTCTGGGACAGCTGTACTATGTACACTCGCATGTATATACAACATATGCCCACATACACTCCACGGTTAGAGCCGGTGAAGCTGCATGCTTTGCTGACACATTCTCTTTTGTCGTTTGTGTGCGTCCGTTCCGCCATACAGCAAGAGTCTTAGACTTATCCACTTATCCATGCCTGCATTCTGCAAAAGGGCCAAAAAAGGACAATGTCATCACAGTCCCAACCCTGCTTCCTCAAGTTTTTCTCCTCGAGCATGTTGATTGCGCCGGCCCACTAGAGAGAGTAGGTCGTGCATAAGCTGTCGTAAAACCGTAGCTGCAAAGAAGCACACTTATGGTGCCTCCCCGTGCTTTGCAAGATGGCCGTCCAACAGGAGCAGCGTTGAACTGACCTGCTCACCTGACGTGGCTTCTGCATAAACCTTTGCATCGTGAAGGGAATGTCAGCCTCCGCCCAAGCTGCCCTTCGCCTGCGGCGGCTGCTTGCGAAGCAGACGCAGGATGTCAAGGCCAGTGGCTGAGAAATGTGCTACGTGCTTGTGGCAGTACTATGTGCTTGTAGATATGTCAAGAGGAAATGGAGGTGGAGTTGCAGGAGCGCGAGACTGAGCGCGAACACCTGCTGCAGCTCTTGAGATACAAGGACTGAGACGATGGCACAAGGTATCCAGTGTCCACATCCTTCATAGGCAAGTGCTGAATATGTGATCTTGTTCGCCACTGTGTGCAGGAACAAATTCTGCAGCAAGAGTCTTTTGCTGCAGAACGCCTGAGAGCAGCGCTTTGCTCTGCGAAGGGGTGCAAGCAGTGCCCTTTGCTGCTTAGGGCTTCTCTCGATGCAGTAAGAATTCTAGTGACTCAAGACTCAGTGCAACACTTTGTATTGCACTCATGGGACACCGGTCTGATGGCAGAGACAGGATTTTCTCAGACAGTTGCAAACGGAGGTACTACATCTTGCTCTGTGTGCTCCGCTCTTGGCGAGATGCTGCTCTGCGGAGCAGCAGTCGCCGGGGTTTGACACAAGCCAAGGCCCCTGAAGAAGGTCTTGGAGATTCGTTTGTGAACGCTGCAAGACCGACAGCTCAGCGGACAGGAGCAAAGCATCGAGGTGGTCCTGCGCCACGCGTGTGGTGCCTTGGCCATGGGCCTGAGGCAGGTGACAAACCGACGAATGGCGAACGCCATGTACGAGCCCGGAATTCAGCTGGTGCTTTCGCCTGACGTCACAAGCTTGGACTTCTTGCTACTGGAACCGAGAAGACTGAGGCTCTGGTTGCATGCTGAAGGTCAGCGGCTGGCAGTGGCTGCTGAGGCATATTCGAAACAGGTATCGTAGACATTTGTAAAGCCGAAACTCGCTGGTAATCAAAATGCCCTGTCGGAGTTCTTTTTTTGCGCACTCGAATGTCCTCCAAGACCTTGTGCTGCGCAACCGCGTGCTCGAGGGTCATGCTGTCGAGCCCAGCTGGTTTCGCCCTGTGCAGCGAGGGGTACATACGGGCAGTGTCGTCTTTAAGTGCCTTCATAAGTGCTTCTTAAGGGATTCTGTCGTCGGCCAGCGCAATGGCTTTGCTAAAACAGCTCCTCCTCATTAATGCTGGCTTGCGCGTTTTTCTCACCGCCCCGCCTCCCTGCGCCTCCTGTATTATTTTTCCTCGCTCTTTTGTCTCTGCTTCTCTCTCTCTCTCTCTTTTTAACTGTCGCTCTCTGTGTCGTCTGAGTTTGGTACGGTGCTTGCATGTGCCATCCTGCGGCTGAATGGTGTCTTTGCACGATTTTGTGCGGGCAACGGAAAACTAACCTGAAGGAGAGGAACGAGGATAACGAGGCAAGACCACGCTTCGGAACGCAAGCCGTACAAGCCTGAGTCCGAAGAACATGGATGAACATGCAGCCTGCACTTCCGGTCCTTCAGCAACTTCCCGGTCGGGTAGCAGCCCTTCAATCTGAACGGGCCAGCATGCTCTACAGTACTTGCAACTTACAAGCACTGTTTCACGCAGCCACGTAGTCCCTCGAGTTTGCAGTCAGATAAGAGAGTGGTCATGGCAGAGTGCTCTCGCGGTCAGATAACATGTCCGTGCAATGATCAGAGTCATCAGAGCATGCATGCCCGAACCAGAATTACGTCCATGCTACCAGTGCATCCATCGTGACATGCACAGTGGCCCTGCTTTGTTCATATATTTTTCTTGAGAGCGTCTTTTTGGAAGAACCAGTTCCAGTAGCGGCAGGAGTTTCTTCTCTCGAGTTGCACAAAAAGTCAGCGATGGCAAGCATGGGGGCCGGACGTATTGTGTGATTGCACTCGTGCCAGGAGGCAGACGCACGTCTTCCCCCGACCTGGGAGCCAGACATCGCCAACTTGAATGCAGACGAGGCTTGGATTTGTTGCTGCACGGGCACAGGCGAAGTTGTTGGAATGGATCTTCTTGACAGTATGTTGACAGTATGTTGACAGTATGTTGACAGCATGTGCAAGAATCTTTTGTTGCTGCGGCCTTCAAGTGCTGAGCTTGGATGGCTTCGGCCTAAAAAGGCGAGCATCATGAGCCTGCGGGATCGTAGGGCTTGGGCACTGCGTGGTTCAAGGGTTGAGGCTTTGCCAGTCATTGGGTTTTCCAGAAGCTCCCCGAACACTTTAGCTGCAACGAGGAAAGGCAAAAGCATCTGGTTCGGATTTGTTGGGAGTTCGGGCGTTTGCAGGAATCGAGCCAGTCGAAAGCCCAACATCAAGGAACCAGTATCCTCTTCGTCCAAGCCTGTCTTTCGAGTTTGATTCTGAGCTGATGGGCAGTGGGCAAGCTCCTACCGGCAGCTGTGAGTTCCGCTAAGTACCGTACAATCCGGACAAGGTTTGGTTGAGGGCCTTAGGGCAGGAAGGATGATACTGTACAGGCAGGTTGTCGTGGGTCCCAGTCCGTTCTGTTGCCGACAAATTCGCACGCAGCAAGACGGAAGCTACAACATGCTACTCAAGTGTGAATGTAAACCGAAGTTTAAAAGCAGTTTTGCAGAGAGGTATCTGCTTCTCGCGAGGGAGAGGCCGAAGAGCTCTCCGAGCTGGGCGAGGCTTTGGATAGCTGAAAGATATTGAAAGCTTGAGAGGCACAGACCATCTGCACACTCTGACAGGTCGCAGAATACGAAGCTCTGGTGGCTCGCCTACACTCAGAATTGCGTTGGGAGAGATCCCGGCGCGAAGCCTGTGACAAGGCCGTCGGTAATGTTTTGCAGATGTCTCATGACTAGCTCTCTAGGTGCAGCCTTGTTTTGTGCAATGCCCGCTCCAAGCCGGATTCAGTTGTTATGTGCAGGCCTTGGAGACACTCCGTGGCTCGTACAGCCTGGGCCCCATGGTTTCTTGCATCTGCGGCAGAGCCTTCAACCAATCCTCAAGACCCAGAAAAGCACCCCTCCTCCAAAAGCACCCCTCCTCCATTTCCTTTTTCTGTTTTTGGTAGGTGACTTGCCGAGGATGCTTGAGCAGTTTCAAAGAGCCGCATCTTGCACTGCTTATCTGCTATCTGAGGTCTGCTGCTGAGCAGAGCGACCGCCCACCAGAATGTTTTCAAAGCATAATCGAGCCGGCGTGGGTGCATCGCGTTGACTCCAAAATGGATAATGCCATTTAGGCTAGCCGCAGACGGCTGGCAGCTGAAAGGGAACACAGCCAAACAACACTAACAAAGCCAAAACTGTCTATTCTGTGATGTTCGCAAAATGCAGCAGAGCGTAGGCTGCCAAGCTGACCGAAGAGCTTGCGAAACCAGCGACAACAACCGAAAGGTTCCTACCCAAAACATCGCGCAAGAGTTGCAGTAATCAAGAATAAGGTCAAGGAGCTCGCGAAGCTTCGGGGAGCGATGCATTGCGAAAACGGCGAGAGTGGGGCCCTGTTCGGGCTTGAGGCAGGCGCATGGCCGAGGCCCACAGGCGAACCATGCGCGATTCAGAAACTGGACGCGATTCAGGAAACCAGGGTTCAGGAAACCAGGATTCAGGAAACTGCGCGATTCAGGAAACCAGGGTTCAGGAAACCACGCGATTCAGGAAACTGTGCGATTCAGGAAACTATTTTCCCGCGATTCAGGAAACCGCGGTTCAGGAAACCACAAGATTCAGGAAACTGAAAACACGCGATTCAGGAAACCGCGCGATTCAGGAAACTGACAGCACGCGATTCAGGAAACTGCGCGATTCAGGAAACTGCGCGATTCAGGAAACTGCGCGATTCAGGAAACCAGCGGATTCAGGAAACCACGCGATTCAGGAAACTGCTCGATTCAGGAAACTGCGCGATTCAGGAAACTGCACGATTCAGGAAACTGCGCGATTCAGGAAACCACGCGATTCAGGAAACCATGCGATTCAGGAAACCGCGCGATTCGGGCCTGTTGAAATGTGGGGGGCTGCTTTGTGACACTAACCGTTCAAGCGCATTGGGCTCCAGCAGCCATTCAAGCAACAGCATTGGGCTCCAGCGTGTTGAAACTGGGTCTCGGGGGGGGGGGGGG